CAATCTATTGCGATAGTTCAAGGAGGGCTCTGTCTGCTTTCGGTGATGAAGATCGGCTCTTATTAAATCGGCACTGGCATATTGAGCATTCCAACATTTGGAGATCACGTCACGGTGATCAAGAGCCTCAAGATTTGGAAAGTTCCGCTCAGTAAACATCCTCTCAATCTGATCATCGTCTTCGATGTCAGCAAAGGGTCGCGAGCCAGTGGAGACTTCATAGATGAAAGACCCAAGAGCAAAGATATCAGTTGTTGTATTTCGAAAACGAGATGGCAATCGGTACCGAGTCTCTTCCTCTACAAGAGAGTCTAGATCATTGATTTTGGACCCAGCAAAGTCGCACAATTGAATCGAGAGATCATCAGCCACAAGAAAGTTGCGCGGGCTGATATCGGAATGAACAATACCACACGCATGAATGGCGGAAATGGCATCGATGGCGTTCTCAATCCATCGATTTCGCGTTTTCATGTCGATTGGATTATTTTGAGAGTAGCTGCGGACATCTCCATTTCGTAGGTATGGGAGTTGAATTCCTTGATCGGTAATAGCCAGACATTTTAGGATATTGGCATGGTTTTGTGGAAGATTTTGATAAACGAGCTTTTCCCGGGTTAAACATAACTCCGAGAATTCTTCTCTTCCCTTCACGGATTTGATCGTCTTCTCACTGCAGCCCTGGGTATTGTGTCTCAGGGGGGCTTTGAGAACATGGTTATGATCATTGGATATTTGGTGGATACATCCAGCACCCCCGAGTGTGATGATGCGAGAGGTGCCTTCGGGGCTTAGTAGAACAGGATGCCCACTCATTATATTGGCAATATGAAGTTGGGACTGGCGTTGGAAAGGGGTAAGGTGAGCAAGTGCTCAGAAGAAAGGGGCTGCGATTTTGTTGTGTCACCAGGTCAGGTGATGTAGCGATTTGTGCTCTCTAGTACGTATATACTTTGCTTTGTATGTGATTTACATGAGCTATCTCATAGCTATAATACAATGTCTTCTATCGATACGGAGTACGGATTCTTTCACTTCCTTTACTTCTATTCCTTATATTGAAAGTCTTTGTCTTTGGACATTTACTTATTTTCTAGAGCTAGGTATAGATGTCAAACCCCCCTTGTCTCTTCGTCTCAAGTGGCCTGTTACAGTCGCAGGACAGCGAGTAGCATATATAGCGGTCCAGGGATAAGGGAAAACGATGTTCTGTGTTATTACCCTTTTGGCCTAGTGGTTAGCACACCTGGGTGCTAGACTCCTAAGTAACATGATCCCTACTCTTATAACTAGATTCACCCCCTTTGCCTTCCTGTTCTATCTTTTCCCTTTGTACTCCGTACTGTGGTCAACATATTGTGTCTTTGCCTCTCCTCATTTTCGTCGAATCTGAGATGACACATGGCCTGGTCATCTAGCTATTTAATGAAGACAAGCATCTACCGACGGATATTAAAGTCGCTTATAAAGTCGTGGTGTCAAAATCATGGTTTTAAACCTTGGAACCGTGGCTAAAGAAATATCTTTGAAGGCATCTCAGTATTTATGGCTCCTCCAATCCTCAAGGATTCAATGATCTGGGATATCGGATGATTCTAGACACATTGCACACATGGTCCATGGTCGCTATCTATGTTCAATACCGGAATCTCGAGTCGAATGGCACATGCAGAAAAAATGTCTGGTAGGATGATATCACTTCACACCTGACAGCTATTTCCCTCGTCGCTGAAATTGAATTAGGTCACTATATAGAAGGCAACAAACCAAAACTATCGCAGTATCATGTTGAAGCACATCACAACGCAACTCGATATTTGGAAACGATTTTTGTTTCTTTGATCAAGAATCCGTCAGCTAGCGTATACGATACAGAGAAAGGAACCCATATCCCACCTATGTCAGCACGGGACGCTATCAATAAGATTAACGGAATCAATACCTACCTCATGAATCGAAATATCGCCAATGGATTGAGTCATAGTCTCGGTCAAGTCTACTGGCAGGGCTTTATTGCGATATGGAAGACTACTTGTCTGGTGTCCAATGTCAACAGTCAGTCGGAGAATCCCAATCCGACGCCCTCTAATGCACTATTAGATATGTGTGAAGAGCTTGGCTACCCAAGTGGATGGGCTAGTATTCCTCTTAGTTTTAATAAGGCTAGTAAGATGAAGATTGATTAGTGCTCGATTTGACTTTGCTCTTGAATTCCTCTACTTACGTAAGAGTATGGATTGATGATATGACTAAGCCTTTCATACGCCCTGTTGGCTAAATTGTATCCCATTACTTCTCGCTGTGAGGGTTTGCCCTCCGCATGTTTGCTTGTTTGCTTGGAATGTGGTTTACTCAGAGCATCTATTGTATTAGACAACCTCTACCTCTATGACTTCCTTTCCTTCTTCTTGTTCTCTCCATATTGAATATCTTCGTATTTGAACCTCGTCCCTCTGTAGAAAGTTTTGCCTACATTCGAAAAACTTTGGAAAGATAGATAAAAGCAATTAACAAATGATTTCAGTATCAATAAAGTGTCCACTAATGAATGTGCTCGTGTCTTTCTCGTTTGATCAAGCCGTGCGATTGTTGGTTCTCTTCGTCATTCACGCGTTTGCGCTTTTCGAGCCTCGGCATGTTGTAAAAAAATACCGAGTCTTGATGAGGAAGCTTATCAATCGCCTTTGTCTGAGTAGCAAAGTCTCCCGTTTCCGTTTCCACGGCATATTTGTTCTCGAGTGTTGCTTTGTTCCCTATGTACGGTTAGTGAATGATAATCATAGAAGAACAAAATTTAACTATTACCATTGTGCATACTCCCATAGCATTCCAGCTGATCCGGGAATGAGTCTTTATCAGGGGATATTTCTATCGACGCCCGAAAGAGACAATCAGGAGATATACCTCTAGTTACAGCAGCATCCTTATCGGCCAATCCGACCTGCTGACATTCTAGTGGGAGGAGGAAATCGGAATCAATATCCTCGTCTGCGAGCAGCTCATCGCTTTCGCGGAACATCCTCTCCCACCATGGTTCAGGCGTCGCTATGAGCTCAGTTTCGAGGTCGGTTTGAAGTTGCTCGTTTGGAGAAGAGCTATGGTCCTCATCAAAATAGATCACAATAGGATTCAATTCCGATCCCGACTGAGAATCCTCTTCAATCACAATGGGGTTGGTCTCTGTGCCTAGATCGGGGAGGCTGGTGGTTTTGCGTAAGATTACTGCAGATGAATTTGTTTGGTCTGCGAAGATAAACCAGCTTAGTTAGCGAGGCTGTTTTAGTACTGATTTTCCAAAGATCTCTAGACGCTTACCAAGTAGCTCGCTCTCGCTATCCATAGAGGGACGCATGTTGACTCAAGTAAGCAAGTAGATTGAATGGCTGAATGATGAATGGGTTAAGATGATTGAAGCTCCTCGAATTCTGGCCTTGCTTTATACTTCAGGATATACCATGTGTGCCTTGCCCAGCCTAGATGCACTCTCACTATCCGTTTGGGGGCTGACTGAATATGGCCTCTGTACCAATCGTTTTGTCATTGTGTTGGCTATCTTTCCCTTGGGCCAATGAATTCATGACACAATTTTTGGGACTTGCATGCGCATCAACAGCTGAAGCAGCTGTTTTCGCCGATAGAGAATCTTACAACGCCTGCCAATCATTTCGATAGCCGGGATATGGGGCAAAACATAGAGATCCCTGTTACTGCGGAGTAACCCTGTTTAGTTGACGCCGGGTGTCGACGCCCCGGCATCGCTCCACTTGTCGATCTGCCAAAGAATGACAAGTTGGTTTAAGATTGGCAGTGTTCCCGATAGAGCGTGTCGACATAAAGGTAGTTTATCGACGGTGAGTGATCTGAGAATGTCCAGGCTGGGATTTCTAAACACAGCCCGGTTTTGTAGATAGATCAGGGCTGGTTCCCCCTGATTCACGCTCTCCTTTTGACGTATAGATCAATCGGGTGGGATTCTGTCCGTTTCTTTTTTTAGGTTGTGGATTCAGCGGCCGATTCGCGAGATATCTATTTCAGCAATTCAGTTCTCGGCCTCACAGGTCTCACTAAATTCAAATCAAGTATTAGATTCTGCATGTTGTAGAAGTCGATAATACCAACCAATAATCAATTTACAGCTTTGTGGGTGGATCCGCAAGGTGTAAAAGCGTGACTAAGCAGAGACCTAGATATTGCAATAATGGTGGTCTCAAAGCACAAGGCAGATTTTCAAGATCCATTATACAAGTGGATCTCAAGGATGTAGGATTCCAGGGAATGGAAGAGGCATAACCTGACTCGTCTGTTCGCTTTTGTGGCGAAGCTCGGCGATTTGATTCAATGGCAAAAATGCCTCACTGTATGATCGGCGGCAAGAAAGAGAATAGGGGTATTGGAAGAAGGTAGGGGGTAGGAGGTAGTTGTAAAGTAAAGAACATCGACCATACCTGGGCGGCATGAGGGGTTTTATAGAACCACGCACGGGAACGCACGAGGACCAGGGACGCTAAACCAGAAGAGTGAAGACTAAACCTAAGAGCGTAATTCGTTGTACCCGTCCGATATGGTGTAGTGGCTAACATCGTCGTCTCTCACACGACAGCCGGGGGTTCGATTCCCCCTATCGGAGTTCATTTTTGCGTGTCTTTTTTTTTCCCTCCGGGGTCACGACCGGAGCAGCGTATTAAATTTGAGCCGTGGATTCTAAATACACAAAGGCTTTGTACTCGGGTAATGCGTATCATATATCTCATATACATATATAGGGCACTCCGGTTGGTGACTTTGTGGACCAAAAGCCCCGCTCGGCCAATCATCTTACAATAACACGCTAGTTGCAGTCATGGAAGCTTAGCATTCGCAGGAGCAGGACAATCTGGGAACTTTGAACTTCAGTCACAAAGTCTCGCAAATCCCCCAGGGCCGGATTGTGAGATGACATAACTGATCACGTGTGCAGTGTCAACACCCGAATTGCGCAGCCAAGACCTTCATCTGCAACCATGCCACCCAAAAGCTTCTCATATCCTTATCGCCGGAGCTCCAATGCCTCTGAAAACGACTTCTTTGACATACCAGACGAGTCATGCCTTTCCGTGGCGAAACGACAACTGCGCCGCCTCCGAACATGGGCCATAGTGGCCACCATACTCTTATTCGTGCTGTGGCATCGTCGTGAACGTCCGCCGCCGCCTCCCCTACCGCACATCCACTACGACGAGGTCGACTGGTCGCGCTTCGCTTATACCCAATATGCCACCAACGAGGTGTACCTGTGCAACTCCCTGATGGTCTTCGAGACCCTGGAAAGGTTAGGGAGTAAAGCTAAGCGCGTGCTGTTCTACCCCGAGCAATGGGACCTCATCGTCGAGGATGAATATGATCGTGTCAGTGAGCTGTTGCTCGTAGCACGCAATAAATTAAAGGTGATGGTGATCCCGATCAAGATTGATGGGATCGCAGGTTCAAGAGGTGAGCGTCACACAAATCAAACGTCGCACTGGGCTAACAGATATAGGCATTGGCTCCGAAGCCTCATGGGAAACAAGCCTGACAAAATTGATGGCCTTCGGAGAAGCCAATTACGAGCGCGTCATCCACCTCGATTCCGACGTCCTTCTACTTCAAACAATGGACGAACTGTTCTTCCTCCCACCCACCACCGTCGCCATGCCCCGCGCCTACTGGCTGCTCCCCGAGAAATCCCTTTCATCCCTCCTCATTGTCGTCGAACCCTCTTTCCGCGAATACACCCGCATCACCGATGACGCCATTCCGGCCAAAACGGGCCAGGTCGAGGTGAACGTGACAGACCATCGCTATGATATGGATCTGTTGAATGCGCGATATGGAGACTCGGCGATGGTTCTTCCCCATCGTCAGTATGGGTTGCTCTCGGGAGAGTTCCGGACAAAGGACCATCGCCGGTTCCTCGGGAATGACGACGAAGTGTGGGACCCGGACCATGTCCTTGCGCAGGCTAAGTTTGTCCACTTTTCAGACTGGCCTCTGCCCAAGCCCTGGGTGATGTGGTCCCCGGAATTGCTGGCTGAGCAACAGCCCAAGTGTGATTATCATCCCGGCACCCCGCAGGAGAGTGGGTGTCGGGATCGAGAGATTTGGAAGATGCTCTATGACAAGTACCGGAGGCAGCGAAAGGTATGTGTTTGTCCTAAATGGAGTTTTGGTTGGGATTTGGACTAAACTGCCACAGGATGTCTGCAAGTTGCTCAGCTACCCAGCACCCGCCTGATGAGGACCTCTAGGGGATATCGATTTCGGCGAGATGAGTCGAATATCAGGTTTGTACATATACATTAGACTAAAACGACCCGTGATGAACATATAGTGGAAGATACCTGGAATATTTGGGATCTGGATAATGACAATAACACCAACTGGGTATCTCGCAAAATGGCATGCACAACAGAAGCGCCACAGCCTCATGCATAGCCCATTCCCCTCCTCCACCACTTCCACACCCCCCTCTTGGCCATGATCGCACCAAACTCCTTCACACTCTCCACCTCATCCAACCCCAATGCTAGCCCTGGACTTTCTTTCTCTTTCCCCGTCTCTTTCGCTTTCTTCTTCCCCGCCTCTTCTCCTTCCTCCATCTCCAACACCCCTGCCCTTGTCACCAGCTGAAAGTCCTTATATCGCAATCTCCGCACCACATCAACCCACGACTCCACTCGCTCCTTGCCCCGGCCTTCCACGTACATGATGCCAGGACATCCTCCGGACCGAAGCAAGACCGCGCATTCGAGTGAATCCGCCGCCCGTTTCAGCGCCGCGACTTTCTTGCGGGAAGTAATGTGGTGTGTCCGGATCAGGGCATTGTGGAGTTGCATTTTGGACGTCAGAGGGAGAGGAGGAATTGGAGCTTCAAATGTTGATGATTGCTTGGCATTGCACTAGACCATATCCAGTAAGTATTGGTGCCTGGTAAATACGGCAACTGCCAAGTGAAAAAAACCTCCGAATCCCCCGGAGCTGCAGGACAATTGCATTGCAGCGCGGGGTGACAGCGCACGGGCAAACGGTGATTATTCTACAAGCGCTGAGTACCGAGTACTCTGTACTTTCTGTGAAGTATTACACTGCAGTGAGATGACAGAGCCCAGGTGTCCAAGCGGTGGCTAGACCATCGGCTATTGACCATCACCGAGTCTTCGATCGACGATCATCGTGATACGAGTATCTCGACAAGGAAAGCAGACCTCGAGACCAAGATCTGAGTCACCGCTACAAGTATAACAGACCGATACAGCAATCTGCTCCCTGAGATGCTAGCAGAGCCCTACGTTCGGCAGAGTCTGGAACCAGTGGATCTGCTTCTCGTCTTGGCTTCCTAATTGCGCTAAACAATCGCGCGGTGGCCGCGGGGCCCGCTGGATTATTCATTTCCTCAGTCCTTTTTTCTCTTATTAGCGGTGGCGCCGACCGGAGAGGATCCCGATTTTCGTGTTAAAAATGATCGGGTGGCCTGTTCGCTCCGGCCAGCTGCCATACTGGGTGAATGTATCGCAGCCAATTCTTCTCGCCCCGCCATGAATTCAATCCCTATTCCCTGATTGGTCTGGGTGGCGGTCCATCAGATATAGGACCCATTTATATATAAAAGACATGATGTTTCTGCGGCAGAATATTTGGCATCATTCGTACCTTGGCTTCCTGATTAGTGGATCGGGACCTGAATGTGGTTCCTAGAAGTCCGGATAGATCCCCATGGTTCTTTTATAAATATATGATCCTGTCTACCTTCTAAAGTTTGTACCTCACAGACAATGACCTCACCCTGACCAGAAATCAAATCTTCAAGAAAACGGCCATGCCTGCGCCGCTCAACCCCCACCCGAAGCATACTCCGTCGTTTGCTTCGGATTCTCACAATGACGGACCACCCCGAGTACAGGTCTCGCATGAAGATGAAGATGCCATTGCCGATATTCATCGCACTTTAACAGAAAAAACCGTCGAGGACAAGTATGCGGAGCCACATTCATCATTCGACAAATTCCTCGAAGAACAGGCCCAAGGGAAGAACAGATCCAACCTGGGTGTCTGTTTCCAATCACTCTCAACCTGGGGCAATGGAGATAGCCACGTCGATGTGAAAACACTCGGCACCGCCCTCTGGCGCACCTTGACCATGCAGGATATCTATGAATGGACCATCCAGCCTTGGTTCTCAAAGAAGAAGCCCGAAGATGGTCGTCAACTCATTCGAGACTTCTCCGGCGTTGTCGATAGTGGTGAAATCATGCTGTATGTCCAAGAAGACCAGAAAACCACATCAGAGCAAATATCTAACAGCATACAGTGTACTCGGACGCCCCGGAGCAGGCTGTTCAACATTCCTCCGCACAGTCGCAGCCCACCACAGCTCCTTCCTAGGCGTGACCGGCTCCATAGACTACTCCGGCCTAAGTCAAGAAGAGGTTAAAACGCACTACCGCGGAGCGGTAGCATACGTCCCAGAAGACGACGTGCACTTCCCAACCTTAACCGTTCGCCAAACCCTGGAGTTCGCCTTGCAAAGCAAAACGCCCAAGCGTTACCGCGAACGAATCCCCCGCTACCTCGAGATTTACGGCCGTGTCTTTGGTATGTCGCATACCATGAACACGCTCGTGGGAAATGAGTATATCCGCGGTGTATCCGGTGGAGAACGCAAGCGGATTTCCATCATCGAGTCTCTTGCTACTGATTCCTCTGTCACATGTTGGGATAACTCGACAAGAGGACTGGATGCTTCTTCTGCATTGGATTATGCGCGCAGTTTGCGCATCATGACTGACACATGTGGCAAGGCGACTCTTCTGACACTGTACCAGGCCTCGGATGCCATATACGATCTTGTCGACAAGGTCTTGCTTATTGACGAAGGACGCATGCTTTACCAAGGTCCTGCAAATGAAGCCAAAGCTTACTTCGAAGACCTGGGATACGAATGCGCGGATATGCAAACCACCTCTGATTTCCTGACCAGTATCACACTCCCCGAGCGTCGTCGCTTCCGCGCTGGTTGCGAAAACAAAGCGCCCAAAGGTCCCATCGAGCTCGAAAAGGCATTCAGGGAAAGCAACGCATTCGCCAAGATCGAAGCTGCCATCGATACCTACCAAGATCAAAAAGTCGGTCGATCCTCGGGTGTATACCCGACCGACTCGGAGTGTGGCAGCGTGGAGGAGTTCAAGAAGAATATCCAAAGCGACAAATCGCGGTTCGTGTCGCCCAAGTCGCCATATACCATTTCGCTTTTCAGACAGGTCGTGCTGTGCGCGAAGCGGCAGATGTGGCAGTTGAAGGGGCATATGAGCCCATTGTACATCAAGTTGATCTCTTGTGTTGTTTACGGGCTGTTGATCGGTTCGATGTTCTACAACCAGCCAAAGACTACTGAGGGAATGTATTCCCGGGGCGGTGTGCTCTTTTACTCTTCTATCCTGCTTGCTTGGTTGCAGATGTCTGAGTTGGAAGAGGCCATGCAGGGTCGGGATATTCTCAGTCGACAGAAGAAATTCGCATTTGTCCGCCCTAGTGCTGTGTGCCTGGCCAGATTCCTATCAGATCTGGTGATCACAGTACTTTTGACATTCTTGTACCTGATTGTGATGTACTTCCTTTCTGGACTGAGGACTGAGGTAAGTTCAACGCTGACTCTGGTTTGAGAACACTACGTTATTTCTGGATGAACTGACCAAATGAACAGGCAGGTCCCTTCTTCATCGATTTACTCTTCATCTACACGTGCACTGTCTGTCTCACCGCGCAATTCCGTGTTTTTGCTGCCGTATCCAATAACTTCGAGGTCGCCCTGCGCTATTGTGGTGTGTCCGTCCTCTTTTGTATTGTGTTCGGTGGTTATGTTCTATCCGTCGACAAGATGATTCAAGACGTTCCATGGGTTGGATGGCTCGCATACACCACTCCGGCCTTGTTCACTTACGAGGCTGTCATGGCTGCCGAGTTCCACAATGTCAACTTCCCTTGTGCAAGTGGATCCATCATTCCCTCCGGCACAGGGTACACAGACCTTGCTCTTCAGACCTGTTCCTACGCCGGTAGCAAAGTGGGCAGCTTAGTCGTGAATGGTGATGACTACCTGGCTGCCAAGTACGGCTTTGCATACAGCCATGTCTGGCGCAACTTCGGCATTCTGTGTCTTTTCACCGTTGCATATATCATCATGACTTGTTGGTTGAGCGAGGTCATGGAATGGGAGTTGGACAGTGCGGGTCCAATCGAGTACAAGGGGTCCTCGAAGCTGTTCAGCCGAAAGAAGAATGTACAGGCCGACGAAGAAAAGGCACCTGTTTCAGTTGATGCGAATGCTCCACCTGCTGCCCACAGCAGCAAAGCAGATCAAGTTCTCGCGGCTACGGAAACTACCTTCTCTTGGTCGGACCTTGAGCTCCACGTGGAGATCGGGAAGGAGACTCGGAAGCTCCTCGACAATGTTTGTGGATATTGCAAGCCTGGCTCGCTTACTGCCCTTGTTGGTGCATCGGGTGCAGGCAAGTCAACATGTAAGATTACTCCCTCTCCATGTTCCTCGCGTTGGGTGCTAACGACATATAGTGCTGACTGCGCTCACACAAAGAGAGAGTCCCGGTGTTCTTACGGGCTCCCTCTTCGTGGACGGTCGTTCTATCGACGAATCATATAACCGACAGATTGGATACTGTCAACAAATGGACATTCACGACGAGAGCGGCACCATCCGCGAAGCCTTTGAATTCTCTGCTCTTCTTCGCCAGAGTGATGATGTACCCAAGGAGGAAAAGTTAGCATACGTTGACACGGTCATTCACACCCTTGATTTGGTGGAGCTGCAAGATGCAATTATCGGATCATTGGACATCGAGAAGAAGAAGCGGGTAACTATTGGTGTTGAGCTCTGCGCTCGTCCAAAGTTACTTCTGTTCTTGGATGAACCAACTAGTGGACTTGACAGTCAAGGTGCTACCAATATTGTTGCTTTACTCCGTCGTCTGGCGAACCAGGGACTGGCAGTTCTTTGCACAATTCACCAAGCCAACCAACAGCAGTTTGAGGAGGTATGCGTTAACCATGTAACACCCCTTTTAGACGTCTTGAGACTAACATAAGCAGTTTGACCGAGTGCTCGCCCTTAGTCCCGGAGGAATGACATACTACTTCGGCCCGGTGGGTGAATCCGGCAAAGCAATCTTCGACTACTTCGCACGAGACGGCAATATTCCCGACAAGGTTACCAACGCGGCAGACTTCTTGATTGAAGTTGTAGTCGGTGGAATGAAAGCCTCGGAAGCCAACCAAACAAACTGGGCATCAGTCTGGCGTAACTCCCAAGAGTGCGCAGACGTCAAGAAAGAAATTGCCTCAATTCGCTCAGATCAAAACAGCCCCCCTTCTCTTCCCCCAACTCAGCCATCGCTTCTCACTCGGACATTCCTCTTGACCCAGCGCACTGGCCGCCAGTTCTGGCGCACCGCCGAGTATCCTTACTCGCGCCTCTACTCGTCTTTCCTGCACGCGCTGATCAACGGCTTGACCTACCTGCAAATCGGAAACAGTACCACAGACATGCAGTCGAAGGCATTCTCGTGTTTCCTGGTTCTCATGCTGGTTCCCGAGTTTATCAACGCCATCTCCATGCGGTTTATCTTGAACCGAGACATCTGGCTGGCGAGAGAAGGTCCGAGTGGTGTATACGGTTGGATTTCTTTCTGCACCGCCCAGATCGTGTCCGAGATTCCATACACGGTCATCGGCAGTGTGGTCTTTTTCGTTCTATACTATTTCCTCGTCGGATTGCCACTAGGCTTTGCGGCTGGGTATAGTTTCTTGATGTTTTTCATGTTCTTCCTGTTTGCTACATCGTGGGGGCAGTGGATTGCCGCTATGAGGTGAGTTTACCCTCGATAACTGCCATTATCTGCCTTGTCATGTACTAACCTACTACAGCGCCGACTCCATGATCGCCGCCACCCTCATGCCTTTCTTCATCATCATGTGCGAGCTTTTCAACGGCATCCTCCAGCCCCACAGCCAAATGCCCGCTTTCTGGAAGTACACCATGTACTACGTCACACCGTTCACCTACTGGATCGGTGGCGTTTTGACCTCCGTCCTGCGCGGCACGGAAGTCGTCTGCACCCAGAGCGAATTGACCATCTTCGGAAGTCCCTCGAATGTCACCTGTGGCGAATACGCTGGTACCTGGCTCGAGTCTAAGGGCGTGGGATATCTTTCTAACCCGGATGGTACGGGTGAATGTGGATACTGTGAATACAGCCACGGCGACGATGTAAGTTCTGATCTGATCTTCACAAGTGAAGAACGAATGCTAACTTTTCATAGTATCTCTCTGGCCTTGGCCTTGACTCTTCTAAGATCTGGCCCTACTTTGGCATCTTCTTGGGGTTCACTTTGGCTAATTATCTGATGGTTTACTTGATGGTCTATTTGCGATCTGTGATGAAGATGAGGAAGTAAAATTGGGGTGTTTTTAATTTAGCATGATATTAGCCCAGCGAGTCTTTCGTATTTGGATTGCATCGGAAATAGTCCCTGAAAAGAATTGACGCAGCATTACCGACATCAGTGCATGGCGCACTATCTGTGAAGCAACAGACATTCCCGAATAGGCAGCGTAGACACCTTAGGCCACAAGTGAGGTTCAAACAAGCACTTGGACTTCCACAGCCTCGCCCCTCTTCGTATTCCCACCTGGGCAGTGTCTTATAATGACTCACAGTGGATTTCACACCGCAGCAGTCGAAGCCAATGAAGTTCAGCCTGTTTTTTTATCAATCAGTCCCCCTTCGGAGATATGACTGCGCTTACCTGATCGGGTATCTCCGAGCCCGGACTTATCCGAATACAGATCCTTCCCTGCCAGAGCTCTTTGCCTGTCTTTTATATAGAGCGCCCTGTCACTTGTGGAGATGTGATCTTTTCTTTTCTGATCAAAACTCCGAGTTACAGACCGAACGCTGCACTGGGCTGTCGTGCAATGATTGAAAAAACCCCGGTCGCACGTAACTAGCGCCAGGCTACAACAACCCACAAGCCAGCATCAAACAACATCAAAGATGACAGCAGACTCAGACTCAGCAAGGAGGAACCATGTCTGCAATGAAGATCTAGAGGCAGGGCCAGGGCAGCAACCCCAGCGTCGCCGCCGCCCACCACTCTCATGCACAACCTGTCGGCGCCGCAAACTAAAATGCGACCGCTCCCTGCCATGCGGACAATGCATCCGCTCAAAAGCAGCACACGAATGCATTTACACAGGAGCACAGCCAGATTCAAATCGCCATATGTCACCCCCTCTATCGCGGCCAGTGCAGCGCGCGAATGAGCGCAAAAGCGGCATGTTCATATTCGACTCTAAGATGGGCCCGGGCTCGGTTTCATCGCGAGTCTCCAAACGTCGGCCGGATGAATTGACGGAATTGAGACAGAGATTGAAGGCATTGGAGAATTCACTCAAATCTAATTTACAGACGCCGGATACTTCGGTTGGTGATGGGGTTTCGGAAATTGATGCGGGGAGTACTTCGGAGAACATGGGGGTTGATGATCGGGTGCGCTTTTTGCCGGATGCGAGTTTTCGGGGCAAGAAGGCGAAGACGAGGTATTTTGGTCGGAGTCATTATACGACCACCATTTCTTTCGTGAGTCTGACGAGTTTTTCAATTGATTTGCTGGAAGGAAAATGTCGGAGTAATTGCTAACGACATGGTAGTTTCAAGATGTTGGGGCGTTTTTGCGTCGTGGCCAGCGTCGTGGAGAGGGAAAGGACAAAGAGTACTGCGATATGAAAAGCTTCAAAACTGAACTCTGGTCGCGCGAGACGCAGGATCATCAGCGCGAGTTTCGCGAACAGGCGTTCAAGCTCAATGAGATGATCCCGCCGCGGCCGGTGGTGGACCATCTACTTCGGCTGTACCTTGATACGTTTGAGACCACCTATCGTATCCTCCATACTCCAACTTTTTTGAAACAGTATACCGACTACTGGGCCAATCCACAATCTCCTGATATGGGATTTGTGGCCCAGTTACTCGGTGTGATGGCTGCTGGCAGTTGCTTCTATATGCCACCCCCGGGCCGAGACGAGCGTGACATCTTCCAGAAGCCTGCAATCAGATGGATGATGGCTGTCCAATCTTATATCTCATGCACATTTGTCAGCCCGGATATTGACTTCCGCATGCTTCAAACCCAATGTCTTCTGCTAGTGGCACGTCTCGGAATCGCCAGTGATGGTGATGTAGCCTGGGCATCGGCTGGATCACTCATTCGATCAGCGATGACAATGGGATTGCATCGCGATCCAACAAGGTTCCCGAAATCTCGTCCTTTCCACTCCGAGACCAGGCGCAGGCTTTGGGCAACGATCGTTGAATTGGACCTCAAAATATCCCTCGATCGTGGAGTTCCGCCATCGATTGATCTAGATGAGTCTGATTGTGACCCTCCTTCGAACTGGGATGACTCTGAATTAACCCTTGAGATGGAGCATGATCCCGCACCTCTGAGCACTGCATTCTATACCCAGAATTTCTACCAGACCCTGCTCACTAAAACACTTCCCCTTCGCTACCGGATCGCAAAGAAAATCAACAGTCTCAAGTTCAGTCTGTCCTATGACGACGCACTCCGAATGGGAGAAGATCTCTCCCGTGCGATGCAAAGCGCGTCCTCCATATTTGACGATGATGCCTCAATGATTATTCCCGAAACATCGCACCGCCATCGCTTCGCTCAGTCTCTTCACCTTTTCATCCTACGCAAGTTTTTACTCGCCCTCCACCGCCCCTTCTCCTTGAGCGTCGTCAGATTACCGAAATGCTCATATTCTCGCAAAATCTGTCTTGAAGAGTCTCTCGGCATTCTCTCTCAAATGGAGCTTCCCCACTCCCCAGACAGCATACAATATCCACACATCACCCAGTTAGGCAGCGGAATGTTCCGCGACGAAACCTTCCATGCTGCCGTGACGGTCTGTGTGGAACTATCACTCCAAGCAAACGAACAACAGACTTCGGCTTCAGGCATGGACGGTGTCAACTCCAGCGTTCTTCTCAGCATGATACAATCACAACAACATGTGATGATACAAGCCGTTGAGCGAACAGCCGATAATTTCGGAAAAAGAATCGCCTCCGGTGGAAAGGGGTCTAAGCCATTCTTCTTCCTAAATATTATCTTGGCTTCAGTCAAATCACGCGTCAAGGGCGAGGATCCAATGTGCAACGTCGACGCTGCATCTAAACGAACTGTCCGCATCTGTCGAGGGATCTTGAATGGTCATTCATACCAGGATGCTCAAATCGCCGTTGATAATAGACCCGTGCAAGTAAGTTTTCACCACGTCCTTTCTCGACATGGCTAACTTTTGTTTGTCAGACGCCACTGCCGTCAGAATTTACTCCAACTTCTACCACCCTCAGTGATCTTGATCCTGCATCTCTGATCTCAACGGACTTCAGTGACCTTGCAGTAAGTCTTCTTAACGCTCGATCTGGATATTTTACTAACAATTGGCAGCCAATGGATATCGGTGGATGGTTCGATGGGTTAGATTACACGGGCTCTGAGCTGTGGGATCCTGAATTGTTCGGCAATTTGCCAACATTCTCATGAATTATGTCTGTACACTAATACCAATCACCACTTTTAATCACGCATCTTTCAATACCCCATAATTGCACGGAGCAAAGATCGGAGAGAGCTCCGGTTACCACACGGCGTAACACCGAGGTACCGTAGGCGTTTAGGCTAAACCTCGGCAGAATGAATCAGCCCGCTCCGCGCGCAATATGAGGTTCTTCGCTTAGGGTGATGTTCTCTCCGATACCGGTGAGGGACGGTACCTGCGGGCCGTACCGTGCCACGTTCACACCACTCAAACTTGACCCACCTGTTTTATTTTGATATTTTTGACATGTAGAAATCGGTGATCGTCAGCAAGTTGTACTGATATGCTGCCTCCGGCTGTTCTTCCGCCTCCGCTGGGAAAAGGCCAGTAAACTGACTGGCTGTGGCTTGCATTCAAGATAAAGCTTGAGAACTCCTCCGATTTTATACACAGAAAAAGGTCCGAAAAACATTAAGTAATTGATGATAAACATGATTTCAACCACTTCAATTCTGCTGTTAGTCTTCTTCGCTGGTTTGACCATCGCTGGCACAGTTTACCAAAGCGATTTCACCTCCTCGCTCTCCCCATTCTCAGCCTGCAATGTCAAGTCACCATCGTTCTCAGATCAAACAGATGGCAAAATGCAAGTCTACTTCGATGAATCATACTATGATGGTACTCGCGACCGGAAAGGCGCAGAAATCTGTGTATTTGAAAGCGGAACAAAAACGAATGTTGCACAAATGACCAAGGAAGGCTGGCAGGGTTTTTCTATTTACGTGCCTTCTGACGATTTCCCAACGGACAAGTCCACGATTATAGCACAACAATTCTGCCCTGGTGGTTGCTCATCTTGGTGTGGAACTGTTGAGATTGTGGAAAACACGGTCCAGGCAACTTATCGCTCCAGCTGTGGGGATGGGACTACTACAACCATCGTTGATGACATCGAACGGGATACCTGGCACACAGTTGTGGTTCGAATGAAAGTTTCGAAGGAAAGCGATGGGGCTCATGAGGTCTGGTGGGATGGCACATCAGTCTATTCGAAGAATAATGTTGATGTTGGTTTTGGGACTTGGGATTCTGATACCTTGACGACGGGTTGGTATTTCAAGAATGGAGAATATTGTTTTGGTAAGTTGACCGTGAATTTCGAAGTTCTGAGGTTGTTTGTTTCATTCCTCGACTCAAATTTCAAAGCTGCTGTTCTGATATTAACGAAATCAACGAACTAGACGTGGACGCATTCACAAATGAGACCAGAACGCTATACTTCGACAACATCACTTGGTACGAAACGGATGATGGGGAAACGGATGGTTATGAGACAGTGGCTCCCTGAGCGAGGGCTTAAGTTCACCAGGACATCTGAAGAAAGCGGGTCAGCTCCCACATGGTGGGGATATATAAGTAAGTATCGTTAGAGTGTCACGGCTCTGGGGTAACCCATATATTGCCCTCATCTATAGATTGTGAGATGTTAGGCTCAATCTCTAATGTTCGAATAACAGAGATTGCCATGTACACACATGAGATATCCATGAATACAACCAGTGATGGGAACTTTGGCTCCCATGATCGGCTTACTAGGCTCTTATACCTTTAAATTTGAAAGCAAAATTTAATCTGCGTAGGGAAAGTGAGATAGTAGTCAAGTGAACTGATTTTTTGAGATCGGGATATCTACCCCAATGGGTAGAAGCGCGTGAACTGAATTGACCCATAATCTAAGAAGTGGCATGGATAAGACGAGGAAAGCGATCCGGGGCGCGTAGAGTGTACAGGGTTGATGAAATCCTAGAAGGGTTGATAGACAGTGTAGAGGGTAACAAAGAAAACAAGACAAAGTTTGGTCGACCTAGAAAATAGAAGAGAATCTCCCTTGACAAAATTTTGTGTTCTGACAACCTCCGGCCACCGGGTGAATCGCCGGCCTTGAATGCGACCCACCCGCCCCTAACTACGCCAAGGTGGATCACCGCGCCCCAACCGCGGGGCCCCGGGAAGAGGCTTGGGCCGGGGGAAAGCCCGGAGCAAATGGGATTATTCAATCGAAATCAAAGCAGGCGACAGAGTGAGGTAAAACTCAGCTCTCGGTGAGAAAATTCTCCGGAGTTACCACCGACATTTATGACTACCAAAACACTGCTTGTTACCATCCGAGTGTGGAAATAGATAAGAGCTCGGACTCTGTCCATGTATCTTTCTATCCTCACATTTGCATCACCGTGATTCGATCCCAACCAAGCCTCAATCTTTGAAATGCATTTCAAAAGGATAGCTTTTGTCTTCCATCTCCTCCTAACCTCCGCGTCGGCCACACACGACGCGAAGCCATTTGCACATCCAGGGGCATTGCATACAAACCAAGACTTTCAAAGAATAAGAGAGAAAGTGAAAGCCAAAGCAGAGCCATGGTACCGCGGATGGCAGCATCTTCAGTCTGCGAAGTTGGCCCAGACAGCATGGACCCCTCAACCACACGAGGTGCTTGTCCGCGGCACCAATGCTACGTGGCAGCCAACGCCTGCACAAAACTACGGAGACGCATATCGTGATGCTCACTCCGCTTATCAGCTTACGGTGCGTTGGCTCATAGGTGGCAACACTTCATATGCCGACCACGCTGTCGACATCCTTAACGGCTGGGGCTCAACACTACGTGATATCAACGGTACAGAGGACAAGTTCCTTGCAGCAGGTCTATATGGATATCAATTTGCCAACGCAGCGGAGCTACTCCGAGTCTATCCTGGGTGGACGAAAGCCAATCAGTCAGTCTTCGCCACGATGCTCAAGGATGTCTTTGCAAAATACAACTTCGACTTTTTAGAACATCACAATTACAAGACAAGCTTTTACTACGCAAATTGGGATTTGTGCAACATCGCTTCACTCCAGGCCATTGGAATATTTACCGACAACCGAACTATGTACGATTACGCTAATAACTACTGGAAACAAGGCCTACCGGATACCAGTGTGGTGGTCAACGGAGCCCTGCCGTATTTCTCTATCGCCAACTTCACAGAGGACCAATCTGGCAAACAGCTCATGGAAATACAAGAATCAGGCCGTGATCAAGGCCACGCGACGTTGTGTATTGCTTTGCTAGGAGTAATTGGACAACAGGGGTGGAATCAGGGTGTGGATCTTTACTCCACATACCAACGTCAGATACTCAACGGGTATGACTTTCTTTTCCCTCATCATGAAATACTTGCTGATGCTACTATCCACAGTGCTGAATACATTGCGAAGTATAACACCAATCACACCGTTCCTTATACCCCCTACACCAGCTGGGAAGGATTACTGAGTGTCGTGGCCGAAAAGGCCCGTTTCAGCGTCCGGCCGGGATATGAGGCAGTCGTGTCTCATTACGCAGGTGTCAAGCATCTCAATAATTCATGGTCGATGGAGTATCGGGACTATGTCAACAAGAATATTAGTGCAAATATTGAGGGTGGCGGTGGTGACTATGGCCCTAACTCAGGAGGATACGATGTGTTTGGTCATGGCACTTTGCTTTACCGTATTGAGTCTGACGCCTAGGGCCTGTTGTTTTAATGCTGCTGGGGATTGGATTATCTCTCTCTTAACTGACAAATCTCTCCTCTCTTCCTCCTTAGATCCGGTGAGCTAGAGGGCCGATATCATTCGTCCCGCTTCTCCTTATTTAATGCCATCAGAGAACCTTCAATTTGAGTACTGGGCGAGTGTCTGCCCGCCCTTGAGACACTGTGATTTGGAATCGACATTGGCACTATATCCTACTTGGTACGAGGGGGCAGGGCGGCCAGGTCGGATGATGCCCCAATATGCCTAATTTGTGCCTGCTTCCTGCTTTGCCTGGCTTCTGGCAGGCAGAGAAATCGGATACCTGAGTTTCCAACCTTGGAATACAAACTTCCAAATGAAGTCTTTGTCTTTGCAAACAAGAAAAAAGGGGAAAAAAAAGGATTCGAACCTGGGTCTCTGGGGGGCGGGCCAATATCTTACGATGTAGAACCACAGATACATGACCGCTAAGCCAAAAAGGTGCACACCCTTCTAGAGCTGTGTCATAGTACCATGTATTCATACCTTGACATACGAGTACTGAAGGAAACTTCGTGGCTTAGAACCGCCCTCGCGCAGCGCTTTTTCCACTACTAGACCAACCAGGCTTTTAACATTCATCACAAGTGAATCATGTCAAGCAACCTGCCTATTACAGTAATTTACACATACAATAGCTCCATCCGACCTGCCGCCCTGCCCCTTCGTATACACCTGTAGACGTACCCGGGTCTTCTTTTTTGGTAATCGCAGCCCTGAAGTCAACCTACGGACTTCAGGAGTACACCAGGGCTGTTTGTTTAAGTAACCTTGGAACCCCTGGACTTGGCTGCCGGATGCATTTCCCACGCATCAACGCTCCTCTTCAATCAATTCCATGAAATTGTGTGAAACTTTAGTCTGTTTCTCGACGGTAGATGATTTCACCTACCATCCGATGGTAAAATATGTGTAAGATCACATTCACCATCCCCAGGGCATAATACTCACGTAAGTTGAAGGAGTCTCTCAGACAGTCAGATTGTGAAAACCACACCCTACACAACTCAGAGAAACCTAGATGCATGAAATGCTTTATAGCCATGGTTCCAATATACATTGTGGAACAAAGAGGGCATATGACGGAGCATGGGGCTGCTAAAGTGACAGATTTCCAAATTTGCAAGGTGGGAATGATTTGGATTTATTTACCAAATATTTAGGTGGCAAAAATGAGGACATGCAACAAAGCACGTTGTTGTGCGATCAATTCATGAGTCTGATTGTTCTAACTGAGTTCTAAGAATAGCTAGCCAGCGAAGACATGGGGAGGCTCCGGTCACGTGCGCTAGTCACGTGGGGGCAACACACGTGTAACGCGTTGATCAAGTCACGTTATTGAGATTGGGCTTAGCCCGGTTGGGCTGGTGTACCTAGGTATGTATGCTTCCTGGGTGCTGAATCTACATCTGCATCTGGCTGGGCGGACCCCCCCCCACCCCACTACCACAGTAGCCCGCCACCCAAATCCTCGATACCAATTTCCCAGCCACAACCACGCATCGTTGGAATTCTACGGAATATCGTTGTAATGCGTACAGCCTCACACCAGTTTGTAGGATGGGCTGTTCCAGGCTGATCGCCTTGGACGAATAATTGACTATGTTGTCAGCCTATGAGAATGAGGCTCGAAACACTTCGTGACCCCGGCTCTGGGCGGTATAAACAAATAAAACCCCTCACTAGCAAAGCGGGTTGGAGGTTGGCTGGTGTCAGTACGAGTACATGACACTGGTCAGCGGCTGCAGCCCCACCCCGTTCGGGAGATAGGCTGGGTAAGCAGCACAATCACCCCACCTGCCGTTGCCTTCTATTGCCTTTGGTCTGTTTTGACATCGCCTCGTTCTTAATGCTGCAGGCTCCTAATGCTCTACTCTACGATGGCTATCTTGTGTAACCACACCATTTAACACCAGATCAGATAACTCAAGCTCGACATAATATGGAACAACCTGAGGCCCCAAGAGCCCACTTTCCTAACTACCTGCGCGCCTTCTACCCTTTTCACCCCGCCGAAGAGATCTCTCCACAGATAGTCACCCTTCCACTAGATCAGGGTGAAATTATCCTGGTTCACTCCATTCACACCAATGGCTGGGCCGACGGTACTTCTTTAGACTCTGGGAATCGAGGCTGGCTGCCTACCAATTATTGCGAGGAATATGACGAACTCATTATGCGTCCCCTGTTGAAGGAAATGACAGATTTTTGGGATATCATTCGAGGAGGAGTCGGCCCATCACTAAAAGATTTTGGCAATCAAGATTTGATGCGAGGCCTCATCGCTGGTGTTCGTTCCCTTCTGGAAAAGTCAGATTGTTCGACTCGGGAAGCACCTCTCGTCAAGAAGTATACTGGCGTTCGCGAAACCCGCAGGGACCTTCTTTCGGGACTGTCGTCCCTCGTCAAGACTATCAAGCAGTTCCAGGAGATTACTAATCGCGCCCCGGCAGAGGATGAGGTTGAAGCGATACTGGATGAGATGCTGCTCCAAGCTTTCAAGGTTGTCACTCGTGGCGTTCGCTTCCTGGATGTCTGGAACGAGGAGGTTGGTTTGAGCAGGAGAATTGAAGAGACGGAGACGGCAGGTTCTCAACATAATGTGCCTTCAATGCCAGCACCCGCGATCTTCTCCTTGACCGATACTGCCCCGATTTCCAATCCTTACACCGAGCAGAGTGCGTCGCGACAAATAAATCACGATCGTGCAGACTCCGGCATAACATCGATGCGGACCGAGGCGCTAGATCGGCAGTCTCTTATGCCTGCGTCGACACAGCGTGTCTCCCTATCCGACCAGGTCTCGCACCCTGGTCTCTCGTTGGCCGTTCCTACGCAGAATCTTGCATCGCAGCGTCTGGCTACCTCATATGATGATTTTCTAGACGTGTTGGGAAACCTCATCGATGTTCACAAGCCGACACACTCAGCGATTGAGCTAATAGGAACCAACAACCGAGCCGTGCAGTATGGCAGGAAATTCCTGTACGTGATTGAGGAAATCTGTCAGCATGATGTCCAGCGAAGTGCCCCTCTGGCTGAGGCACGCGAGTCGGTGATTGAAGAGCTGTACGAGGTGGTCCACGCTGCGCGCGATGTGTTCTCAACACCAGACTCTCCCGACAAGGACCTGGTTTTCATGCCAGATGAGGCGACGCGACTTGTCAACGTTGCAACGGATTGCGTACACGCCGCTGGTAAGTGCCTGGCCAAGGCGCGCCTGGTGCTGGAGCAAATTGGCGACCTCGAACTACATCCCATCCAGGATGATCCAGGCATTGTCACCTCGCAAGCGTCCTGTGAGATACCGGCAGGCCAGGCAAAACAGCAAGAACTCTCAACTAGTCTTCCTCCATCGCCCCTCACGATTCCAAGCTCGACGAACTCGCCGCCTACGCGTGGTCTCGCCGAACGAATTGGCGACGTCGAATTGAACCCGCAAAGCCTGGCAAGTGCCATGTCACTGGACCAATCAGATGCCACGGACCTTGTTTTGGCTAAAAAATTCGTTGTGGATCAAGATTTTTCTACCACAATAGGGTCAGTGTCTCAATATGCATCTGATCGAATATTTTCTGCAGGTCAGCCTTCTACTCTGGACAGACAAACAGCCTTAACAGCCATAACGGATCACACGGCTCCAATATGTTCAGAGTTTGAATTGGAAACGGAGGATCTACGAACAATATATTCCGATACCTTAACCATGGTTGCCTCGATCAAAGAATCTTATATTAATGAGCTCGCGATTGAGCTTTCCAAAGCCGTTTCCACTTTTCGATTGGACTCTACATCCATGAAGCGTGTCGCCGATGCCCTGCCTGGCTGTCTGAAAGCCTTTTCATCGAGACTTGGCTGCATTAGCTCATCCCAACAGGCCCAGCGAGACGTGACTGTCTTCATCCACAAATACAGACAGTGAGTTACTCAATGCTGCTCGCTTTCGGGCAGCGTCTAGTATGATATTTCTGTCTGACAATCTTTGTGAAGTGCAATAGCCAATGCATTCATCAATTCACTGGAAACTCCATCCTCAGATTCAGAGTCCATTGTGGATGACAACATGCCACTGGATGAGAAGTTGCAACTCTGGATGAGACATGACGCGGACTCCGCGAGTGATGATGAGGCTGATCCATTCGATTCCCTTACTTCTCTTCTTCCAATGATCGAAATAGGCGAGGAATCCAATCCTGATGCTCACCCTGACATGCCAGAGCTACAGAGATATCGCGAGTGTTTTCTTGAGACACCAGCGTATGACTGGCTCCTTGGCCATGTTCAGAGAAATTTTCTCCTCGAACCGTCAGATCCAGACGTAATGGCAGACATTTCCAGTGCAATTTTGCGAGATCTACCTCCCCATCTCTGCTTTAGCAGACGAGAATCTGTGCCATCATATACGTTGGAATATACTGTGGACTGGGACTTGGTTTCCTTCCTGGAAGATCAGGAATACAGCGAGGACAATGCTGAAGCGCTCCCTCTAGTCATAACACTCACTGGATCGCGCAAAGCAGTCCAGGCGCTAACTTGCTCACAATATCTTCATCAGACATGGCCATCTTCTGCGGGAAAAATGCTTCAGTTACTGCAGGATTTGTTGAGAATCCCACCCGGGGAAAAGGCCACGGGTAATCTATCATATCAAAGAAGGCATTCATACTGTCATTCACTAATTGGTCTTTAGGCACTCTGTCTGATGGCACATATCTTGTCGCTTGGTTTCGATCTCCCGGGGCGTCAAGTAGCCCCAAGCTCGTGTTTCAAGTCAAGGGCTCCACCTATTCAATCGCCGAGGTAGGAGAGCAGCTCTGCTGGCTAGGATCAGCTCTTCGGTGTTCTTGCCAGCCTGATCAAATCGTATATTGTCAACCTCAGGTTGGTAGTCTGACAACAATTCCTGGCGAAAGCCAAGGTAGCGGGAAGCAGAAGGCTACCGAATTCAGCACTAATATCTCATTTGCAATGATACACACAGGAACCTTCTCCAAAATCAACGGAGAATGCTGGCATGATCTTTTTCGAAGCGGTGTGGTCGTTCAAGGCTTCCCAATATCCCGACGACCTGGAGTAGGTACGGTGAAAGGTCTTGATATCCCACTTCCTATGATGGCTCGCCTTGCAGAAGCAAATTATGTGAACACCTTCTTGGGCAGTGTGATAATTAAAGGATTCTCTTCTATGCTTATCCCAACTCAGAGTTTGGAAGGGATCATTGTTTGGCACTTGGTTTACAACAGAAACGGGGATCGAATATCATACCTCGACAACACAGTGTCTCCTGTCCAAGAAGTTTCCACCACTCTGCTCTCACAGGCACGCCACATTCTAGGGTGGTGTGTAAATGCAAAACATCTTGCAGGTATGATTTATCAAGCTTCCTATGTTTATTCTGCTAACATCCGTAACTCTTTAGGCACACAGCATGCAACGTATGGTGTATCAGCCTCACATCTTCCAAGGCTCCGTGATGATGGACTTCTCAGCCACGCGTGCATCTATAATGGGCAGATAATAAAAGGCGGCGCACCCTTCCTGGTGGGGTATAAAGATGTTCCACTTCATGTTTCTAGAGGTGGATATCTTCGGAAACTCAAATGGATCGTTCAGAAATCCGTGGTCCTCTGGGATGAAGAAGCAAAGCGAGGATGGTTGCTGAATGGAGCGAGCGCCCTCTTGCATCTCGTCCGTGCCTCGATCCTTCAGGATATTGAGGGTCCCTTCAATTCAGAATGTCACTTCAAATGGGAAGATTTTGAAGAGGAGGCAGTTAATTCAAAGACCCCATCTGCATTTGCCATTGCGGTTCTTTTGAACCACAAAAATCGAGGTCTCACGATCTATGAAGCCGAAGACGACCACGTCAAGTTCGAAGATCGAGTGAAACACTTTTTGAATATCCTTGAGCAGATGTTCGATTACCAAATTCATGCTTCTGGGCCGGACGGTAGTACATACAGTTCCAAGGCTATTCCCAGGGCTCATTTCGAAGGCTGGGACTTTCATGATCTCGCTACGGAACTAGACCCGCTTCACCCGCGAAGAGCGATCTTTGCATCTAAGGGAAAGGCATGGGTTGATTTCACGCGGTCAATTCATACCATCAACCTTCTGGGTCGGAATTTTGGTGAGATTCTGGCGCCGTCGGACATTTCTTGTTTGCACTGGGCGTCACTTCCCAAAGATCAATACTATCTCGCCGTTGGGACCTCAGATCTAAGGATGATTCTTGGACGTACGGGCGACCTCACGACAAACCCCATACGTCTCAGCGAGAATCTTGTTTGGCAAAACTCAGATAAGATCTTTGATCCATGTTGCTGCGCTGGTGCCACCGCAGATCACGCTGATATAGTACAAGTGATATTTCCGAACACACTATCAGCTAATTTGGAGACCTGCCGTCATACCACCGACTTGTCAGATCATGGGGCGGTTGTCTTTGGATATAATCGCAACTTCCAGTGGGGATGGGATGATACTGGGGAACCTGAAAGGAACGAAATCAAAACCTTTGAAGGAAACCCGCTCTCCACAACGCTTTCGATGGGCTCTGACAGTGATGTCCTTGACATATCGAGCTCCCGGAATGATTCAACTTCCACAGAAATCACCATCGACAGCACGGCGGTGGAGAATGAGCTAGCGCACCCAAAGCCCCTCGCCCGATCATATACCCGGTCGCGATTGGAGTCATTCAAACCGGAGGACTATGCTGTTGGTATTGTGTGCGCGCTGCCGTTAGAGTTCTTGGCAGTTCGCGCCCTATTCGATCAAACCCATCCCGATCTTCCTTTGTCCACTGCGGATACAAATCATTACGCTCTGGGCAGCATGGGACAGCATAGGGTCGTTGCTGCCTGTCTTCCAGAAGGAGAATATGGCACGAATTCTGCGGCCGATGTTGCAGCCAATCTGAGAAGAAGCTTTTGCTCCGTAAAGTTCTGTCTGTTGGTAGGCATTGGTGGTGGTGTTCCATCGTCAAGGAATGACATTCGCCTCGGCGATATCGTCGTTAGCAAGCCGAATATTATGGGTCCCGGTGTAATTCAGTATGACATGGGAAAGGCCCTCGAGAATGGCGAGTTTCAGCAAAGTGGAACTCTCCAGCCGCCTCCTCGAATTCTAATGACTGCACTCAGCAATATGAAATCTGATCCCGCGATATCGCAAGCTCCTCTGCAGGACTACATTCAAGAAATCGCGGCTCGCAGAAAACAGTACCGCTACCCAGGCCCAGAACACGATCGCTTATTCCTCAGCCATTACGTGCACAATCACAAGCACACCACTTGCGATTTTTGCGATGCAACATACGTGACTAAACGTCCCAGTCGATCAAACCATCACCCGCAAATTCATTATGGTCTCATTGCATCAGGCAATCGAGTCATGAAAGACGCTCAACTACGTGACATGTGGGGTGTGGAGAGAGACGTTCTTTGTTTCGAGATGGAAGCAGCGGGCATCATGAATACTTTACCTTGTCTTGTCATCAGGGGCATATGCGATTACTCGGATAGTCACAAGAACAAGCACTTTCAGGAATATGCGGCGGCCACGGCTGCCTCGTATGCCAAACTCTTGTTGTTTTACACGAAAGATAGCAGTGGCTTAGACGAGGCTGTGCTCCGTTTAAACGGGGTTGCAGAGGCTGCAAACTTTCTCGACATGTTGCGTCACGTCAAATCATTGAAGGGTGATGATTACCGAAATTTTTGGGTTCGACATAGTTGAGTGAAGCCTGCGGCGAGGAAAATTGAAAAGCACATTTTTATTCGATCCATGCTTCCCGACGTAGGAAATATTCATTGGCTTGTTGTTGGTCTTTGCTATTGCAAGAAAAAAGGGCAATAGGTTGCTATGCGCAAATTGATGAATTCCTCCCGACCTTTGATATCATAGCAACCTCCGCCGTCTTCTACGCTGCGGAGAAGTGGCTCAGTTCCAGACATTTCGAGAAGAGGGCGTGTATGTGGTCACTGACGTGTTCCCAGCAGGCCTTAAGAACTCTCGATAGAGGAAGTGGAGGCTTATACTATAGGTGTATCCAGCACATCCCCTGGAGAGAACAAAGTCACAGTGCAGCTACTCAAGGCCTGCTGGGAACACGTCAGCGACCATATACACGCCCTCTTCTCGAAATGTCTGGAACTGAGCCACTTCTCCACAGCATAGAAGACGATGGAGGTTCCTATGAGAAAGAGGGATTTATATGCGTTTCTGGAGGCAGTGAAATTAGCACTGGTCCTCAATTAGTAAGCTTATCGGCAATATATTCAACAAACAAAGCCTACCCTACTTGAATAGCTATTTTGATAAAGGAGACCCCATCCTATACGGGAGCTACATGATAGAATCATATGTATAAAGTGCACTGAGTCACACCCCATTTCCTCCAACAATAGGTAAATCACCCAGACCTCCTCAGAGGCCTAGAACAATCTGAAGGCACGGAACGACTAAAGAGATTTGTTAGGACGCACTCCCGCGGTCGGCGGCCCCAGCAGTACGCTACTAGATATACCGATCCCAGGCATGACAAGACCTCGTCTCATCATATTAGGTCTTTTGACCAAGTGGCATAAATTGCTATACGCCTAGGTATAGTAGTTGTCACAAGGTTCGTTTCAAAATAAGTGTGAACTAACGAGGTATATGAAACAGCATGCAATTGCTCACGTGATCGATTTCCAAACTTGGCAGGTTGGAATAATTCGGCATCAATTCATAAAATATTTAATCGATACCAAAAGTGAAATGGCGAAAAAGACGTCTTCTGCACATTCATGAAGACCCAACCCGGCCTCCGGTCCTTGTGAAATCAGTAAACATATCGAAAATTCCGATTCTCGCGATCTGTGAGGTCTTGGAACGCTTCATCATGAGAGAGCTCATTTGTAAGCTGCTCCTTGGATCGATTTCTGGCCATAATAATCACACGAGTGAGAATGACAAGAGCAATGTAAACGACATAAACGACGATATGAGCGAGGAATCCATGCAAATAACGAGGCGCATCATTGTCCCGGAAAATTTGGGGTGCAATCAAATTGCCAACAGCCCAGCCGACAAAGAGCATAGTCATGGTGAAGCTTTTCTTCGATTGACCGGCAATATTCCGGGTGATGAGCGAGATGATCATGTTGCCTTGGGCTGGGAAGAATTGTGTGCAATAGAAGGCGATTAGCATTCCCCCTGCGTTGGATGGATTTGGAGTGACGACGAGAATGACGATTGTTCCAACGATTGCTGGGATGGTGTATACCTATGCTTCGTTAACCACTGCAGGCTCTGATGAATTTATTGAGGCACTCACTATCATTACGAAGCATGTTTGTTGGAATCGTTGCGACGCCCAGGCAGACCCAATCATAACGATTATGCTCCAAGCTCCCTGGGCGATGTTGAGAAGCTGTGTTTGAAGAAGAGTAAATCCAAACTTTTGGATGATGAGGTTGGAAAATACCCCGAGGCCGCCAATGACCAAGTTTGCCACAAGGATAAGCATCACACAGCACCAAACCAGCGGGTCTTGAACTGCCTCAAGTACTTGATACTTCTTGTACTTTTTGTTCTCAATGCCGGTCTCGTTGTGCCGCACTCGTTCAATCATCAAGCGCTTCTCATCCTCAGAAAAACATTTTGCTGAGATGGGGCTGTCGGGAAGAAATATTCCAATGATGAGAGACCAAAGACACGTAAAGAGACCGAGCACAAGGAAAAGAAGCTGCCAATTCTTTATTGGTCCGTTGGTGAAGTGAGAAACACCGAATCCCAGAAGGCCTCCAACCTGATCTTGTTAGCTGCTTGGTCTTGGACAAAACAGATGAGGTTTTGGCTTACCATCAATTGCACTCCACTCATACAATACCAGAGAGAGTTCAATAAAGATTGCTCTTCTCGCTTATACCACATTCCAGTCCTATATTTAAGGGAAGAGTTTAGTCACCAAATCAATCACAAAGTAAATCAGAATTGACTTACACCAGCATCATGGCAGGCTGGACACAGCTCTCAAAAAATCCAAGTAAGAATCGAACAGCCATGAGGGATGCAAAATTGTTGCAAGCAGCCGAGCATGTCACAACGACACCCCAGACGAATACATTGGCAGTGAGCGTTTTTGCCACCGGAAGCTTTTGCAAAAGCAAATTTTGCGGATACTCGCCGGCGATGATTCCAACATACAAAATTGTTCCCAGCCATGAGTACTGAGTCACGCACGTCAGACTTCAGGAGATACTCAAAATATACTCAAGTATATCAGGATCGAGGACTCACCTCCTGCCCCACAAGATGAGTATCTCCCTTCAGCCCCATGATGGAAGCATAGTTCAAGATGCCTTTGTCCAGAGACTGGCAAAAATAAGTGATCACTTGAATGACAAGAACCCGGCGCGTGATCATCCAGAAAAGGCGTTTGTCTGTCGCGGCATCAATGTGTATGCCGGTATCCCCTATATAGGGATCCTTCTTCTCGTTCTCCATCGGAGATCCATCAGTCGCATCCAAGTTGGGATCCTTCTCTTCGTGGTGAAAAGTTGTCGCCATCTCGTTTTCTTTGGAGGTCATTGCGTGAGAGTGATGCGGCTCGTAAATACCAAATGCTGGGATGGAAATACTCTGGTATCTTAGGAACCCCTTTATGTATGAAGTCTGTTTGCATGGTGAATTTGAGGCAGGGTTATGGCCTATCCCCGCAGCGATCGAATGGTTTTCGTGGAGAGGAGTAAGAAAGACGGAGCAAAGTGCCACGGCGGACTAAGTGCCGGACATGCTCCGAGGCGTTCAGGCGCAAAGAACTTGCTCCTTTACTCGGAGCTGACTCTTGCTTTGGGAAATATTGTCCGGAAAATCGGTGAAAACAACAGGTGACTTTTGACTTGAACTTGTCGGAGTTCCTCCGGTAATCAGGCCGCTCTCCGGGAATACTCCTGGCTGAATATTTTCCGTCGGTGGTTCGAATGCATAAAAGTTCTTTGTTGTGCTTTGGTGCTCTGATTCTCATCTTTACATTCTTGACAGACCAATCTCCTCGTGACCATGGCATCTAATTCATCGTCCATCCGAGTCTATGACAATCCCCCCGGCCTTTTGATCAATCACGATTTCACAATTCATGTCCAACCAACCGGTGGAGATGCACGAATAGGATGGACTCAAGTTGCAGTTTACGCTATTGAACTCGCAAACGCGAGCACCGTCTCCAACAACTTCAATCATCATTCCGTGGCATTGGCATCGTTCGACTTGAGCAGACCCGTTAGGGTTCGAGTCACGTATACGGCGGGCCCAGTCAAATCCGCAGTGATTCGGCCGCAGTCACGGAGCATTGGTTGCCATCTTCTAGAAAATGAAGTTACCTTCACTCTGGATCATGCTCAAGATGTGATGCTCGAGCTGGATGGCAACAAGTGGAAGGCCCTTCATCTTCTCACAAACACCATCGTCCCAGATGCACCAACGGAAGATGCTACAGACCTTTGGTACTTTGGACCGGGCATAAACCAAGGAGCCGCCTACTCAAGAGTGACTGACGGTGTGAACCTCATGGTACCATCGGGGACCACTGTGTATCTTGCCGGTGGAGCTTTCGTCACTTGCCGGATAAACTTCATCGGCGTCTCAAACAGCGCTATAAGAGGACACGGCTTCATCATCGGACCCAAAGGGGGGTATGATATTCGAGAACACGGTGGCGCAATCCACATGAGTCACTCGAGCAACATTCTGGTAGAGGGTGTCACATCCCTAGGGGCGAATGGGTTCAGCCTCTCTGCAGGAGAATGCAAAAGTGTGCATGTGAATAGGTATCGCTCTTTCTCGTCTTCTGGCAACGGGGACGGAGTGGACTTCTTTTGCTCGTCGGACATCATGATTGAAAATTGCTTTTTGCGCAACTCGGACGACACTATTGCGCTATATTCCCACCGATGGAATTGGTATGGTGATTCCAGTCGCATCACAATTCAGAATTGTGTATTGCTCCCCGACATAGCACACGCAATCAACATGGGCACACATGGAAATCCCGAGAGCCCAGAAACGACCAGTGATATCACCATTCGAAACATCGATATTTTGGATCATGAGGAGAATCAAATGTGGTATCAAGGATGTATTGCTATCAATGCTGCAGACTCAAATCTATTCCAAGATATCCATGTGGAGGATGTTCGAGTGGAAAGGATTACCCATGGTCAACTTCTGAATCTTCGAGTAATGCAAAACACCATGTGGACCACCGCGCCTGGAAGAGGAATCCGAAATCTGACCTTCAAGAACATCTCTTTGTGCACACGAGACTCCAAAATTATCAACCCATCTATGATTTTGGGTTATGATCAAGCTCGCCAAATTGAGAATGTCACTTTTGAAAACCTTAAGATCGATGACTTGGTGGTCTATGACCAGATGGACAAGCCTGCGTGGTACATGGTTTCGGATTTTGTTCCATTGTTCGCCAATGAGCATGTCAAAAATATCAAGTTCGCTGTATCCTAGATGTGAGCATATTGAGCCAGAAACATTTCAGTGCTAAGCTTTTGTTCATTTGAAAATAAAAGCGGATAGTTGAAATTGAGTAACAACCAACGTTCACGAAGGGGCAGAGCGGCCAGGTCGACAACAGTGGATAGGGGTGGGGCAGTGAAGCTTGGAAATGACGAGGATTGGTTCGATATGTGACAAGATCCACTTGTATTGAATATACAAAGCCTGGTTGGCCGAGTGGTTTAAGGCACTGTGGGGTCGTACCAACCCGGGAGCGTGCACCGCATAAGCGAAGGCCCCGAAGGTGTTGGCGCGTCCTCCAGAGACCCCTGGTTCGAATCCAGGATCGGGCATTCTTTTTTACCTTTCTTTTTGTTTACATTTTTTTATTTTCTGCTGTATATCTAATACAGATCCACCTGTAATAAATGAAAAAAGCCTGGTTGGCCTAGTGGAAAAGGCGCTGCGGGGGCGGTTCTAAGCCATCCCGGTTCTGAACCGTGTGGTGGCCTGCCTTTCGAGAGACCCTGGTTCGAATCTAGGAGGGTATTCTTTTTTTCTTCTTTTTTCCCAAGACGAAGAATTGCATAGACTATGTAATGGTGATCTAGGTACCTCTGTTTTCTGCTTGTCAGAAGCCAGCCAAGGCAAGAATCAGACAGAAATCAGGTATATTGGGGCCTCATCTCACCTGGCCGCTCTGCCCCTTCGTAACGTGCAATCAAGAATGACCAAGAAGCCCCCTTAGCTTTTCCATATCACTCGTAGAAAACCCATAAATCCTGGTTCGCATGGGAAACTGCCAAGAATCAGCAGGTAGCCAGCTACATGCTTCGAAAAATGCGAAGGAGTCTTCAGTCCAGTCACACACGAGTTCCTAACACCTTCGTCACGACTTCCCAGAAGGTACGACGACCCGATTGGGCGGATACGAGAACTGAATCGAGTAATTTCGGCTGATTCTGCGGGATGCTCCGCCGGCCAGTGTATTGACATGAATGTTCTGCGCATCGGATACATTTTGCCTGAGGTGATAACACGGAGCAATTCCCGGACAACCACCCGGCGGCTAGTAGGTGTGTCCATGGAGCGCGAGAAATGTCATAAACACGGATCCAGCAAGGTATCTTCCTTTAAAGTACTACCAAGTGTCTTGGGTCATCTTTTTACAGTGACCGATAATACTAAATTTGGCCAAGATGGGAATGAGTGAAGTGATTCATGCATCGCCTCCAAACGTGGAAGTTTCAGTTAGAGGGAGACCAATGCCTGTATGTTTTAACATATCATCAAGTGTGAAATGGCCAAATCCTGACAAAATTCTTAACAGCTAGCAAAAATATCACCAAAGCAAACGATCTCTGAAGGTCATAGCCCTTTGGAGCGGGTGACGAAAGCCTTATTCTCACAGACCGTGGAGGCAAAGTTGTGGGCTGTGGCTGCACGCGCATCAAGAAGTGTAAGATCTTCCCCAAAGACGCGAAAAGAATCAAGCTGATTCTTTCCAGTCAAATCCACCAACGCTGTATCCCGAATATACCGACGAAAAAGGCAACTATGTCTACCGAACCCTTGACTTTTGGACATCGGGCTTTTTCCCGGGGTCGCTGTATCTCTTACTAGAACGTACCATTCGTCATAGTGAGAACTCTTCTCTATCGAAGCATGTTGAGCCTGATTCCAACATCAAACCTCATCGACTTCAACTGGAGTATCTGTGCCGGTGGTGGGTTACCAACCTTCACCAGAACGCTCTGAAACGCGATACGCACGACCTTGGGTTCATGATTGCACCATGGGCCATCAAAGCATGGGAGCTGCAGCGCGACCCAGATGCCTTCAACAGTCTAGTGATGGCCGCGCATTCCCTCGCCAGTCGGTTCAGCGCCAAGACAGGGTGTCTCCGCAGCTGGGACGTGTGCATCACTAAGAGATACAAATACACAGACCCATCCTTGGACTTTCTGGTCATCATCGATAACATGTTGAATTTGGATCTCATTTTCTGGGCTGCAAAGCATACCTCCAATCCAGCATTGTATGATATCGCGCTGGCTCATGCACATGCGACGCGCAAACACCACATTCGCGAAGATCACAGCACTTTCCATGTGGTGAATCTTGATCCAGGGACCGGCGACCGGAAATCTCGATTCACGAATCAGGGCTATAGTGACGATAGCTGCTGGGCGCGAGGACAGGCGTGGGGTATTCTTGGATTCATGCAGACGTTTTTGTGGACTCAAGATTTGACATTCTTCACCACAGCGAAAGACTTGGCGGAGTATTTCATCGCACACCTGCCACCTGATGGGGTACCCTATTGGGACTTGACTGCGCCGGTAACCGAAACCAGTCCACGAGATACATCTGCAGCGATGATCGCCGCTTGTGGCATGTTGCTGCTCTATAAAGAGTGTGATGTTATAAATGAAGGTTCCCGCTACTTGGTTGAGGCGATCAAGCTTGTCGATAATGTGGTAGGTATGTTCATGGACTCTGATACCCTGCGCTTCGAGTCCACACACCCTGAACCGGACGTTCCGGTTTATGTGGAGGGTTGTACCGATCAAAACTCCGGAGACGGGTTCGACGTGCTAAGTGTTGGGCACCATTCTGGTTCGGAGTTCAGAGCCTGCGAGACGATTCTGCGCGGTGCCACTATCAACAACTATGAGTTTGCGCCTAGAAGATGGTCAAATCATGGGTTGGTATATGCCGATTATTATTTCCTGCTGTTTGGTAACATGATGCTCGACATGGGTCTTACCAACCCCGCCCGGTCATGACTTGACCAGGGATGCAACAGTGGAAACGCTGTATTGAAAGTTTGGTTTTCGACTGGAAAATAGAAAATGAATTATCACCAAATGTGGCTTACTTGATCAATTGATGTAGAATAGCAACCAGACCTTATCAACTGCTCTTCCGTGCTGTGAGAGATATTGATGCGCGGAAGTTCAAGTATTAGCTTTCCATGAATCCTCCACTATAGCGGCTGATCCTTTGGCTAGGACTGGGGACAAGGTCGAGAACATAGCCCAAATGATCTGGTGGGCTAACGACATTATTCCCAACAGGGCCATTGTGGCCTTGCCACGGGGCCAGTTGAGGTTCATTTGATTGTGCACCCAGGTTAGGGTGTGGTAAGCCATTGGAAGATCCTTCGTACATTGGGTTCGAGCCCGGAAATACAGCAAAGTCTTGCTGAAATGCCAATGGCAATGGTGGGAAGGCTAAACTGAATGGGTCCAGATCATATGGCTCTTGGAATGGGGGTTTCCCCATGTCCTCTGCCGGAGGCGCACTATCTGTACCTCTCGATTCAGGAATAATGGAGCCATGCGACGAGGTGCCCATTGGATGTGGTCGTAAGGGCTGCTCTCTAGATTCGTCCGAGTAAGCAGTCTGCCTGATGTCCAGACTCGGTCGAGAAGCAGCGGCCGAGTTACTTTGAGCTTCTGTGAGCCGCTTTGCGAAGCTTGAGGCTAGGTTTTCGGTCACTGGATCTGCACTCTCCTCGCGACCGGTCCATCTTTGGGAGATCTCGAGTAAGCTGGAGATCAAGATATCGAGGGCCGGGGGAACAGGTATCTGATTATATCTTGCATGTGTTAAGATCATTCGACCAGCAATGAAGAGACAGAATGAAAACTGGGGGTTTGTGAATATGGGCGAGATTGATAAGAATTGATGTCCAATGGTTGCGATCTCAGAGGCAGCATCCAGGCAGGTTTCTGCTGATGATGCAGATGGAAGTTTGATGGGACAGTTTCTCCAGTGAGGGGGCGGGTAAGCTATCCCTTGATGTAACAGAATCACCGCGGTATTATGTGTGATATGTGCTAGTGTCAAATTGGGATCCATGACACCGTCCCCATTCAGGACAGAGGCTTCCCGCCATTTCTCTGGCATATACAACTTCCACCTAGAGGAGATCATGACATGAGAGAGCAATCACCAAAGTTCCGAGGAGGAAAATACTTACTGCATAAGCCGCAAATCTAGTTCCTTGAATTTCATCAACCAAATTCGAGCTTTCACTGTGTCTGACACATTAAAAGCGTGGTGAAGAAAGAAGTTTGTCACAAGCGCAAGTGACTCAGTTGCTTCAATATTGTAGGCGAACCCACCAATCAATTCTTCCTCATCTGAATTTGTTGAGCCTGGATCGCCAACCGGTGGCGAATTGGTTGACATGGTATCTTTCGTGGCTGAGATGCCAAAATAAGGTGTCCGAACCTCTTTCTCATTGGCCCAGATGGTTCCTTCGCAGGGAAGGCGGCGCTTGACATCGGCACTGGTCAAACTGATCTTCCAGCCTGTGGAGACGTTGCAGAAGCGATCCATCAAGAATACCGCCCAAAACACTCGCCGCCGCTCTTCCGCTTCACTCCAGGAGCTTGGGGGAGTCAGGAATACCATACGCCGTATCAGAGTCTCTCCGGGGTTCGTTGAGCGGGATATCTCGTCTTCTTCGACGTCCAGCTGCAATTGTTCAACTGTACCTACCATGCTCCCGACAATAGACCAAGACGAAGGACCACGTCCTCGGCCAATCTGAAAGCCACGAGGATGTCAGCTTGAGTACAAGATTGCAGACTGCGGAATTGCCTGCTCACGGTGTCGAAGGCAATGATCACCAATGCCTGCAAATTCTCAACAGAAAATGTCTCCATGCTTTCCAAAATAACTCTTTGACGGCTTTGCTCGGCAATGTTCATTCTCGCTTCTTTGTCGCGCAGGCTGTCACTTTGGCAAAACTTTGCGCAAACAGCAACAATCGCGTGCAGGATGCAAGTAACACGCGGGCGTTCGCTCGGGGACTCTATGCGTCTCCGAAACCTTGCTTGGTGAAGAACAGGTATCCAAGGGTGCACGTTGACGAAGTAAAAGTCTACCAGTTCAGCCATGACCTCGGTCGATGAAAGTGGATCGTTGACTTCCATTCGGGCGGAAGGTAAACGAGTTGGTGTTGGTTCACAGCGACGTCGTTTGGCCGGAGGAGCACTCGGTTCCAAATCTACATCATACCTCCGCTCATGGCCCTGACCTATATTCGATGACGCGTTGAGTAATACAGACTTCAGCTTCTCTCGTCGCTGAGCCAGATTTTCAATTGTGGTTGATCCCTCGCTGCAGTCTGGAATTGGTGCATCGGGATGCTCTGTCTTCCACATCTGTTGCCAGAGGAGCTCCTGGCCGAGGAACATATTTTCCAACGTCTCGACGCGTCGGTAAAGCTGATCAACCGCTCCAGCACGCAGTCCGGGTTTCATGCGCCGCTCATCGTAAACACAGTCGACATTGGATCGGGTGCATTCGGAACAAGGTTGCGCCCTACTACAGCGTGCCTTTTTCTTCCGGCAAGATTGGCAGGCCGGGACGTCCTCTTGGGATTTGGGTTCATCCTGTGACTCCTGGGGATTTCGGTCGGAGCTGGCCATCCCTCTGTGTTTGGGCAGCATTTATGTGATCGCGGGGAGAATATCCACGGTGTGGATCTTGAAATGGATCCATCGTGGAAGTAATCAATCGCGACCAAAGCCTAAGCGACCTCACCCTTTGGGACTAGGGGATGACGACGCCAAACATAGTGCAAAGCGAAACCCCATGGGGAACAGAGAAAACACGCTAAGGGATTTCGCACCAATCACAAGCTCCGGGGCCCGGAGCAGTGCGCGGCCCGGTCCCGGAAATTTGCCTTCTTTCTCAGGCGTCAAGTCACGGGGCCTCAACATGTCAGGCGAAAAGCCGATAGAGTAAGGAGAGGCAGTACACGGAGCAGGATGATGTTGAAGGAATTGGAAGGGAGGCAAGAACAGACCTACATACAGACCAGGGATGACCTTGTCCACCCAAAAAAAACCTACTACGTCACTTGCCTCTTACTTTCCCATCCCCGATGCTACTGTACTCCCAACCTTGGAATCACAGTATATATGGCTATGCGCTCCCAGAGTCGTCCTGATATACAGGCCCCAGGGAACTACTCAAGTACTGTTAGGCAAATTCTGACCAAAGGTGTAGTCAAAATCCAGAACAGATTGCGCCAATTATCCTACAGGTTCCGCGATATATAATGATCCCAAATGTTGATTTTGCATATTTCGCTTGAAGATCGAATGCTTTCTACGTTCAAAGTACATGAATGTTATCCGGATCTATGTTCTTTCTATTCCCAAACATCAAGGAATCGTCCTAAAGTTTGACTGTAACTCTCAAATCTTACCCATCTCCCTGCCCAGCTCTTTGGTAACGATCTGCCCACAAGCTTTTTCGACAAACCCTTTCCTCGGGCTCACGACCTGGCTTTGAAACAATCTACTCTTCCAGTTAGCAAAGTACTTGTAATGAACAGGTAAACTCACGCTTGATACCGTTGGAGATTCTGAATTTCCAAATGCGCCAAAGCACCCAGCGCAGCCTGAATATCCCTCACCAGACTCTCACACCGCGCCATACTAAAGTCCGTTCGAACAACAACCCGCATCATACCCATTTGCTCACAATCAGCCGCCATGGTATAAGCAGGAACAATCCATCCCTTCTCGCGCAGTTTCCGTGCCAGTGCCCACTCATCGAAGAAAACGTTCTGCGTAGGACTTAATCGGAAGGCAACCACTGGGAGTCCCTCGCCGCCATTCTCACTCATGATCAAGAACCCCATTTCCTGAAGCTGATGCGAGAGATGGTCTGCTGTTTGAGTGAGGTTTGTCATGATGGACGTGTATCCGCTTCTGCCGAGTCGGATCAGTTGGTAGTACTGTGCTATTATATGTGAGGCAGGCTTGGAGAAGTTGAGGCTGAAGTTAAGTTGGTCGGCGCCTAGGTAGTTGATGTTGAAAATGAGGTCTTTGGGGAGATACTCTGGTGATCGCCAAAGACCCCATCCGATACCTGGATAAACCTGAGCGGGTCAGCTATTAGGACTATCATCGGGGATGTATCACATACCAGGCCGTATTTGTGCCCCGAAACATTGATTGACACCACATTGGACAACTGGAAATCCCACTCCAATTCTGGTTTCACGAACGGAGCCACGAAACCACCGCTAGCGGCGTCCACATGAATCGGCGTGCTCAAGCCTTTCCGAACAAGAAGGCTGTTGATAGCTCGGACATCCTCATACTGTCCTGTATATGTGGTTCCAAGGATAGCGCAGATTCCGATCGTATTTTCGTCGACAAGGTCCACTGCTTGCACAGGATCGATCACATATCGCGTTTCTGTGCACGGGACTAACTTCTCTTCAATGTCAAAGTATCGGACTGCCTTTTCCCAGCAGACTTGGACACCACTGCTCATGATGATATTGGGCTTGGAGGTATCCTTCCCTTCAGACTTGCGGATGTCCTGCCAGCGCTTTTTCATCGCTAGAACTGCGAGCATGATGGCCTCAGATGAGCCGATGCATGATGTGCCGACGGCGGTTAGAGATCCGTTTGATACAGGTGAGTGGAAAAGATCGGAGAGAATATTTAAGCATCGAGTTTCGATTTCCACGGATTTGGGGTATTCTTCGTGGTCGATGATGTTTTTGTTTGATGACTCGGCCAGTAGCTTTAGCGCTTCGTCTTCCTGTTTTGCGTTAACAAAGTTCCTATATAGAATAAATTCTTCTCTTACCATATAGGTCGTCACAAAACTGGCCAAGCTTTTGAAAAACGAGTTAGTATGATTCTTGCAAGCCGAGGCTCATACTCACTTCAACATGGGCTGACCATCCAATGCTAGATCATCTTTGATAAGCTGGTAGGCCATGTCCTTGGGCATCTCGTGATCGGGGAGTCGCTGAGCTGGCATACTCCGAGCGGCAAATTGTGAGCCATAGACGTTGGAACAGTCGTTATCCATACGGTTGGTGAACTTTTGAGATGACTGCGCGATAGAGCCCATTGTGAAGAAATAGTAATGTACGATCTGAGATTGAATCACTTTTGTAAATTCGAGTTTCTTTTATATTCTACCAAATTTGATGGTCGAGCGCTCCGAAAAAATATCTCATAGTAGCCCGAATTATGGGGTGGATCCATGAGGGATTTACGCAAGACATCTCGATCAGGGCTATCGAATAAAGGGGCCTGCGCCATTTGACACAGTTCGATATGTCCCATAGCGATGATGGAGAGGACGTTGCAACCAAATGAGAATTTGCACAAATGCCACGCTTTTACTTGAGTAGTCATCAAGACGATTAAATATCGGTCATTATCAATTCATGCTCTTGGCAAAGCAAGCCAAGCTTTTCTAGAAATATTGGCATTGTCATAATGGCGATCGCACCTCCTTGTCACAAGCGCACGGCTGAACTGGAATATTTCGGCATCCCTTGTTCCAAATTTAAAACACGCTGGCCCTGGATTGTCGGCATGGGAGAGCAAAAAGGAGAACAGCGCAAATACCAACGGGTATGTACATTCATGCGTTGATGTCGCAAGAATTATGAATGCGAGTAAGTCTACGGATTTTGATAGGCCAGCCCCTGAGTTGCCTTACGACATTTGTGCAACCACTAAGCTTTGGGGATCGTCCGATCCGACACATCCAGGGCGATCATACAGGACTTACGTGCTGCCCGTGGTTTCAGCTATAGGTAAAACATTTGCTGACTTTTTGTGTTTAACAATTGAGATGGCAATTTCTTTACAACGTTAGGAGAATAATGATTCTGTAGGATCAGGCTTGTGAATGTGAGTATCTTCCCGAGGCCAGGTTCAAGGAACGGCAATTTACACCACCTGGGCACCAGAGCCCTAGAGTGAGCTGTATCTACGCACATCTCAGTCTGATTCTGGTTTCAGTCTTGATTTGACAGGAAACATATCTCATTGTGCCAATGTTTGGAGTCAACGTCATTCTGATATCCATTCACTGAATTGAGAGGCAATTGCGCGGACAGTCATTCCTGCTGCTGTGAGCAGTCTTTCCTTACTTCGCATTGTTCTCTCACTAGCCTGTCACCCCTGACTACTATCTCACTTCTTTCTCTTTTGTCACTCAAGATACAAATACCAGATATGTTTGATTTCTTCGATTGCTATGGTCAAATCGTCCCATCGTCGCTAAGTGGTGTTGTCCAAGCCGGGTTTCTTACCATTGCCACCAGGGCTTGATGGATTTAACACCATAATTCATCGAAATCGTCTTTTGATTTCCACATACCCACAGTCACTTGCCCCGAGATTGACATTTAGCTGATGAAGACTGTCTTCTCATCTCCCGCGCAACAACCAGAAGACGGTATCGGTCGGGTCGTGGAGAGAACCACTGGCCGCACTGTCGACTAACGGCCGAGGGCTGCATCTAAGCCCTGCTTGCGCTAGACGCAGACCAACGAGCTGACATCTTCTCCTACCACTTCGACTATCGTGGGGTCCAAGAACAAAATTATCTCATGAGAGCATCACCAGTGACTGGGACGGGTACGTGTCGCGCAGGAGCTATTCGATGACTACGTGACTAACTATCCTCCCAGGTATCGTTTCCGAAGGGCAGGAGACCGCTTTCGCTCCCCTATCGTGGTGATCATGATGTCTTCACAAAGATGGATGGGATTTGTGCTGTCACTTGAGACTCACATCAAGGCAGGGCCTCTCATACCAAGCCATCACTGAGACCTGCAATGAGTGCTACCTCATCGTTTTAGTGACAAGGAAGTGAATGGAGACAGACTTTGGGATGAGGAAAAGGCAATTTGAAGAAGTTGGTGAGCCCCATGGTGAGGTCAGTTGGAAAGTTCCTATCACAAGCCAATTCGAAGATCAAACGGCCTGACTCTGTCAAGTTTTTCGCACCTGCTCCCACCCCCTATCTATTTCCATAGATTTTTTTTTGATTTTGTTTTTACAAAAATGGCCAAGGTGTGCATTCCATACCCCATCGGTTATGGTGGATTTCGAAATATACTGATCTTTTTTCTTGGGGAAACTCTAGTTCCGCTGTGACTTTTGTCGCAAAACCGGACATGAGGTGGCAGACTGCCGCCTCGTTGTTGCAGTTGGCGTTGCTGTTAAAGCAGCGCTGATTTCCCGTCCCCTCCGTCAGGGCAAGAGAGCCGCATTAAGATGGAAATCTACACAGGGTCGAACTTGACCATGTGGCGAAAACGACCAAGATATCGTTCATGTGTGTGTCCGAGAATTACTTTTCGACAACGATGAGACTTTCTCCATGGGGAAGGGGGGGGGGGGGTGTGGGCGCCAGGCCTTGTTGGCTGCACTCGCCCAAAAGGGGCAAGAACTCGCTCGCCTTCGCGAGGAGTATGACAGGAATTCGTCGAGTTTGTTCAAATGATGGATGGTCTCGTCGAAACCACTCTCGTGAATTTTCTTCTCAGCCAGTTCCAAAATTCGCGAGCCAGTCGTCTGTTCCCCATTAGCTCTAAATCCTGAGAGGTGGAGCGAGGACATAGGCTCTGAAATACACAACGTGGAGGCAAGTTTTACTTCTAACGCTTCTGTCTCCGTTGTTGCCATGATTAGCTAGCGACACTGCCACATCTCTTTTCCCATGGAGTTGAAGACAAAGAGTGATCTCGCGAGCAAATCTGCAGCGAGTCTCTCGCAGGGTTGAGTACCGACTCCCCCGAGAGAAACCGGTGAGGTGTGACAGAGACTTACACACGGAGATCTAGTTCTGGACTTCACCAGAAGACAAAAGAAGACAAACGCGACCGGGCAGTGGAATTTCGTTGTGTCTGACACACCCAATGTTACCTGGGGGTAATCCAGGAATTGTAAAAAAGGCGGGCATTTCCAAGCCCAGACAAAAGATTGGTCTGCTTCTCTTTTGCACTCATGTCTCGGGGACGTTGCTGAGTCGCGTCGACCTGTTCTGTCAGATGCCGGTGGGGATTGAGACGCACTGTCCAAGAGCTCCTCGACGATTTGGAGTGGGATTCTGGCGCAATACCAACGGCAGCCCGGGCTTGAAATGGCTCATGCTTTCCTACGCTACGCCAACGCAAAACGGATTAAAACGAGGTTCACAGTTGGCCGAATGCTGGCCCGACTAGACGACAGATCGACAGCACGATCTGGGACCTTAGAGGGAGTGAAAGCATGGTCCTGCAGGTCAATTTCAAACAACTGTATACCAAACGACACGGCCCCACAATGCCGATATCGAGATTTGGACCCCGGTCGCACTAGGGGCCGACACACTCACGTCCTAGAGTGTACGCAGAGGGCTAGGCTTAGGAATGGCGTGGTGTCGGGATCTGACTTGGTGATCCGTTTCCAAACCCCGGTGCGGCGGCCGACCCAGAACCCGTCTCTACCGACAAACGCATCTCTGAAGAGTCCTTGCGAGCCTCACTCGTCACTGTTCGTGACGCCTTCGGGGATCTCATCGCGGACCTCCACACCCGTGTCAAAGCACCGGGTTCGCCATCATCTGACTGGCACAAATATAGAACAGGTAAACAACCGTTTCGGTGACGACCCGCCTGCATATCAGGCCAGATCGATGCAGGACCGCTAAATTGTTCCAGAGAACAAGGGCGCGTACGACATTGTACCAGCCGGGGGCCGACTGGTCGATGGACACGAGATGCTGACAGTCAGGAAATCTGCTTGAGCGACTGATCTCCGTCCCATTGCCCGCGACGCACATTCTGGGGCATCCTATCTGTGAAAAGCCTGACTCTGGCCGGGATTCGGCTCAATGTGGATGTGGTTCCTTCTTGGGACGCCGTAACTGCCAACTTGCGGAACCTCATCGAGGAACCGGACCTCGTGGCAAATCAGAACAAACCTGGCGAGACAACCCTCCAGGAGTAGTCGCTATCATGCCAGGATCCACCAGCAATATATGCTTCGAGCTGGCGCTGCACTGCAACCAGAGGATTTCTTGCAGCTGAAAACCAGGCACAGGTCATGAGCCTACAGGCGAAGGGAGAAAGGCGGACAGAAGGAATTGATTATGCTCCCTGTGAGGGAGAGTATGAAGAGGAGAGAATGAAAGAGCGGGCAAACTGCGTGCAGACCGGCAAACGGTAAACAGCAAACGGGGCTGGAGTGAACAGGCCTGAACAACAGGCACATGCCAACCTCAGGCTAGGAGTCTGGTTTAAGAAAGCAAGCCCGGATCTCGAGAACTGCAAAGATTTCGGTTGGTACACTGAGGCAGCTCGCGTCAAAGATGCGCCCGGTCCCGACATGGGATTTCCTTGGGCAGTTTCCCAATGGACACAGCCCCAGTCCACCCTGCCTATGCGCCAGAACTTCATATGACGGGCACTCTCCCCAGACCTTTAGAGGCCGATCATCATCCAGCTGGTCGTGTCTACTGGAGCTGGGCGAATTTGTAGCAGCAACAACAGCGCCTCCGTCAAGTTCTACACAACGACCGCATGGAAATCGCCGATCTAACCAGCCGTCGTAAAGATGTTATCTGGACGGCAGTTATGTCGTACCGTCAGCGGAGCGCGGCCCGGAAGGCGAGGACCGTATTCGAGTTGTGGGGTCGGCTTTCCAATCCAAAAATCGACACACCAAACAGCCCGACAATTCAATTACCATCGGAAATGGACATCGACAACAAAATGCACCTTAAACACCGATGCGACTCATTGGAAGAGTCATTGGGGGTCAGCCCCTAGCGGCAGCGGACGCTCAGGACGGAGGGTGATTCCAATGTCCTGACCACTTCCTCTGTCCTTGGGTCCCTCAGAATACCTCTGCTGCTACGGCGGTTTATCTTGGGGATTCGCGCGAGCAAGTCCCAGTGGCCGCGGGAGAGGGTTTAGTGCCCATGGGAGGGGAGGGGAACGTCGAGAGTGGCTGATGAGCCTGAGAATATGCCCAACAGGAGCAGGTCATGACCGGTTCTGGCCTCAGCAGTCGCGGGGCTCCATCCGGTCCATTGTACTCCAGGAACAGGACAATTTGGATCTCCCCAGAGATTTATCCTCGACAGTGACGTGGAGACTCTATCCCCTGAAAGAGCGAACTTTCACGCGACACAGGTGTGACCGCGCAGCTGGTTGAAAACTGCAAGAATGGATCGGGTCACGCCTACTCCCGATTGCCTTCCTGTGGCACAAGTGGTGTTTCAGAACCTCTAGCATTCCTGTCTCCTTGCCCATATGGTTGGGAAAAGGAACAAGAAACAATACACTCTAATTAAAGGAGGGTTCATTCTCCTACAGGAAATCAGGGATTCGACAACTCTTAGCGGCGAAACACCAACCAGTACTGCCCTGTTCAATACCCTACCGGTAGCATGGTCGATTCAGTCCTTGGGACGCAGCGTTGTGAGCCGGAAAATCTCATAATTCTGTTTTTCAGCAGACGCGTTTCATGCCGGTGCGTGTCTGGTGCTCTGGCCCCGTTCGGTATCGCTACTCACCTCACTCAAGTAAACCGAAGAGTGCTTTTCTGTACTCACTCCTTTGACACTGTTGTTTCCCTGGAGCAGTGTTCCCAGGAGTTTACCTCTTGAACTGGGCTACTCGCAAAGCTGTGAAATTCCCACGTGACGCAATCCCCAAACGCAACATGTGCACCTTGTACTCAAATGCATGGGGATGATGAGAGAAGGTTGGAAGTGACCAATGGTCCGCTCTTGGTGGAAATTGGGACAAGTTCAGCGCGTGGGGGATAGACAGAGCCGCTGAATGTTTACAATCTTGGAACGACCATGCAGGGCGCCAGGTTGTAATCATCATTGCGGCAAACTGGGTTCACTTGGAATTGTGTCACAGGGTCACCTCAAGGAATTCTTTTAGGGCCGGACGTATGCATTCGGTGCATATTGAAAAGCAAGTTGTCGAAATCGCTTCTGCCACGTTGATGAAGCAGTCTTTGCCGATGATCCGTCAAATCTTTTCAAGCAATCCCCACCCCACGTCCCCGGACCCAGATCCAAAGGCCGACGCTGTGACGTCGTGGATAGAGGTGCTGAATAAGGCACCATGGCTGATGTGTCTGGCACTTGGTTCAGACCACACTGTGCAAGATCACGAGCTCAGGCCACGCGATGAACTCACCGTCCTTCAAAAAGCGATATTTTGAGCTCTTATGCCAAATTCGCCACAGTGAGCTCACGGATAAAGACGGGTTTTTCCAGATCAAGAAAACATACTTGCGTGCTAGCAGAGAGGCGGCGAAAATTGCCAACACCCAGATGCCTGATGATGAGTTGTTTGATAATAAAGATAACTCTGCCCACGAGAAAGAGAGTGAATGCAACGAGGTCGATTGCATACAGTGTTTCACTGAACCTTCTCGGCGCAGCGGCCGCTCAGCCCGCCCATGGGTAAATGAAACCTGCAGCACTAAGACCTTTAGCCAAATTGAGGCTCCAGAACGAAAAGCTAGTCAACTCTTCCTCGTACGAAGGGCACCGGGAGGTTTCAGCAGTGACAAGGAGGGGTCGGCGTATACATAATATGGAACGATCACAAATCTTCTGGAATTGACTCAGTCCTTCAATTTGAACGTTCAATTTCCTGCTGATAGTCTGGAAACAGCATAAGACAACATTTAAATCTCCAATGAGGTACTGATCCGTAGAGTTGGAGGGTATAGTGCAGGGCAGGGATGGGTTTAAAACATGACGGTGATTGAAAGAAGCTTTTTGACAAGGGAGTAAGCATTCTCAATCATACCGACCGAGTCCGAGGTATTTGCGCCCCTTCGTTTGTCCTATGCTGTTAATTTCCATACCATTCTTGAATAGATAAGCCTTGAATCTACGAGTAGCTTGCAATGATTGAGTTCCCTGTTTTGAATAAACGCGCAAACAGGGGCAATGGCCACATAAAAATGGAGGACATGTGCATTATCGTGTTTACCCAGGATCCCCGTCGACTTGGTTTCTGGTTGTTTTCTGTACACCAATCATGCTGCATCCTATCCTCGATGTTAGTAGTTTCAATGTCACTCTGGCGCTCTCAGGTGCGGCTAGGCCACCCCTTGTTCCCTCTTAAGCAACACCATCCTGATTTCAATCCGTTCTGATAGGGGTGTATATGTTGCTTTTTGGCTTCATCGCCATCAAAATAAAACAAAAATGGTACCTCGGGGAAGCTCGTGCGTTTCTATAGCACTTTCCACTGCATCCGCTTACCTTCTCTAGTGCCATCTTTCATGCTGGGGGCTGTTTTGGGCCCTTTCAGCGCCGGGGTCATTAATGTCAGTCAGTGGGGAGATCCTTCTGGGAATACTGGTGATATTGCATATGTGGGTTTTCGCTGGAATCGTCACCAACACCTCTGGATGTTTCTCGAAACTGACTCCAATAGGCGTTGAGTCGTTTGGTCATCGGTGTCGCGATGGTGAAAGTGGGATATGAACTCCCGAAGAGGTATCTCCGGCTCCATCTCAAGGAATTGACCATCTGCCTGCTACCTCTGATGACGATCCAATGGCTTATGACCTCAGCATGCATCAAGTTGGCTATTCCGAATCTGTCATTTGTGAGACATGCTCCCCGAGACTTGGTAGGACTATCGCTGATGAATTCTTAGTTGACATCTCTCATCATCGGGTCGTGCGTCATCTGTATAGACCCAGTTCTCTCACAGGGTATTGCGAAAGGCCCATTCGCAGATCAATATGTCCGCCGACATCTTCGGGAATTCATCTCCGCCGAGGCAGGTGCGAATGATGGATTCGGGTTTCCATTTCTGCTTCTTTCGATCTCGATTCTGCGATACGACGATGGGCCGGATGTCGCACACGGTGTGGGAAACCACGCCTCTAGGCATATTCGAAATTGGATTGGTCAGCCAAATGCTGGACGACTTGGTGGGAATGCCGGTCGTGCATTGGCGCATTGGGCTGTTGAAGGTGTTCTGTACATGCTTGTCATGGGGGCTGGATATGGAGTATTGGTTGGATTCTTGTGCAGGAAAGCCTTGTCGCTTGCCTCCAAAAGGTAGTAGATAAACCTGATCTCAGTCACTCGGTCATGCTGACTGGAAATCTAGGGAGTGGATTGATAAAGAGGGATTCTTTTCATATCCAATCGCTATTGGTGTGAGTGAGATATGCCAGCCCCTTGGAAATCAAGATCACTGATCAGATCGCAGTTATTCATCGTGGGAACATGTGGCTGTTTCGGATCTGACGAGACTTTGGCTTGCTTTGTGGCTGGCTGTGCGCTGAACTGGGATGGCAAATACCACTTCGAGGTTGAAGAGCGACACGATTCGTTCAACTCGACCATTGAGACTATCCTGAACATAGGGACATTCGTGTTCGTCGGTGCAATCATGCCATGGGATCAGCTTCATTTGCCCAAGGAGACTGGAGTCACCATCTCTCGCTTGGTGGGCCTGGGGTTCCTGATCCTTGTTTTTCGTCGAATCCCAGCAATCATGATGGGGTATCGATTCTTGCCCAAGGTCTGCAATGATTGGAAAGAAGCGTTGTTCATGGGGCATTTTGCTCCCATTGGTAAGATACCTAAGGGAGGCCTTCCCGCTCAGCATCACGGATGAGAACTCACAAAACTCAGGCATCGGCGCAATCTCATATGTCGAACACGCCCGAAGGCTGCTGCCAGACCCCGGACAGAGCGACCAAGAGATCGACAATCTGACGGCAGCCATGGTCCCCGGTGTGTATCTCCCGAAGACCCCATGTGTCAAAAAAAACAAGATCCTGACCTTGTTGCAGTAGTATATTGGCTCGTGTGCTTCTCGATTGTGGTTCACGGGCTGTCAACTCCTGCTCTGAACTGTCTTTACAGGTATTTCAGAGTTCCAACCATTCGAGATCACCCCGTGGAGATCATCCTCCTCTCCGAGACCGAGCCAATCCCCAACAACAGCGTGGTCAATCGCCAGGGGCACTTCATAGTCCACAACAATCGCTTCTCCTGTGTGTCTGATCACAATCTCAATGACTGCCGCGGCGATTCTCACTGTGAGAATTCAGATACGGTGATGCTGCGACGTAGAGATACTGAATGCGGGATTTCCTTGGAGTGGGCTTCAACGAGCTCATCACGACAAAGGGTTGTTGAGATTGACCAAATTGCATCAGCACGCAATATGATTTAACTCCAGCACCACGGATCTGTTAGAGCAGAAAGATCATTCCCACATCGCTCGGCAGGCACAAATATTCTGGCCTGAATTTCAAGGCCTCCGAAGTCCATTATCAGATCGCGTTTTCGCAATTCCGCATTCAGCGTCCTATTTTCCAGCAGCATTTAAGTTTGCCCAGTGTGATTTCACAACAAGACCTGGCACTGTTGAAAGTGGATCCGATCGGCAGACATGATCTCATCCCTCGGTCTCTCGCTCTCGCTCTCCCACATGTGGATATAAGACATCTTCCTCGCGACTCCATTCTGCAAAACACCTCAATTCAACAATGTCGTGAGTCCGCTTATTTCAAGCTCATAATCAAAGCTAACCCACTCCAGTGCCCTCCTCACCACCATCGGTCTCCGCGCCGCCCCCGGCCAAACAGCCTCCAACCACGCCGCCGGCTTCCTCATCGCCAACTGGGTGTGGGCATTCTGCCTTACCAGCAACCGTGGCGCCAAGGTCCGTCTCGGCATCGATAACAATGTCTGCCCCCGCGAAGACCTGGCCACCTTCGGCGAGGCAGCGGTGCAGTCTGGCAAAATCAGTCGCGAAACCCTGAACAAGCTGAAGCGTCGGGAGGCAGCCCACGAGAATGCCCAGGAAGGATACCCTTTGTTCGTGGCGGCGAGTAGGTGACCCCCTTTTCCATTGCAGCTTCTGCAGCTTCGGCGGACCTCGGCACCTGGGCATTTTGTGCTGATTACGTAATGCAGTTCTTATCGCGCTGTTCGCCGGTGTCCCCAACGAGACTATCAACACGATCGGTGTTTGGTATTCGATCTCGCGTGTCGTGTACAGTGTGCTGTACGCGAAGATCACCAGTAAGCCTGCCAGCTTCCTTCGCTCCGTGGCTTGGTGGTCTGGCAACATCAGCTGTATTTATGGACTGGTGCAGGCCAGCAAGAAGCTGTGAAGAGGCTTATAGACCTCCTTTGCTTCCTTGTGATGAACATTCGTTCTCTTTTGAATGCAGATAGTAAATATACCAATCTCATGATCTCTATGCGCGGTTGCACTGGTCGCGGTCATCGTAGGGTGTCTCGCTTGTCACAGCCAGGAAAGACAGATAATAATTCGACGATTTCCAGTCCCGGCACGCCGTATATAGTTTTCTTTCATCGACTTGTAGCGGACATGGAATCGATGGACTGGGGGACTGTCGTGGAGCGTCAGCGCGGATCCCCGCATTTGGCGCGTCTGTGGGGTTTCAGCCGCGCGGGCATCGTATTGGTATCCGCCGTGTGTGCGGAATACGAATTGCTTGGCCTCTAGTCTAGAGAAGCAGAAGCAATATAAGTGATCGTATGACGCGGGAAGTTTTTCCACTTGTCTCCCCTTGCCTGGCATCTGCGGGAATTGAGGTCTGCAGCAGGTGTGGCGTTGCCTCGTGAGGGTTTGGGTGAGGGGGCTCCCGCCTGGGCAGTTGAGGAGATGCAGGTAAACGAGCAGAAATTGTTTGTTGTGGGAGATCTCTGAGAGGGAGGACATCTTGAAGTGAATTGGTAGTGATGTTCGAGGGAAACATCAACCTTGGAATTCATGTCCTATGCTCGTACCCTAGTACCCTAGTAAAAGCCGGAACTATACTCTGTACCAGCTCCCATTCCCTCAGCGCAATTCCTCACCACCGAAAATTGGACTGAAATACTACATCTACCGATTTCATCTAGACATGGCAATTGAATTACCCAGAAGATTCAGATCTACGGTGAAATACCGATACCTTTGAGCTGCTGATTGGTGGAAGATCATCACCCCCAGCGCACAAATCAGCCCAAGACGGCGGAATCCAAGCCGACCACAATAACATTTCAAACAGCTCCGACAAAATAGACTGCCAAGCTGATCTAACCAAATCATCTCCACCTCCCCGCTCGCAAACATTGATGGGGAAATGCGGAGGAATGACTTCATCTACGCTGTCCGTACATAGTACCAATCTGGCAGCTCATCCCGTATACTCTGTCGATCATCCCAGCTCGGCAAACAAACATCATTGCTTTTTACAGGCGGAGAAATATCTGGTTGATTCCCGTCGTGCCGTTCCCCGGATACGCCTAGTCCGGGGTATGAGCTTTTTTTTGTTGGGGTTGAGAGTATGGGGTATTGATATAAAATGGACGATGTTGGCAGCTTCAGGTTGAGAGATTGCATCAATTGTCTAGATTAAAGTCGCAAAAATGAAGTTCCTCGCTATTGGTGCACTTCTTCTTAGCACCGTTGGTGCGATGGCCACTGAGCACATCATTAAGGGTGCCAGCATCATTCCTGCTAAGGATAAAGGCGCACTGAAGAAGATTGGTGCCCATGGTCAAAAGTATCCTGATCGCCGGACTGTCACAATTCGTCCTTCCAAGAGTGACACAGATGATATCGCCGACGACTTCCTCTGGGGTATGAAGGCTGCCAACCACGGTGGTAGACTGGTGTTGCAGAAGGGAAAGAAATATGTCATTGGCAAGAAGCTCGATCTCAGCTTTTTGGATAACATCGAGGTGCAACTCGAGGGTGAATTGAAGGTAAGAGATCTGCAAGTGCATGGGACTCATCGGATTTAGCTGACCAGAAAAGTTCACCGATGACATTGACTACTGGCAAAAGAACAACTTCTACTATGCCTTCCAAAAGTCGATCACTTTCTGGGTCTGGGGTGGACAAGACATCAAGATCTTTGGCAGGGGTACTTTGAACGGCAACGGTCAGGCATGGTACAACGGCTTCGCTGGAAGGGAAATTCTTGTGAGTATGAGCCCCAGATACACAAGATTTACTATTGACCTAACTCCAGGACTCGACCAATACCTACTACCGTCCGATTCTCTTTTTGACCGATAATGCTACCCGAGTCAGCGTTGAGGGTATCACCCAACTCAACTCTCCCTGCTGGACCAACTTCTTCGTTCGCTCCAACGATGTTTCTTTCGATGATGTCTTCATCAACGCATTTTCCACCAATGCCTCCGTGAGTAACTTGCTTCGTCGCAAAACAATCGGGATCTAATAGTATGATAGGCCCTCCCCAAGAACACTGATGGATTCGACTCTTTGAACGTGGATGGTCTCAGTGTGACCAACACCCGCGTCGACATTGGCGACGACTGCTTCTCGCCCAAGCCAAACACCACCAACATCTTCGTGCAGAACCTGTGGTGCAACAACACTCACGGTGTCAGCATGGGAAGTATCGGACAGTACTCCGGTGTCGAGGATCTCATCGAGCACGCTTGGATTGAGAATGTGACCCTCTTGAACGGCCAGGTAAGATCCAAAACAACAAGTCCTACCTGATCCTCTGAGACTAACACATCAACAGAACGGAGCTCGCATCAAGGCCTGGGCCGGTCCCGATGTTGGTTTCGGCCGCATCAACAACATCACCTACAAGGACATTCACATCGAGAACACCGATGCCCCTATCGTCCTTGACCAGTGCTACTTCAACATCAACAGCACCACCTGTGCCCAGTACCCATCCGCTGTCAACTTCACCAACATCAAGTTCGAGAACATCTACGGTACTTCATCTGGCAAGAATGGAAAGGTTGTCGCTGATCTGACCTGCTCGCCCGACGGGGTGTGCTCGGGCATCTCTCTTTCCGACATCGATATTGCTAGCCCCTCCGGCTCTCCCTCTGTGATTGTTTGCGATGGTATCGATGGTGATGTTGGTGTTGAGTGCCAGTCGAGCTCATCTTAGACGATCGATATCTATGATTGACATGATATAGTAGGCAGCTATATAATAGCCAAAATACATTTTACGCTTTGCTTCCAGTATTTACGTTCACTATTCTACCGGGGGATTTCCATCAGACTTGGAAGGCAACGCTACTTGAGCAATCGATGAAATCATTTACTTAAGTAATTCAGAGCTCATCTTTTCAAGGCCCGAGGTACATGCATTGAGAATAATTGGAAGTACTGTCAGATTCCGAAATCCAATTATTCAATCGCCTCAAAGGCGCGGACGACGTATGATTTCCCTTGAATGACAACCTTCTCACCGGGAATCCTCCATGCTCCCTTGCCCTCATTTTCAAATCCAGCCTTCATCGAGGGCACAGCACCTGCATCAGGACCCACTAAATATTTCTCCTCCCATCCAGAGGTCCACTGCTCCCGGCGGGCACTCACTTCAGCCCCAGATCTCTTCACAGACCAAGTGCCATCCTCATTTTTCTCATTTGAGTGCGTTTGAGTCTGCTGGAATGCCAGATATGTACCCCAAATGCGACCCAAGAATAATTTAGTCACAGTCACCTGTCCCTCTTGCTCCCCCAGAGCCAGGGGAGCATCATCAGACTCCAAAATCCACGAGATTCCCTTCTTCGCACCCTCAGGTCCTTCCCTGAATGGCAACTCCTGCCACACCTCCTCGAACGCAGTCATGGGTGCACCGGGTAGATCAGCCCGCGGCATCTCCCCCTCCTCAAGATCCGTACCATCAGCCTGCGGACTGAAGTTGGCCACATCAACAATCCCAATCTCATTGAGGGAGTCCAACTCGCGCGTAAAAAGCACCTTCACTATCGAACCAATTAACACCGATCATATGCATCCAATTCAATCTCTGGGATACGAACGCGGAATCTGACCCGGATTCTCCTCAATTCTAGTCCCAGCCATTGCCCAGTCGATTTCCCCGGATTTCTTATCCATTCGCAAGTCAACGAAGTACTTGCCCACCGAAAGGACGATCGTATCGGTCGTCTCCTCTGGGACTTCTGGCACCCATCGCAGGGAGAGGCGGGTTGAGAATCCGCAGGTTGAGCCTAGTTGAGCACCGGTGGCAGACATATTTGTAAATGTGTGGTATGTGTGTGTCGTTTCAAGGGACTTTGAACATTTCAACATTTCGCGACACGTGGTCCGGTTCGGCCCCGATTGGGTGGAGTCGAATTTAACAACCGCTAGTCCCAAAAGGGCAGGATGAGGATATCGATGTTCTGGTGTACCTAACACTTTTACTGGTTGGTGAAATCGGCCAACTACAATTGTATTGGGTGAAATCTGCATCAGACTATGTGTTTGGGATATAGATAACCGTGTACCGATTAGCTGAACATTGTATAGCGCAATGATGGACACAGGAATATTCCCCGAACCCCGCATTTCCAACCAGATGGCCTAATGATTCTCCTCAACATCCTTGAAAAAAATGTGAGCACGTGAGGGCTCTTTTCTTCGATGTCCTTCAGACTTCAGGAGTACATGCCAGCATATGGACTCCAATTGATCACCTAATGTGCCGGCATAAGGCCAACTACTTGATCAATCGCCATTATGACTTCCCCGCCAAGCGAAAATCTTCCAGACCCACAAAATAATATTTTATCAACGGCGATCACACATCAGTTGCTAGTGTTTGAGATTTGCTACAGAATTGGAATCTGTAGCTGCGATTCCGATGCCATGGTCTTCACATCAGCCTTGAGGGGAAGTAGCTTACGTCCGAGATCGGGGGATCGCACTTGATTAGAACTAGTCCCGGAAATCAATGTAAGCAGCGAAGAAGTTGAAGGTACCCGTGAAACTAAGATATCGGAACTTTAGAAAAGGAATAAAAGGATTTCAAGAAAGGTGCCCAGTGGAAAAGGAATAGCAAAGATATCTAGTTTGAAGGACGTACATATCTCTCCGTATCTTAGTAGGGTCGCATCACGTTGCATTTACACTACGAGGAAAAAACCTCAGCCAGGCACGAATTTCACAAGCAAATCCATAGTTTGGTCGTCCATTCTCGATGCAAGCCACAAAGCCCCATGTACGTGGCCTTTGAGCTTGGATGATGGAGGCCAAACAAGCATCAGTGTCATCAACTTTCAACATTAGAACGTCGCATGTTGCACTTCAGCAGTTTAATCATTTGTTAAGTTCTCATAACACCTATCTGTGAAGCAAACCCTAGCTCATGTTGCGCTCATCACCAACATTGTCCTGTACAGACTCCCATCTGACTTCTTTCGGTCATCTCCACACCCCACTCTCGCCCCGGTTGAAATCATACCCGGGCCTTGTCTTCGGCCAATCAAACCCTCTGTGATGTTTTTGTGGAGAGACTTTTGGACGAGGCTTATGCTCTGTTCTTCAATTCGGACATATGCTTGTTGTCTTTCCTGGGGTTGAGCCCACTCAGCCCCACCCCCGGATTTTGAGACAGCTACACTATGTAGCAAATATACGGGGGTATGATGAACTAGATGTCACACCCTGAAAATGCCCCTGATTAATATATAAAGAAGACCTCGGGGATACATTCCTACTTCTTTTTCAGTCTGAACTTCTTCTTCATTCGCAGACTACCATTCCCAAAGTTTGTTCTGCTGCCTTCCGGGATGGAGAAAGCAAACAGCGAACACTTGGACATCCAAGGCACTCACTCCGATGTACAGGATATAGAGTCTGAAAACTCGCACTTCTACATGGAAGAACGACTGGCCCATTTATCCGAAGAACATCGTCAATACCTCCTCAACCGACATGGAACTCTTGACCTCGATCCAATCCCAGATATGAACGATGCAGACCCATACAACTGGCCTGTTTGGAGGGTAGAACACTCTTTTCCCTTCATCACAAACCTTGGACCGTCATACTGATATGATTTTGACACAGAAAACACTCAACCTATCCCTCGTCGCCTTCCACGCCATGATGGCCACATTCACAGCCGCCGCCATCCAATGCGCATTCGAAGATATATCAGAAGACCTGGGCGTGAGCATGCAACGCACCAGCTACCTGGTCTCTCTATTCATCGCAGTCCTTGGCGGAGCACCATTGTTCTGGCGTCCTTTGTGCAACCGCTACGGACGCAGACCCATATTTCTTCTTTCTCTGGCTTGCAGCTTGATCGGTAATATAGGCTGTGCCTATAGTCCTTCGTACGCGACCATGGGGTTGTGTCGCGCCATAACCTCGTTCTTTATCAGTCCCGCCGCGGCGATCGGCAGCGCCGTCGTTGCTGAAACGTTCTTCCGCAAAGATCGAGCTCGCTGTATGGGTGTCTGGACACTTATGGTTACCCTTGGTGTACCTGCAGCGCCTTTTATTTTTGGTTTTGTTGCGTTGCGTGTGGGATACCGTTGGATTTACTATACACTTGCGATTGTGAGTTGTTGATATATATTCAGCCTCCACCCCACCGATCTAACAATCTCCAATAGGTCAACGCAGTTCAGTTCATTTTATATTTCTGTCTAGGGTCGGAATCTCTCTACCTACGAAACACTGCCGCATGTCACATCTCAAGCACAAAACGATGCCTCTTCAAATTCGCCCGTATTGACCCAGCCCCACTAAAGCTTAGGGACTTCATCCACCCCCTTAGCTACGTGTCCAAGCCATGCGTTCTCATTCCAGCAGCCGCATACGCTATGATCTTCCTCTGGGGCAGCGTAATCCCCACCATCGAGATTCCACAAGTCTACCCCGAAAAATTCGGACTCAACACCCAACAGGTCGGTCTACAGTTCCTAGGCATTATTATTGGATCCGTGATCGGCGAGCAAATAGGCGGCTTGATATCCGATCGCTGGATGATGATGCGACAGAAACGTACTGGTGAGCCTGCAGCACCGGAATACCGTCTCTGGCTAAGCTACATCGGCCACGCTTTGACGATCTGCGGTATTGTGGTTTTTGCCATTCAGCTCCGTGACTCGGGAGGTTCATGGAACATCACCCCTGTTATAGGATCGGCGATCGGGGCTGCTGGTAATCAGATCGTGACTACGGTTGATATTACATATGCGGTGGATTGTTACCGCGAAGATGCAGCTAGTGTGGGTGTTTTCATTACGTTTGTTCGTCAAATGTGGGGGTTTATTGGACCGTTCTGGTATGTGAGATCCATGGATTTGAATTGTATGCTCGTACACTAATTGACTTGCACAGGTTTCCGCAGATGTTCGAAACGGCTGGATGGGCTGGAGGAGCAGGAATCGCGACTGCACTTATATTTGTTGTCAGTGTCATGCCGACTATTGTCATCCAATGGCGGGGTGCAGGCTGGCGATGAGCGACTTGCCATCCGGAGTTTCAAGCCAGCTCCACCGCTTGGGTTCGGCTCGTTGATGCAAGCGGAGGCTTTTGCCCGTGTCGAGCGGTTTCGCAATCTCGAAGTGCGGAGGCCTGAGACCAGAATCCAATTGCTGACAGTTTTCAACATTTTCTTTGGCACCCAGCCCCTCGATCTTGCAACAAAAAGGCTTCTGTTCCCTTTCAAAGAGTCCCCTTTCAGAGACTTCTCTTGGCTAAATTCCGAGTCGGGAGACTCCATTTCACAAGATTCCTAGTTGGGAGATTCCCCTTTGCAGGATTCCCATTAGGGCTTTCCCTTTGAGAGGTTCCATTTGAAAAATTCCCTTCCTTCGGGATGTGGGAGGCTTTAACCTCATTCCTCTCGTGATTTTGATTTTTATTCTGAAGTGGAGGGTTCTCTTGAGGAGGTTCTCTTCCTTAGATAGTCAATTGAAGAAATTCGAGCCATTTTGAGCTTCTGTCATCTGATAAGAACTCAGTTTTTTCTATGTCGTTCACTCTGAAGTGCACTATTTTGCTTGTAGTCATAGTTTCTAAAGTTAGAGATGGCTCACTGGGTGTAGAGGACACAAGTCTTGGTCAGGGAAAGCACAGGTATTGAGGTCATCTGGTGTTAGGGAAAGTCAATAGGTTAAATAAATGATCATTTCCAGAGATCCCATTATCATATACCCAAGCATTTGAGAAACTGACAGGGGGAAATAGTGGTGAAGTGAGGCCAGTGCATCTGTTGTGGCTGTGACAAATTTCAACAGGGCAATCAGCAGTGGCTAAAAGTGCGAAGTCGTTCATTTGAAAGGTTCATACACCGCATCATATGCCATGGAATGGTCTCTTCATACAAGCGATGAGTAGATTGAATATTAGAAGCACAGCCGATTGCCAGCATATCAGACATGTCTGCTGTGGCTATCATGGCTGACATCCTGTCCGAATTAGTATTATTTCACCTCACGCTTATACCTATGAATGCAACAAATAGGAATTCCAACAACAAACCACAAGAGCGTGGAGATACATAAGGCAATAATATACAGCTGAAGTGGTGTAGAGAAACTTCTGATCAGGAACAGGGGAGGACCTTCTGAAAAACAGAGAGGGGACAAAGCAGAGGTGGCATAGAGATGACATAGAGATAGTAAAAGGATGGTGAAGAAGAGCAACAAAGGTAACAAGAGAGAGGGAGATGGAAAAGATGAAAGAGGATTGAAAAGAGGATTGAAAAGAGGATTAAGAAGAGTGAAGAGGAGAAAAAGAGGAAGAAGGGCCAGAAGGGTTTATATCATGGTAGATGATGGATTAGGACGACATTTCAGAGTCAAGGGATACTTAAGTACTTAAGTATATCAACCATGTTGACTTGGATAAGTCCCTCAGACTCAACAAACGAAATATATACAGAAATTTTCTAATCGGACCTGCTTGAAAAAAGAAAGTGGGAATTTTCATTATTCATATCTCCCTATAACATGATTTAAAAAGCCTACCACCCCTCAACCCTCCTAATAGCAAGGTGCATACCCTCAACAGGCTTAATAGTAACCGACCCCGAAGCATGAATCTCCTGATTAGGATCCTGCATCTCAAAAGCAAACCTGCCCACAACACCCGCAACCGCACACCGGAACTCCGCCCTGGCAAAGTCCTTACCAATACACGAGCGCTGTCCGTGCAAAAAAGTAATCTGTGCGAAGTTGGTCGATGCACCACCGTTGTTATTTGGGATTTCTTTGCCATTCTTGTCTGTGTCGATCCACCGCTCAGGGTAGAAATCGTCTCCATTATCTCCCCAGAAGAGTGGACTGCGGTTGATAGCCCATGGGCATAGGACCACGCGTGTGCCCTTGGGAATGTATTTGCCTGCCACTGTGGTGCCGCGAACGGCTTCGCGGATCGTGGTTGGGACGGGCGGGTAGAGACGGAGGACTTCTTGGCAGACTCCGTTGAGGAGGGGGAGGGACTCTAAGTCCTGGTGTGTGATTGGGGAGTTTCCGCTTGGAATCTTGGAGCGGATCTCCTCCCGCAGTCGTGTTTGGTAGTCTGGGTTCTGGTGGAGGAGGTAGCAGGCCCAGGTCAGGGCACTGGCAGTTGTTTCGTGCTAGGTTCGTTAGTTATGAATATTTGACTTTGGGAATGGTGATACTCACGCCAGCTGCCAGGAATGTCAACATCTGGTCGACCATTTCTGTATCGGTGAAGTCGCCTCCCAGCAACATCGAGCCGAGAATATCGGCTTCAAGATCTTGAGCGGAAACCTTAGACTGCGCTAGTTGAATTCGCTTCTCTTGCACGATTTCATTGCAGGTTTTACGCAGATACGCGGTCTCTGTTTCCAGAATGTTGTTCATGCGCCAGGGGACACGCTTCGCCATCCACTGGGGAAGAGTGAAGTTCATCACCAGGAATGCCATTTTCTCCTTGGTTGGTTCCAGGATGCTGGCAAAGCTCTCGGCGACCTTGTTTCTCTTGTTCTGGATAGAGTTGAAGTCGCGTCCCATTGATGCAGGCCCAATGATATCGAGTGTAAGGCGACTACAGATGTTAGCTTTGAAGACTCCAAGTCCTTTAGACAGCGTACCTGGCCCATTCTCCCATTTCAATTTTGCCGACACCTTCTTCGGGCTTGGTTCCTTCCATTGGGTTCGCTTGGCCTTCTTTTTCCAGCTCATCCAGCAAAAGCCCGGTCTTTTCCCACATCAACGAATACATGGAGCGAATGTTCTTAATGTTGAACCCCGGGGTCAATGCCTTGCGCTGTCTCTTGTGATGCGCACCTTCCGAGGTAATCATGCCGAACCCGATGATACGAGCGAGGAAGTTGCGCATGCGCCAGGGCTTCTCGAAATCATAGGTGTTTGTACTCATGACGTCAAGCAGCGCTTGGTGATTTGTGGGCAGAAGATAGCTGGTATTCAAATTGTCGCGCATATGAATAAGTCCCTCGTTGGGAATCGTCTTCATCCATATCAACGGTGTACTTCCGCGAGGAGTGTCAAAGATCAGTTGTGAGTGGCTTGCAGATCCCTGAACTGATTAGATTGGAATTCAACTATGTTTGGATCCTCTTCCTACCGGGACTTTGGGTAGATGGCGGATCGGGCTCAGCAGAAGCGGATAAATGATGATACTGAAGAATCCCTGTGCCAAAAGAGTGACGATAAATGTATACAGCAGAACTGTGTGGTATGCAGTCTCTTCATAGACTACTCGTTGCAGCAGATATGCCTCCACGAGGGAGCACGCAGCCACAGTGGGCAAATTATCACCCAGTGCCATATGGAAGACCTTTCGTATAGCTATTCCGGGTGGAAGGTGTGTGAAAATGTGAAAGGTCCCCAGGTGCCGACATGCCAGACAAAAGAGGCATTGACATCAACTCAAAAGCTAGGACACCTCAAATTGGTCGTTTCATGGGGGGACCCACCAGGATCGACATGGGGCTTCTGTTTGAGGGAACCAATGCGACCTCGGCTGAGGGGCCTTGATTTTGCGACGCCCGTTTTTTGTTAATCTCTGGCATTTGAGTGGTTTCATGTGGCTTGACCTGTTTAGAGAGGTATTCTCGTATTAATCGAGTTTGAGGCCTTGATGGCACTTGGTAGTGGATCTGAGGGCAGAATGCAGATATCCAAAAGAGGTAATGATGTGCAGAGATGCAGGTGCAGAACACGCAGTAGAGCACGTGCAGAAAAGTGTAGACAGTATAGAAACTCTGGAGTAGACTGCACAACTACGAGTGACTATGAGTAGAGAGCAGCGACAGTATCAGGACAATGAGATCATTTCCCCAGAGCATGTGACAAATGCGGCCGAAAGTGGCAATTTCGGCTGTAATCAAAATCCAGTGGAGAATCTTCGCATTCCACTCGGTGGACCTTTTTCACGATGTGCACGCTAAGAAAATGTGATGCCGAGGCTGCTTTAAGCTTTTCCTCCGAATTGTTATAAACCCTCCGACTGCGCTTCTGCCTTAGCAAATACCAATTATCACAATGTCGTTGCTTGAATATACCCAAACAGCCCTCAGTGTTCTGCCAGAGCCGGCGCAAGCTCTCCTGCGCAACCCCACGGCGCAAAAGACCATCGCCGGAGTAGGCGCATTCATCCTGGCCCGCGCAGCAAACCAGTTCCTGTCACGATGCGCCCACCAGAATTGGACAATCAATGGGGCCTGGAATCCGCAGGCAGAGCTCATTCTATTGACGGGCGGAACGTCAGGAATCGGCAAGCAGGTCATGGAGGATTTATCCAAGACGGGGGTTCGCGTTGTCATCCTTGATATTAATGAGCCGAACTTCACACTGCCTTCAAATGTGTCCTTCTATAAGGCCAATATCACCAACTCAGAAGACATCGCGGCTGTGGCGAAGACAATTCGTGAAAACCATGGTGATCCCACCGTTCTGGTCAACAATGCCGGTGTTGGTCACGATGGCAGCATTCTCGAGGAACCCGAATCCAAGATCCGTCAAACCTTCGAAGTCAATACCATCTCCCACTTCTTAATGGTCAAGGAATTCCTGCCTGCCATGGTCAAGGCCAACCACGGCCATGTCATCACTGTCGCCAGTATGGCCAGTTTCGTCGCGCTGGGCGAGATGGTCGATTATTGTTGCTCCAAGGTATCAGCCCTGGCCTTCCACGAGGGACTGCGACAGGAGTTGAAGCACTGGTATAACGCGCCGAATGTGCGCACCAGGTATGTACCCCAGACAATCGCTCACAAGGGCCCCACTAACGGATATAGTGTTGTTCATCCCCTGTGGGTTCGGACGCCCATGATCACAATGTTGACAGACCAAGGCTCCTTCAAGCAACCTGTCATGACACCCCAGGTTGTCGCGGACGCCATCTGCAAGCAGATTCTCACTCAGAGCAGTGGTCAGATCCTCCTGCCGAAGAGTCAGTCTATTGCGAGCGTGGTGCGCGCCATGCCTTTCTGGCTGCAAGAGGCTGTGCGGACGCATGCTTCGGGGGATTTGAGGAAGATGCGTGTTGCGCAGAGCGCGGCGGAGGCTGCCATTAAGAAATGATTTGATAGTTTTATGATTTTTAATATACCAATACCGCGGGCTGGTTGAAGTTGACCTGATTTCTTGGCGTAAGACGAGTCGAATGGCTTGTTTCAGGCTATTTCAGCCCACTAGGAAAATTTATCCACAATGTGATTCATCGTCTCAACTGGTGCGACTCCACAATAGCTCTGCAATGTGAAACAGCGGAACTGAAACTTGCCAACAGTCTTGAATTTGCGATGATACTGCGCACTGAGAGAACGTAACGAAAACAGATCAATTCATGAAACGTGTCAATATGTACTTCCAATCTGAATATAAACAAATCTAAGCAAACTATATACATCCAATCTCAGGCAAATCAAGCCATCAACTCCCCCAAAAACTCCTCAACCCTCCTCCCCTGCTCCGTCTTCGTCGCATCCCCCAACTCAAGATGATAAACCGGCGCAACATGACACTCACGCACACCAACAAATAACTCAACCCTCTCAAAGCCCTCCTTAAACTTCCCCGCAAAGTCCTGAATCAAAGGCAACATAATCTCATTCCCACCAGCCGTAATCAACACCGAGTCAACAGGGAAACTACCAAACCAATCCGCCGGTGCCGTCGACAAATCCGTATAATAATCCCTCTTCGCAGACCCCACATAGGCACCAGCCCACGGCCCTGCAACAGCAGTGGTAATAATATCACCACCATGATACACCTCCATATCCGGGAACTCGACGTCAAGAAGTGTCCATGGAGCGATCATCACCGCGCCGCCGAGATTCCCCTTCAGCGGGAGGGGATCGATTTCCGGATGCGGGTGCGCGAGATGCGACAGGACGCCTGAGACGAGGTTTCCGCCTGCGCTGTCGCCGCCCAGGAAGATGCGGGCGGTCGGGCGGGTGGGGAGCACGTGTGCGAGACAGGAGACGGCCTGGCGGAGTTGGGTGGGGTATGTTGCTGTTGGGGCGAGGGTGTAGGAGAGACTGAAGACGGCGACGCTTTTTCCTGCTGCGCGTAGGTCGTGGACCAGTTGGGTGTAGAATTTGAAGTAGCCCATGTTTGCGGGGAGGCTGAACCCCCCACCTTGAAAGTGTTAGCTGCGACTGATTTGTGCGATCATGATTTCAGACATACCGTGGTACCAGACGATCACGTTGTCTGCATTTCGATCACCGATCCAGTGGCCGTAGGCGCCATTGCCTAGGTCGACGGAGTCTGGGAATGCGCCTGTCTTCTGGGTGTACAGCTCGTAGATTTTGTTGGTGGCTGGCAGCACGTATTGCATTTGACCTGGGGACAAGCGCGCTGTGGCTTTGCGGAAGAGCGCGTAGCCCAGATGCAGGAACAGGGTCTTGGCTTGACGCTCGGTGCGCCAGAGACCTGTTAGGAGGGCATAGAATGCGGTGAGGAGGATGGAGCCGATGGCTGGTAAGAAGTCGAGCTTCTCTCGCAGTGTGAGGGTCACCTTGGATAGAGACATTGTGTGGACATGGTCAATTGCGGTGCGGCCATGGTTAAGTGGTTCAGATATTCACACTCTTTTGCACACGAACCGAGGGAAATCGTGGTTCGCAAAGGTGGCTGTTTTCGGTAAGGATTGGCGCTCTGGGATTTGCGACGGCCGAGGCATTTTGCATATGGGGCCAAGGGTCATAGCTATCGCTAATGCGGTTAGCAAGATGTAGTCTGATTTTGTCTGCAAAATGTGCCATGATTGAGTATGGCGTAACTGGTTTCTAGTAGAGGGTATGTAGTGTGTAGTGTGCAAGTAAAGTAGGTGCAGGCTTAGCCCCGATCTCCCTCTCCCCGAACTCCCCGTCTCTGCCGATCATTGCCATGTCGTGAAACCGAGGCATGTGAACTGTCGTTTTAAAACTGTCGCATATCCTCTTGTCTGTCGTTTACTCATTCTTTCTCAATATATACACCATGAGCAAGACCTTCGACGTGATCATCGTCGGCGCTGGCATCTCCGGCATCAACGCCGCCTATCGCCTCCAATCCCAACTCCCGGGCTACAGCTATGCTATTCTCGAAGCTCGTGACGATCTAGGTGGTACCTGGGATCTCTTCAAGTACCCAGGCATTCGGTCTGATTCTGATCTGTTCACCTTCGGCTTCCAATTCAACCCCTGGAGTCGCGACAACCCCATCGCTGAGGGCAATGATATCAAAGAGTATGTGCGCGACACTGCGAAGAAGTTTGACATATACGACAACATCCACTTCCGCCACCGATTGAATGCAGCCAACTTCTCAACAGAGACCAACACCTGGTCGCTGGCCGTCGACGCACAAGGCGAACAAACCTTCACCGCCCGTTACGTCATTTTCGGCACTGGCTACTACAACTACCACGAGCCATTGAAGGCCGACATCCCAGGGCTGGATGATTTCCAGGGCCAGATCATTCATCCCCAGTTCTGGCCCGACAATCTGCAATACAAGCAGAAGAAGGTCGTCATCATTGGGTCCGGCGCAACCGCCGTCACCCTATTACCAAACCTGGCAGATGAGGCTGAGCGTGTGACAATGCTCCAGCGAAGCCCGACCTACATTCTGTCCTTGCCTAATCGCACAAACAGCCGCTGGCTCAGCTACATACTACCGCATTCACTATACACACGTGTTCAGCGCTTCATTTGGATCTACACCTCCCGCCTCTTCTTCTTGTTCTGTCAGCGGTTCCCGGGCTTCTCGCGTTGGTTGCTGAAATTGAATGTCCGCAAGCAATTGCCCAATCATATTCCCTACGACCCACACTTCAAGCCAAGGTATAACCCCTGGGACCAGCGACTATGTGTGTGTCCGGATGGAGACTTGTTCAAGTCCCTCCGCAAGGGCAAGGCAGATGTAAAGACCGATACAATCAAGCAAGTGACCAAGAACGGCATCGTCCTGAACTCAGGAGAGAAGCTTGATGCTGATATCATCATCACCGCCACCGGGCTGCGATTGCAGATGGCCGGTGGAGCCGGTCTAACCGTCGACGGACAGAAGATCAACGTCGGCCAGAAGTATCTTTGGAACGGAGTCATGTTGCAGGATGTCCCCAATGCCGCATTCGTCATTGGATACACCAATGCTTCCTGGACACTTGGTGCCGATGCTACTGCCCAGTTCGTCTGTCGTTTGCTGAAGAGCCTCGAGTCTCGCAAATTGATCGCTGCTACGCCCAGAGTCAAGGAGAAGGATGCGGCGACTCTTCAGGACCGGAAGTTGCTTAACCTGAACTCCACTTATGTTTCTATCGCTGAGAGTGTGTTGCCCAAGGCTGCGGATCGCGGTCCCTGGCAACCTCGTGATCATTACCTGAAGGACATCAAGTTCGCGACGGGTGGTGATATTGATACCGGGCTGGAGTTCGCACAGGGTCCCAGTCTGCGTCTGCGTCCTAAGATCGCTTGATACGATAATGTTATGATCCATATACTGTTTGTAGATAGGCGTTTGGTGAATATACTTGTTTAAGAGCTTTCAACGTTTATATTCGCACATTTCGATTTCGGAGGGATTTTGCATACTCAGACAGGAATTAAGCACTTGACGCCCATATTCCCCTATTCTCTCTTTCGTAGACTCTTCATCCTAGCGGTATCCTTTTGCTTTTTGTTCGGGCTGGTGTCTTGCTTGGCAGTTCGCTTGTCCCCTGCACCTTTGCCTTCGGACTGCTTTTGTTCACCGGAGTCTCCATCGTCTTTCTCCGGCGTTTCCTTCTTCTGTTTGTTTGATTCATCGGTCTGATCATCATCCTTGTTTCCCTCATCATCTTCGTCGTCATCCTTTTGTTGCTCTTCCTCCTTCTCCTCTCCCTTCCCCTTTGCGTCCTCATCATCCTCACCCTTCTGTCCCTCATCTCCAGAGCCAACACTTGCTCTTCTTCTCGCCTCTTTCGCCTCCCCAGTATTCCCAACAAATTGCTTCCCCTCCTTTGATTCCTCCACCTTCTTTTCATCCGTCTCCTCTTTCTCCCCTTCACTCAATTCCTCCCAAGCCTTCTTAGGCAGATATCTCTTCCGAGAATCATCATCCTGACGAGCCGTGCCTTCACCCTCCTTAGTCTGCCACTCCTCTTTGGTCCAATCATCAAGATGTTTCTGAGACTCCGACTGCCCTTCTTCCTTCGTGGTATTATACTCCCCACCACGCTTTTTGTACTCCGATGCCATCATTTGAGCCTGCATCAGGCAGTTAATGTCAGATATATCTTATGGTCGAAGTTCCTGAACTCACCTTTCTAGCAGACCATTGACCGGGCTTTCCGCCCTTGTCGCCATTGTGGATTTCCTCTTTGACTTCATCGCGCAATTCGGGATCGGTGTATTTTTCTTTAGGGGGCATGGTGGAATTGGTAGAGGGTTTAGGTATGAGGAATAAAAAGGGACGTATATGTGCACAATTGTAGAAGTAGGCAGCTCCTGAATTCACTTCCAAGATTTGAACAATGACATCGGTGTGGGTGACATCATGGAATGCTTCCCTTGCGCTATTCTATTCCCGGGGACTACCGGCCCCGCTAGCTTTTAACCTTAAATCCCCGCATGTTGTGTGGATTATGGAGATCACTTCTTACTTTGTTTGATCTTGAATGTAGATGCTGAATGAGGTGGAAACATCATTTGACTGTACATTCAGAATGATCACAAACACAGAATGAACCCAAACACTCAAAACATCCATGGTTGACAAAAATTGTGAAGCCCAGTTTTCGAATACCATACTATTGTAGTACTACTGTATTCACCTAAAATGGCGTATTAAGACTAAATTCATCTGAATAGTGAAAGGGTGCGGTTTTCATATGGTATTCTCAATGTTTTACAATGAATTGGCAGCATAAGGCGTCATGAGGCGTAAGAAAACAACAGTTCATTTTGGGCTAAGACATCTAACCCTGCCCTAAGGTATCAATATAGGGGCGACTAGTGTTCGGGTATTCAGGTATCCATCTCTATTCAGGTACTCAGGGTTTTTTTGAGGTGTTCAGGTGTGATGTATTCAGATGTTCGGGTGTTCACATGTGAAGGGGTGGAGGTGTGAAAGTGTGAAGGTCTGAATAGCATCGATAAGAGCTTCGGGGCTCTCCGGCTTTAAGTATCCCCGGGGGCGAGCCTGCGTTCGTGTGCCTACACTCATCCCTCTTCACCTCTTCATGATGCATTCATACCAATCACTCGGATTTCTCAGATCACCAAGCAATCATGTCTCAGTACATCAAGAACAGCATCCCGACCGGCAAGACAGGATGGAAGGTCAGCATAATCCTTGTCTTACTACTGTTTGTCTGCCAAGGTATGCAATGCACTGTTGTTATTAGGTCAGAACACAGATTGATTTGACGAGTAACAGCAATTGCCATCGACACACCCTGCAACCGTCAAACCCAGAGTGCAACTTACGAAATCCACGCTGTCCGCAATCATGAAGCAACAACAAACCTGATCCTGTCATTGAACCCATCCACTCTTCTCATCCCAGCACTCGTCAATGCAACCATCGAACGAAGTGGTTTACTTCAATTGACCCAGGGACAAGATACATTCGCAACAGCCCATTCCAACAAAAGCACTTACAGTGTGCTTATCTCATCCTCTGACTATTTATCCCGGGAAATGTCAAATGCCATGGACGTATCTTCTTCTTCCTCCACCCAACCAACCAAGACGGTGTCCATGGAAAACACCTACACGACGAGTGGCGCCAACGCCCTCTTCTCTTGGACCACGCCTACCGACACCCCGACACCTCACATCAGCCCAACGGCTACTGGTGGTGACACCACTGCCTCTCAGCCAAAGTCGGGCATTTCCACCAAAGAAAAGGTGGTTATTGGTGTTGGTCTTTTCTTATTCCTGGTGATTATGTTGATCACGGCTGTTTTCTTCTGTGGTCTCAAGATGAGACCAACAGCAGTGAATTGGCGCACAGAAGGCCATGAGCTGCATGCCATGGGACCGTGAGGGATGGAACTGGCCCCGGGGCCCAATGAGGTTAGGTTCTGACATGGCCGCCGGGCTAGAATTGAATACCAAACAGTTCAGTTCAGTTCATCTCAGTTCACTAACACGTAGGATTCTTTGATAGTCGTAGCTTTAAGAAGTCAGCTGAATAGTCTTTGGTAATTGCTTACAAGTAAACAAATGCAAGCAAGCAAAGTGAATATTCATGAAGTAATTATATTTGGGTATCCACACTTTCCTATTATCTTCGTTCACGCTGTGCAAAGCCTAATGTAAAGGCATTTATTTATCGCGTCGCCATTTGACACAAATGTCCGGCCCCTATTTGCGCTCCTCATCAACAGTCTCCCGGTTAGCCATCTGACTATCAGGCAGCATGTTCATGGCGTCTTCCTCGCGATCCAACTTGTAGTTGGTCAACCAGAATCCAGCGCCACCAATGAATGCCAGCAGAGCAACGAGTGTGTAGTTCCACACCAGCAAGGGATCCACAGACAATCCGACAAATGCCTGACCAATAGCGGAGGAAATTGCGTTCATGAACAGTGCAACAGCCTGCACAAGCGAACGCATGTTCTTGGGCGCCTTGGTGTAGGCGTATTCGAGGGATGTGACGGATGCCAGAATCTCGGAAATACCACCAAGGATGTAAGTCAGGGCCTGGATCCAGACGGAGATGTTGGTGTATTCGCCCTTAACCTCGAGACAGTAGTTGGCCTCTTCACCGCAAGGACCGAGCTTGTAGATGTAGTGCTGAGTGACGGCCGCGACGATCATACCGGCACCGGCCATGCAGAATCCAGCAGTGATGCGCTTGAGGGGGGTGAAGTTGAAGCCCATCTTGCGGAGACCTGGGTAGACGACTTGATCGAAGATCGGGATGAAGATGATGAGAGCGAAGGGGTTGAGGTTGTTGATGATGTCGTTGGGGACACCGCCAAGTTTCATGGTAGCAGCCTGCGAGGTCAGATTGTTCAACATCTGGTTGTAGGCAAGCCCTGTTGATTGTTAGTATTGTTTTCTCAGGAAGGTGGGATTTTTGCTTACAGTAGAGAGGGTACCACAAAAAGACACGACAAGCCAGGAGTCCACGGCGAACTTCGTCAACCCAAGCGTCGTCGAAGTCCATCCAGGCGGGCTTGGCGGAACCGAGAACACTAGGCTTCACATTGTCCCAAATGTTGGTTTCCGACTTGCGGAACCTATATGCACTTGTTAGCACGGATTTATGGACCGGTTGGCTAGCTAACTTACCATCTGACAGGGTTCAGGGTCCAGTGACCCTTCATTGCCAGGCTCCACAGCTTGAAAGCCTTGGGGTAGATCGAACCACTGGGAGGGGTGAGGTAGTACTTGTTGCGGCAAATGTAAAGCACGGTTGGGCAAAGACAGAACATGGCAGTGGGAAGCAAGAAGGACAACCAGAATCCAACGTATCGCTCTGCGTAAACCATGGCGATTTGACCGGTCAGGGATCCAATGTTGATCATCAGGTAGAAGTACAGGTAGATACGAGCCACTGTCGCCGCTGGGTCCACAATCACGCGCTCCCCACTGGGGAGCGTCGAGACATAGGGCTTCGTCTCGCGGTATTGTTCCGCGATCAACGGCGAAATGTTGGACTTGAAACCACCTGTACCCACACCCATGATGACCAGACCGATAGTGAAAGCAGCGATAGATCCATTAGGACTGGCGATAACCTTGGGGATGGCAGAAACAATCAAGATGGTGTGACCAACCAGTGCGCAAGCAATGGAGGAGAAAATGGTGCGGAATCGACCCCAGTATTGATCGGCAACCCAAGCACCGGCCAAGGGCATAATGTAGGACCAGAAGGAATTGACTGATTAGGTTAGCGGATATGCAGCTCATCGAACACGTGCATACATACACAATGTGAGACCGGTGGAGGCCTGCTGGCCCATGCCCAGCGCACCAGGGGTTCCATTGCTCCAGTCGGAGCTACCAGCCACCAGGGCACCGGTGGTAGAACCCGCTGGCAAGGGACGTTGAATGAAATTGACGACTGTTTGCGGTTAGTCCCAACTCTGCAGGTTAAGAATTGCGGGGTAAACTTACACACTGCGGTGGTACCGTAGTATGAGAATCGCTCGCACAGTTCCACAAAGGCAATTGTGTATGCGGACCATGGGATCTTGCCTGACACACGACGCAAGTTTGCCAGCTCGTCAGTGGTAGGGGAAATCTTTTCAATGGACTCATCACCATCGACATAAGTGACGCCCTGCTGGGGTGCGTTGTCAATGGTCAACTCATCGACGACGGGGACCTTCTCGTTGATAGCGAGATCATTATTAGCTGCCTTTGATTTGGCAATCTCGGCCACGTCGACGGGATCGGAGGCATTCATCGTGAAGTCGTGAGTGAGAGAAAGGAAAGAAAGGAAAAGAGAGAAGGAGCTAACGTGACACTTATAATGCGAGCAAGCTTAATCCGGCAGGTGCCAGGTTCGAATTGCAATTACCGCCACCGCAGCCACTGGCTATTTTCCCACCTCGGCCGCTCTTCTAGAATCCGGAGTAATACCTGCATTGGGACATTGCGACCTCCCCCAACTGGTTCACCACCCAAGCACCCGTTACTATCCGCCAGACCCTGCATTTCCGCCACCGTGAGATCTGACCATAAGATCTGACCACAGCTTTTTATCTTCGGCCTGACCCGAAGCAAACCTGATAAGCCCGGCAGATGATGGTGAAAATCCTTGAAGGCTAATACTTGCCAAGCATCGCGTTATCCAATCAGTCCGCTCTAGCGGGCTTAGGCCTTCCCTCGACAAAGATTAGCCTCGACCTCCGGCGGCCCTTGGCAACTTGGCACGTGTATTGCCCCCGCGCCGTGCAGCTTGGCTGGTCGCAGACAGTGTAACCCTGTCTTCCTTGGCCTTCATGCACCAATAGAACGACGCCGTTCCATTAACCGAGGAGAGATACACTGATAGCGAGCACATGGCCCGGAACCAATCAAAAGAGCTGTGCGAGTGGGGCACTGATTAGGCTCAAACTAACCGCTTCATTCGCCACTAATTCCGGGGAACTGAGACATGCGACCCAGGGAACTTGCTGTCTGTGGTTATCAGGTACATGTGATTATTTTTTGCTGGATTTCTCTTGGTCCGTCGGTCTCCCGGAATCATCTCGTATACAGATGTGCCATGCAGCTGGAGTACCTTTGACAGGGATTTGATTGAACGCTTTATTACCTACAAGGAATTGCTTATTGGCCACCCGGTTTCACATCCCGTGATTGGACCTCGCGATTGCGTTTCGCGCTTCCTTCCAGTCCATACAACACATCCTCCGACATGCCCGGAATCACCATGTCGAACGTCTCTTTGACCACCGTGTATTCATAGTACCCGCATCGCGCAATGGGTTGAGTTTTCCGAATATCCAGCTTTCCATCCGTCAACACCTCGTCCTTGATATGGACAGCGACAACTCGCCCAATAACCACATCCACAGTCCCCATGGGAGGGTTCCCTGGTAATCTGATCGTGGTGTGATATTCACACTCGAATTTCACCGGTGATTCCTGCACCATGGGGACATCCATCAATGTCGCCGGCTCCTTGGTGACCTTGGCACGAGTGAACTCGTCCACACCATAGGGAACCTGTTCCGCGGAGATGTTGACCGCTTCGCGAAGGTCCCAGGTTGCCAGGTTCCACACAAACTTGCCCGTTTGTTCAGCGTTGATGACTGTGTCTTTGCGGTCGCCCGTCACCGTCTGGTTGGATGAGAACATCACGTACGGTGGGTCGAACGTCAAATTATTGAACTGCGAGTACGGAGCCAAGTTGGCTTGGCCACTCTTGTTTTGTGTGGAGATCCATCCGATCGGGCGGGGGACGACACACGCCTGCTTCCTGCATTGGTTATTTGTTTCGTGCAGGGTGCGGGGGTCTGACCTTGAATGGATCGTGGGGGAGGTTGTGTTCGGTGATTCCAGGTTGATAAAACATGGTTTGATTCGTGTTCTTAATTGACACTCACTTGAGATCGTTGGATGTCTCCCCCTCTTTATAATGCGCTCGGCTTAGCCGAGCACACTGCCGAGATGGGACTCACTTCCATCCCCACTGAACACTGTACAAAATCCAATGTACAATGTACGCGTACATTGTGCAAGGTGTTCGGCAGTGGAACCAATTACTGATGCCTGCTCGCCTTGTGAAAGCCTCGTCCTCCGAGACCCGAAGAGCATTGTCCAATCGCGATGCGACCGTGCCGTTGTTGCCTGAGGCATCACTCACTGATGCGCTCGGGGGCTCGGAAGCTCGTTGGCTCGGCCTGGAACAAGAAACATGGACCGCACGGCATACCGAGATGGAGATCATAAACTTGTCTAGCATGAAACCCGTTGAGCCGATCTAACCGGTCGATCATATATAACTGCTGCGTTGAGCATGGTAGAAATGCATTCTTCAGCGATACACTCGTCTATACAGAACATCTCATACTTCAAACATGGTTTCCACCGAGCCTCATCTCAACTTCCGATCTTTCGTCGAGGCCCTCAAGGCAGACGACGACCTTGTTGAAATCAACACCCCCGTCGATGCCAACCTCGAGGCTGCGGCCATCACCCGACGAGTCTGCGAGACCGACGACAAGGCCCCCCTGTTCAACAACATCATCGGCTCCCAGCATGGTCTGTTCCGTATTCTTGGTGCCCCGGCCTCATTGAGGAAGTCCTCCAAGGACCGCTATGGTCGACTTGCTCGTCATCTCGCTTTGCCACCCACTGCCTCGATGAGCGAGATCCTCGACAAAATGCTCTCCGCTAGCACCATGGCCCCGATCGCCCCTCAGATCTTGGAAACAGGCCCTTGCAAGGAGAACTTCCTTGAGGGAGACCAAATTGATCTGACCAAGATCCCGGCGCCCCAAATTCACCAGCATGATGGTGGAAGATACATCCAGACCTATGGTATGCACATCGTGCAATCGCCAGACGGATCGTGGACAAACTGGTCCATTGCCCGTGCAATGGTCTCCGATGAACGCCACCTCGTAGGTCTTGTCATCGAGCCCCAACACATTTGGCAGATTCATCAGATGTGGAAGAAGGAGAAACGCGACGTGCCCTGGGCTTTGGCATTCGGTGTCCCCCCAGCTGCCATCATGGCTTCCAGCATGCCCATTCCAGACGGTGTCAGCGAGGCCGCATATGTCGGTGCTATGACTGGATCTGCCCTTGAGCTGGTCAAGTGCGATACCAACGACATGTATGTGCCAGCAACCTCAGAGATTGTGTTCGAAGGTACACTGTCCATCACGGACACAGCCCCCGAAGGCCCCTTCGGTGAAATGCATGGCTACGTCTTCCCTGGCGATACCCACCTCTGGCCCAAGTACACAGTTAACAAGATCACCTACCGCAACGATCCTATTCTACCCATGTCTTCCTGCGGCCGTCTGACCGATGAGACAGTAAGCCACCCACCTCCCTTTCACATCCACAAACTAACCAACCCAGCACACAATGATTGGCGCTCTTGCCGCCGCCGAAATCGGCAAACTCTGCAAACAAGCCGGTCTCCCCGTCACAGACGCCTTCTCCCCCTTCGAGTCCCAGGTAACCTGGGTCGCCCTGCGGATCGACACAGCCCGCCTCCGGGAAATGAACACCACATCCGTGGAACTGCGCAAGCGCATCGGAGATCTCATCTTCAATGCCAAGGCCGGCTACACCATCCACCGACTTGTTCTGTGCGGCGACGACATCGACGTCTACGATGGCAAGGATGTCATGTGGGCATTCTCTACGAGATGTCGCCCCGGCTCGGATGAGACTTTCTTTGAGGATGTGCGTGGTTTCCCTCTTATCCCTTACATGGGCCATGGAGCACACTCGAAGACTATGGGTGGTAAGGTCGTTTCGGATGCTCTTATGCCGGCTGAGTATACGACTGGTCGGGACTGGGTTGCTGCAGACTTTGAGTCTTCGTATCCTGAGGAGTTGAAGAAGAAGGTTTTGGATAATTGGACTCAGATGGGATTCCGCGAGGAATGAATGGGTTTAAAATTTATTTAGACTGTACCATATTTTGAATTTAAGCTGTGAATTACTCTATCGAGGTGGATTTGCATTCAATTCGTTGCTTTCTCAACGTCTTCTAGACATGAGGCCACCAGGCCTTGCCCTTTCGAATCTCTTCTTTTCCTTTCGTCCCTCTTCCTTGTATTCAGGACAAGGTCCATATCTAGGTCGGTGGACCCGTCTACGCCTACCCAAGTACATGAAAACCTTCGAAGTTGTACCAAGACTAGAGCAGCTTTTCAATTCACGGTCGAACTGTTCCTACCAACTGTGCCGGGTGGATATTAAATGGTAATGAGCAGTTTAAGGGAGTAAGAGCCATGCGTAGACTTTGCGAATGATTCATTTCAATGGGTTCAAAGCATATCTGGGATCTCTTGTCGCTGAGACCCCAGCCAATCTCAATTGAGCAGGAGCAATATGATTCAGATTTTCACTGAACAGCTGTTAGGATCATGGACTTGATTTCTCAGTAGGTGCAACCCACATCCCATGAGTGGTTCTGGCAGGAATACATAAGTTCAAAATGACCTCGGTTGTTGTAGAGGAACTTTCCCATTCCACACCATAACATGAGCAAGTTCGAAGTTTCCATTGGTATGCGGAACCTCAAGGCGGAGGATAGGGAGCTTGTGAGCTCATTGGAAGCCGAATTTAATGTTCCTGGCGTTCTTGGACAAGCGGGTATGCGTGGAATGAAATTGGTCTGAATTAGAAGAAACTCGAGCAGATTCGAAATTGGTAGAACAGATAACTCAAGACATACCGTTACCATTGCTAAGGTGTGCGTCTCGACCGATCTGGCAAACCTTGTCGGGGTTGTCGCTATCGATAAAGGCAGCATTGATGAAGAGACCCTCTATATGTATGGTTCTCCCAACAGCGGGCAAGTAAACTTCACTCAGAGTGAAGTCTTTGGTCGATGAAGAGTGTGAGGAGAAGTTGAGAAGAGGAAATGGTGATAGACAAAGGACTCCTTGTATATGCCGACCTTTCCATCTTTGGGTGGAGTGGTTTGTAAAGTGAAGATGTTTGCCGATGAGAGCTTGATGGGGTAGCATTTTGTGGAGTAAAAGAGCGGCATTCTTTCATTCCTATGATCGCAATGTCTTGACTGGAGGGGTAGAGCGAAGCTTCACTCGTTGGAGCTGAAGCCTCCACATATCTGACAGCTTACAGCTGAAAAGTAATTTTCGCGCTTTTCCCTACGAAAAGATGCTTGCTACCTGACACGCGGAGACTTCTTGACGGGGTTTTCCATGGTAATCCCACTGTCTTTTCCGCCATCTTTAGCGTCATTTGCTCATTTGGAGGTTTCTAACCCACGATGCGCACTCTTGTCGAACCTTGGAAGCGAAGTAGATGAGGCAAGTCTGACGATTGAAAGTCTTCCACTCTCGGGTATACCACAGTGTGCCTGAAGAGTACCATGGTATCGTCGCGTCGATACCGCTTGGTGCCGTTCCTGGATAATTTGAACCTGAAATCTCGCGGATAGTTGCGGGATTGCAGTCATCATGTATTCATGTCACTCAATCATTGTGATCAGAGTTCCGGGATATATATCCGTTTGTTGGGTATATAGACGCACGGTGAAACATCTGGACACGGAGTTTCTGAACGATTTCAGGACTACAGTTCAACTCACGATTGTCTCTAGTCTCCCACACGAGAACTACTTGAGAATCAAAAGGATTTAATCTCACCCGCATCAAGCCTTGAAAGTGAGTATCTTCTTGCCATATCCCCAGGAACTTCAGCCCCACTTCATCGTTGATTGAATGATGATCCCTGCAATCCAGGACTGACCGGAAGCATTCACAGCAAGTCAAAATGCAACTCCAACTTCCAATCTTGCTCGCCTTCGTGACTCTGGCAGTGGCTTTCCCGAAGAAACCGGACGGGAAGAAAGGGGATTCTCCCTCTGATGGACAACCCTGGGACGGAGACCACGGGAAGGATGACGGTAAGCCGTGGGATCCCGATCATCATGATGGCAAGAACCGCACGATCTGTATCTCCATTCCTGACGGGAGCACCTGGTCTGCGGTCGGTCCAGATGGAAGCCAGCATTCGTTTGACGACTTGAAGTGGGATTCTGGCTCTGATGGGAGTGATAGCGGTGGCTACTAATGAGCTCAAGTCAAAAATCATTGTACGTGAGTCACTTGGACCAGGGACTGTTTATTTTGGCAGTTGTGGATGTGGAACTCAGCTGACCTCGGAAATATTTTCTCATCTAGCTCGCTTTGTCCCGCAACATATAATCCCGAAGTATGGCAGACGATGGAGGTCCAAACACAGTCGTTCTAAAGTTCTATGAAGACTGCTTACCTGGGCAATCTTCGGATTCTATCGTTTGGATTTTCGGGATGCAAACAAGTATCGACACTCCTTTAAACAGATGCCTAAAGATGATTCCTTGGTGTGTTCGCTTTGGTGGGGGCCAGTGACGGGCCCCAAATGACGCTCGTGAAATGTCTCCTGATCTACAACCATCGAAGAAAGTGGTTCACTCCACTTGGCCGATGGACAGGAGACATTGTCAATGGCCCCTTCCAACACAAGCACTTACACTGTGCTACTCTCTCCCGCAGACTATATATCCCGGGAAATTTCGAGTGCCATTGACGAATCTTCTTCTTCTTCTTCCACCCAACCGACCACGTACGTTCTTTAATTCTTGAGATACTTGAAATTTATCCCGAATTACGAAGAAAAGAGATGTTCAAATTCTGAACAACATCCTATAGTCTGTAGTCACATGACCCGGTCGTTCGGCAACTGCCGAAGATCGCATCCGTCGGCTTCCACCTTCTCACTAATTCAAGGATGTTTCTGAACTTGATCTTTCGATCATCGTATGATCAGCAAATAGAGCCATCCGAAGACTGAGTTCATGCGCTAAGGATCACAAATTTCCCTTCATCCTTCGGTCTCCGGTGGCTCGGGCCCCTCGGCACAATATGAACGCGCCAAGCCATGACGAAGTCGACCGAGTACTGCGCCTCAAACGCAAGGAAAGGGAGGTGAGAGCATGCTATCCCTGCAGAAAAAGAAAAGTCAAATGTGATGGCACTCAACCCTGCCGCACGTGCCAGAAGCGGAATCATCCGCATATCTGCACATACGACCTCCCGTCAGACTCTAGGAAGGAGGCCCATCCTGCTGTCAATATTCAGTCAGCATCGCCAAGCCCTGGACGTCTGCAGCAATCCAGACGACAGAATGAGTTCCCGGCTGCTCCTCTAGCGAATATTCCTCTAGCGAACATTCCTACATCACATCGCCCGGATGACACTGCCAAGAATTATGTCTATTCTGGAGATAACTCGGTCGTGTCGATATTGCGCTCCCGTGCATCTGATGGCAATGAGTCGATGACACAGGACCTGGGTTCGGTCTTGGGTCTTCAGAATACTTTCAATAATTACCCCTTTATGGACTCCAAGACCCCCCAGGAAAAGTGGAAATCGTTGCTCAGTGTCTTGCCTCAGAGGAGCGAGGTTTTGAAGTATGATTGACATACGTGGGTAGAAAATGCGTGCTAATCTCGTTAGGTTCTTTCACTACTACCGCGTCACGGCTTATCCATTCAATCCGATCCTCGCAGACATGGATCGCTTCGAGTCGGATATGTGCACATATCTGAACGCGCACTCTGCGGGTGAATTGAGGGATGAGGATCAGATCGTGGAGCGGTGGGCAAGTGATAAGTCTGTCGGTCATATAAGTCTCTTGTTGGCTACTCTGGCTGCTGGTGCTCATTACTCAGACATCGACTACCCAGCGCGGCTCGAACTTGCCACTGATTTCGGTGTGTGTGTTCATGAACCATATCATATCAGAAATGCTAATCCCTACAGCTCGACGGTCCTTCCATGCCCTTCGACTATCAAACTTTCTCTTCCGACCGTCGCTCGACATTGTCCAGACATTATTGATTCTTGGAAATACATTACAGAATATGGGGCAGTCGGATGCAGCATGGGCTCTACTGGGAACCACAATTCGGCTTGCCCAAACGATGGGATTGCATACTGAAAGAAGCACTTCACAATGGCCAGAGTATGTGCGAACCAAATCGAGAACATTATGGTGAGTCGTACTTCTTTGTTGTCGAGTGGCGCGAGTAGTTTTAATGGAACCCAGGTCTACTATTGTATGGCAAGACAGCTTGCTGTGCATGTGCTACGATCGCCCACCAATAGTAACAGTCACGGGATGGACCAGGGACAACAGCCTCCTTCGAAGAACGGACCTCTCATACCAGGAAATCATGCACTCGCTCTGTCGGCTCATACTTGATATCATCCGACCAGACACCTTCGTCGGTGAATTTGATAGAGCAATTGAAGCGCTGAACCGACTGGATACGCTTTATCAACGCGGACAACCTCACTTGCAGATGCGAAGCAACTGCACAACCCTTCAGCAGAACCTGGAGCACCTCGCACTGAAAATGCACTCGTCTTTCTGCGTTTCCGTGGTATGCCGCCCGGCAATGAAACAATCCCATACACTGCCGCATCTTCTCCAGCCAGAAATTCTCCGGAATCGCGCCAAGGGGAGCCTCATCGATGCATCCCGAGCATTCCTGGACTTCCAGGCTCTCAGTGTAGTCCCGATGCGCAGTTGGTCCATGGTACATACTGTGCTAAGCTCAACGCTACTACTATGCATCTGGGAAGAAACACGAAATGACCCACAATGTCGAGATTTACAACAAAGCGTCATCGACGTTTTCAGTTCATCTGACTCCCGAACAGCAGAAGAAGGAGGCATAGAAAATGATGGCCAGTGGTTATCAGCAAGACATATTCGCGCGCTGGTGACCTTGCGCGGTGCCTTGGATCGACAACAAGAAAGCAATATGCCTGAGAATGAGCCATGGATGCCGCAAAACTTGGATGCTGGTGGTTTTGGTCAAAGGTGAGCACCAGAATGTTGAGCTTGAACTTTGACTAACATCTTCAGTATCCCCGACGGCCTCTTCGATGACATCAACCCGTTTGAGAACTCGCCTGTGTCTTATCTTGATATGATTATGAATGGTAAGGATCTGAATACCCACACTTTTGCGAGATAAATTTACTGATTTCGCTTCCAAGGTCCTATGTTCGACTTAAGCCAAGAGAGTAATTTCCTGTGATTTGGCTGTGTCGAGGGTTATGCCCAGCGGGAGTGCATTTACTAGCGAAGATACCCTTAAATACTATTTCAAGTCGCATCCGACCGGAACCGAATTCGGCCAATTTTAGCTACATGATCTAGGGCCCTCCCTAGTAGAGAAGATGCCCCTCTGAGTTTGCTTCGCGAGACCATGTTCAAATAGGGCCCGGCAGGCTTTTGGAATGGGCCCAGGAGAGATCCTTGGGTTGAGCAGATCCAAGCTTCCTACGCGCACTACGCACACTTGATAGGAGTCTACTCAAGTGTTCCTCGGTTCAAGCCAAGACGATCAGTCAACCAGCGTGCTGTTTTCGAGCCCTCGCTCTCGCTCTCGGCTTTCTGCGACAATGCTGTTCTTAGGCCCTGCAAGGCCAGAGGCTGACTCTGTTTGATTTACCTTCCTCCTTATTTCAATATCTACCATTAGCTTCTATGTAATCCACACGTTCACTTTTGCATAACTTGTGGATCTCCCGAGACCCAAAAGTGAAGAAGTTTCGACTCTCTCGGACCCTCGGCCTCGGATCCTCGGAGTGGGTCCTGCACTCGAAATCGGGCCGTTGTTCAACGGCTGCAAGCCATCGGAAATCGGCTTGTTATGCCCTGCATATTGTGGATATTGAGAAAATTCATTGCCACTGAATTGGTATATAAATGGTCTTCAATGCCAGCTGGTCTCAAGTCAATCACTGCTCACTTTCATATCACAAACAACTCACATCTCACTCAAAGCTGAAGTTGAACTCAATACAACACAGTTTATCATCAACTCTATGTTTTCCCTTCTTCAAGGCACACACACTCCCTCTTCAGTCCACGCCTCACCCAGCGGCAGTCCACCCTCGTCCACCGCAATGGAATCTCAAACCCAACATGTCCCTCAACCTACCCGACCACGAAGACGCATCGTCGTAGCTATGACAGGCGCCACTGGCGCAATCCTCGGCATAAAAGTCCTTATCGCCCTGCGCCGCCTCAATATCGAAACCCACCTGGTCATGAGCAAGTGGGCCGAAGCTACAATCAAATACGAAACGGATTACCACCCATCCAACGTCAAGGCGCTGGCCGACCACGTGCACAACATCAACGACATGGCCGCGCCGATATCAAGTGGTTCATTCAAGGCTGATGGTATGATCGTGGTACCATGTAGTATGAAGACACTTGCTGCGATCCACAGTGGGTTCTGCGATGACCTGATTTCACGAACCGCGGACGTGATGCTCAAGGAGCGCAGAAAGCTCGTTCTTGTCGCGAGAGAAACACCCCTGAGTGACATCCATTTGAGGAACATGCTGGAGGTATCACGTGCGGGCGCTGTCATCTTCCCGCCTGTGCCGGCTTATTACATCCGGGCTGCCTCTGTCGAGGACTTGGTTGATCAGAGTGTTGGTCGCATGCTTGATTTGTTTGATTTGGATACGGGGGATTTCTCCCGGTGGGAAGGCTGGGAGAAATAATCCCATGTGAATCACTGGGTTTGTGTTGGAATTGTGCATTTTCATGGTGTTTTTGGCGTTGGAATGCTTACACTTTCCCTATATAGAAGGCGGCTTGAATAGAATTAGGATCAAAGATTAAATAGATGATAATCTCACATGCGCACGTTATTGTACGACATGCATCAAACTTTAGAGAGTGACATTGTAGCCGTAGATGACACCAAGTACTCGCAGCTGAGCCTCATCTAGCATTGTGATTGCATAGCCAACTTCAAATATCCTCGCAAGGCACGCATGAAACGTAAAATTAGACTGGAGTCAATTATTATTTTGAACAATTGTTGGTTGGACTTCCATTCGTGTAAGATGACCATTTCCACTAATGGCCAAGATGCTTGAAAGTCTTGTTTGCTGTCTTTTGTCATGAACTGCACCACAAAAGAGAAAAGAGAAGTCAGGATAACGGCCTGCCCCCAGGCTGTTCACGGATATCCGAGGAGATTCTGTAGTGCCTAGACCAGAACTCAATATACGAGACCTTGGCTCTGCCCTGTTACTACTACTTCGCCCTACGCTAATGACGACATAAATCACACCTCGATGAGCCGCACGACTGGACTAGGCAAGGATCTGTTGTCTGACATTTCTAATTTCAGACCGAGCTCCTCTGATGAGATCATTCTGCAGCGGTGACCTAAAGCCTCCGGATTCTTTCTCCGAGCTCTAAACTACACTACAAGCCTTTTGATTCGAGGTATGAGTGCTGATATTCATGAAGACTGCCTCCAAGATCGAGGATATCCACCCCTTGCGTCCCGCCAGCTGACTGACTTTCACCGCGGCATTCCTGGTCCTTCCTGCATTGCCTCCGAACCTTCTCGGCGAGATGCGCCCACGCCAAATTTACACTATTCAGCCACACGACTAGGTTCTGATCAATGTGCCCCGCTCGACCGAGCAATCCTTGCATTATCGCGATGGCCCACGATATGTTCAATCGCATGGCATTAAACCGCATGATCACCACCGGTTAGATTTCCGCTTCAAGTGACAGACATGCTCAATGCCGCTTGCAGGATATGCCAAATCGCACAAAACCAGGAAGTTAAACTGAGATCTGCAGAGCTACCAGGAATAAAAGATCATGGGAAAAGAGCCAAGCAGGCCTGGGGTAAATGGTGGAGCTGGCACATTCTATATCTACCCCTTTGTTGCCCACTCCAAATGAGGAATTCAGATCAACAATTCCCTGGATTCCCAAAATCGGTCGATAAACAATCATCGATTTCTGATTGAATCTTGCGTTACGCAGTCTAGCTCACTATTGTGCTCTTGCAATGCTTCCTCTCTTCAATCTTTTATTGGTCGCATCGATATTGCCCTCGGCCTTGGGATGGCCGACACCAAATGCCCCGACCATTGTCATCCCAAAGCCGAACGCGACTGTGATCGGCGCTTCGGCAAATAATGTTGACAGCTTCAATGGCATACCATTTGCAGTGCCTCCGACCGGCTCTCTTAGATTGAAGCCTCCTCAGCCAATTCAGACATCACTGGGCACGATCCAGGCCACTGCTGCTGCGAGGTCTTGTCCGCAATTTTTGTCCAGCACTGCCAAAGGCAATCTCCCGAATTCAATCTTGGCAAAGGTCGCCAATATCCCGATCTTTCAGGAGATCGCCAACTCTGGTGAAGATTGTCTCACGCTCAATGTTCGGAGGCCAGCGGACACAAAAGCCGATGCAAAGCTACCAGTCCTGGTGTGGATTTATGGCGGAGGGTTTGAAACCGGATCGACAACAAACTACGATGGCGCAAGCCTGGTGGCGGCGTCTGTGTCACTGGGTATGCCCGTCATCTATGTGGCTATGAACTATCGCCTCGGAGGGTTTGGATTTTTACCCGGGGCCGAGGTTTTGAAAGATGGGTCCGCCAACCTTGGCCTATTGGATCAACGTTTAGCCTTGCAATGGGTTGCAGACAATATTGAATCCTTCGGTGGCGATCCGCAAAAGGTTACTATCTGGGGTGAGTCGGCTGGAGCCGTGTCTGTCTTCGATCAAATGGCATTATATGACGGTGACATCAACTATAACGGTGCGCCGCTGTTCCGAAGCGCGATAATGAACTCCGGCAGCATTGCGCCGGCAAACCCCGTCGATGGTGTGAAGGGCCAGACTGTATATGATACTGTGGTTAGCAACAGTGATTGCAAGGGAGCATCCGACACACTCTCCTGCCTTCGAGGACTGGATTATTTCAAGTTCCTGAACGCCGCGAACTCAGTTCCAGGAATTTTGGGCTACAACTCCGTTGCTGAATCATATCTGCCACGACCTGACGGCAAGCTTCTGACTGCTTCGCCTGAACAATTGGTAATTAATGGAAAGTATGCAGCAGTCCCATTCATCAACGGAGACCAGGAAGATGAAGGAACCATCTTTGCTTTATACCAGAGAAACCTGACGACTACGAACGACATCGTCGACTATTTCCAGAACATCTACTTCTTCGACGCAACTCGTCAACAAATCACCGATCTGGTCTCAACATACAAAGATGACAAAGAAGACGGCTCGCCATTCCGTACTGGCAGTGAGAACAACTGGTATCCACAATTCAAGCGCCTGGCAGCCCTCCTGGGTGACCTTTCCTTTACTCTCACCAGGAGAGCCTTCCTCAACTCCGCCCACAAAGCAAAGCCCGATGTGAAGTCCTGGTCCTATCTTTCATCATATGGTCACAATCTGCCTTTCCTCGGGACCTTCCACGGATCAGACATCTTGCAACTATTCTACGGCATTCAGTCAAACCACGCATCGAAGGCAATGCACACATACTACCTTTCCTTTATCTATGACCAGGACCCTAATTCCAGGGCGGGAAACTACATGGACTGGCCACAGTGGAGCGGCAATCATTCTCTCATGCAATTTTTCGATGATCGCAGTGCTTTGTTGGCAGACGACTTCCGGCAGGATAGCTATGAAGTCTTGACGAAGGATTACGCATCTTTCTACATCTGATATTATACAACAGGAACCCCTGTGTGTATTGATGAATTTACGAATTATGCTTACGACTGACGCCTATGACGTCATTGGTTGATTACCGTTCCCGATGTGGGTTTGTCTGCACTGATCAGTTTGTTTATATTGTTGGAATGGGCCGAATTGCTTTATTTTCTGTTCGCTGAGGTTTCAGTTGAGGTATTCCTGTTTGAAATTTATCAGTACTACGTTTCACCCCAATACCTGCATTCCGCGGAAACCATTCGGGTGAAGCTATCAGCCTCAATCCGCACATCGGCTTTTCCCTTGTGTCCAAGAAAATTCCAATCTTAGTAGCAGACACGATCATGCAAAGTCGACGTAGTTCAACTACCTCCATGTTGCAGTGACGGTGGCAGTTGTTCCTGCACATCCAGTGGGTACAGTGTAAGACCTATTAGGATCACTTTCCCAAGTGGCTGTGGCAGACCCACTCGACTTTTCAATGAACTTGTACTCAAACTTCGTCCCGACTGGCAATGTGATTGTGACCTGCCACAGGGGGTTGGAAGAGGTATAGCTGCTAGCGGATAGTGCAATGGCACTACTCGCGTCCCAGTTCCCTAGCTGGCTGATGGATCCTGAGATATAGACATTTTGTCCATACGAAGTGGTGACAAGCTCCTTGAACAGGACTGGTAGAGCTGTTGCCTGCGTGCAAGTTCCAGTGGTAGTTGCAGTGGTGGTTTGAGTTGCCGCGGTCGTGGTCGGCGAAGTTGTCGAGCCGCATAACCCATTGCTGCCGATCGAAGAGGCTGGGATCAGAGCGCGGGGAAGTCCGGACACCATAGGAACGGGAATATTACCGCTGGAATCGACTGTGATAGACGTGCAGGTGTACAGCTCCATCAGCTTGGTGCCCGAAGAATACCCACTTCCGCTGAGGGAAAGGGTGTAGGATGAGCCGGAGGCTCCGTTGTTGGAAAGAATCGTTATCACGGAGCCTTTCTTCATTCCTAGTGTGTGGCTATCCTGATAAAAGGGTGAATTCTAGAGAAATTTAGTATCCGTCAGAACAAAACGTTTTGATGACCTACCTTCGATGTGATGTAACTGGAATCTGCTGAGACAGCCAGCTTGCGGATCTTGTTGGTGGTAGCAATCCATTTGTACAGCTCAGCGGTAGTTGAATAACCCGAGAGCCAGAGGGCTTCACGGTTTGCGGGATCGCTGGCTCCACTGTAGTGCTGCTCTTGGCCGGAATAGATAATGGGGATTCCGTCAGATATGAATAAATAGGAGATCACGTTTTTAGCCTGTGAATAGTCGCCCGTGTAACTATTGATATGATTAGAACTGGATCGGAAAATCGAAGTATACTTTTGATTACCTTGGGAAGCGTGGGTTGTCATGGTTTTCGATGAAGTTTCCCAAAAGGGTTGAGTCGGCACAGTCAGAGGCCACCGTGTTGATCATATTGTACAGGTCGCTAATGCTGCCGCTGGTCGACTGGAAGGCGTACAGGAGTGGATAGTAGCTGGCGAGTTAGCGAATGCCAAACGAGAAAGTTGGGCTGACAACATACATTGGATAATTCAGCACACCATCCAGATAATTTTGATAGTCACAAGTGTATGAAGGATTTCCATCGAATATCTCGCCCACCGAGTAGACACCTGCAGCGTCATTGAAGCCAGGCCAGAAGGATTTCTGAACATGTTTGACAGTGTCAATTCGCAGACCATCAACTAGGAAATGTCAGCATTGATTTCTCCCGCTTGGGATGTGAACCGCACTTGAATAGTTTGACACCAAGTCAGTAATCCATTCATTCCAGATGGTTTGAACTGCAGTTTGGGTAGTGTCCAAGTCTGGCAGCGACACTGTAGTATCTCCAAGCCAGCAATTTTCAACGTTTGACTGGTCGTTGTAGTTGCTGATCAGACAGTAGGAGTGGAAGTAGGATGAGGAACTGAAGGGATTGAAGACGCTGTAGTCCACACTGCTGCCGATTCCATTGTACCCCTACACTCATTTTAGAAAAAGGTCTTTCTCGACGTGTGTGTGGGATAGGATACCATGTGGTTTGCAACAACGTCCACCATCAGATACATGCCTCTTGCATGAAGTGCGGCTGATAGCGCTTTGAGATCTGCAGATGATCCATGGTTTGGATTGACCTCATATCTATCCCAAAGCGTTAGTAGTGCATCTTTGAACAAGGCCATACACTCACATGTCTTGTTGCCAATACCCATGGTATGCTGTTCCGTAGCCAGTATTTGCAGACAATTGTTCTGTGACAGGAGTTATCCAGATGGCAGTGAATCCCATTCCTTGAATGTAGTCCAGCTATTGTATCTATGCATCAGACCACTTGTTTACGTTGCATCATCGGATTGCATGACTCACTTGATTAATGATGCCCTGCCAAGTCCCACCACAATAAGTCTAACAAGTATTAGACTGACGAACAGGAATGGAATCAAACATGATATCGGCTCACCCGGTCACCAGTGTTGCATGTAGCGGTGGTTGAATTATCATCACGCCCAAAGCGATCTGTGAGCAAGAAGTAGATTGACTGGCTGCGCCATTCGGCAGGGGTGAGAGCCAATGCTACCTGCCCCCACAGAAGCACTGCACTCAAAGCAGATTTCAACATCATTGCAATTGAACTTCAGAACGCTGGGTGATTTCCGTTCGAGAAAAGGTTGGTCGGCTGTTTAAACCCAGGATTTATATCCTCATCCACATGAAGCCAAGCCACCAGAGTAGTATCGCATGCAGTTCAAACGTTCTTTTGATGAAACAAGCACCCAAAGCCGTTGAAGTTCAATCAGACCGGATTCTTGGTCAATCGGTTAATTCTGAGTGTCGTGATTGGATCCTATCCCGACGACTTCATCTCGCTAAGGGGTTAGGGGGTAAAGCAGGAAGGTTCGAAAGTTCAAAATACCTCGCCACTTCCATCACGGGCCGACATATTAAGCGTGAGCCAACAGGGCATCAGAAAACCCATGTCCTTCACGCAGGCACCTGGAAGTTGCAGGAAAGTAGCTTCGCGCCAGTCTTTAAGGGGTCGATCCTCCGGGGCTTAGCTGAATCCACACCGGGAATCTTCACGGCCCCACTCTCTCAGGGCAACGCGTCGGTTGGAGAAACCATAAAAGATATTATTTCAGCGCCAGGTTCACATGCAAGTCATCCCCTGCCAAAGCGCCACCCAATGTCCGCGTCGCGGGTGTTAAAGCCAAGGTCATCGCGATGAAATGATTGGTCGCTGCTAGCCCTGAGTACCCGGTGATGAAGACAGGGGACGGAGATTTTGCGGGGTCAAATCGCGCAAATGACGAGGCGGCACTTTAGAGACACTTAAAAATGCTTGGCCTGGTGAGTGTCGATCCAAGCGATTGGAATCAAGACGATCCCTCGATCGGGCAGTAAACAAACTTGCATGTGTTTCGGGAGATATTCATCCCACCTGCCAGAGAGAGGTGAGTGAAGGGATGAACTCCGCACCCCCTAAGGCCTTTGGCGGGGCTGGAAATGTCCAGGGCTAACGAGTCAACTAGTGAGAAGCGAAGGGTGTGATGCACGATGCAGAAGCGAGATGACCTCCGCTTCTCTGCGTTTCTCCACTTTGTCTGCAAGCCGATGCAATAGTGTATTCGGTCTATGCAAATCTTTATGCATTTTTGCGACCGAGTAAAGTCACAATGAGGAATATAAAAACCATACTGGTCCCCAGGATTGAGATTCCAAATCAAACTCATCTTCTGACATGGCTCCTCGCTTTTGGACTGCGCTTTGGGCGCTGGCTCTTGGTCATGCTGCGTTCGCTGCGCCGCAGATCCCCTTGGCGCCGCGCGCAACGGGGAGTTTGGATACTTGGCTAGCATCGGAGACTACAGTTGCTAGGCAGGGGATCCTGAACAATATTGGCTCGGCGGGCGCATATTCTGCGAGCGCGAAGCCGGGTATTCTGATCGCAAGTCCGAGTACTTCGAGTCCTGATTGTAAGCATAGACGCGGGTCTAGAGAGCTTGTCCGTACTGATTGTGGGAACAGATTACTATACCTGGACTCGCGACTCGGCTCTGGTTTTCAAAGCCTTGGTGGACATGTTCAGGAATGGCGACACTGAGCTCCTCACTGTGATTGAAGAGTACATCAGCTCGCAGGCCTACATTCAAACTGTGTCGAACCCGTCCGGGAGCCTTTCTGGTGGTGGTGGACTGGGAGAACCCAAGTTCAATGTTGACGAGACAGCATTCACTGGGTCTTGGGGTCGCCCCCAGCGGGATGGACCGGCGCTCCGTGCTACCGCGCTGATCTCATTTGGACAGTGGCTTATTGTATGCTGCTCAAATATTGGCTGAAGTTTTTCAAGTTGCTGACTGATTCAGGACAACGGATATACTACCTATGCGACCAATATTGTCTGGCCAGTCGTGCGCAACGACTTGTCCTATGTTGCTCAATACTGGAACCAGACTGGATTCGGTCAGTATCCTATTGACTTTTCTGGCTTCCCGTTTCTAATGCCTGGATAGATCTTTGGGAAGAAGTCTCTGGGTCTTCCTTCTTCACCGTCGCCGCCCAGCACCGTGCCCTGGTCGAGGGCAGCACTTTCGCAAGCCGAGTCGGTGCCTCATGTTCGTATTGTGACTCTCAAGCACCCCAAGTGCTATGCTTCTTACAGTCCTTCTGGACTGGTTCGTACACATTGGCCAACTTCGGAGGCGGTCGCTCTGGAAAGGATGCCAACACTCTTCTCGGAAGTATTCACACCTTCGACCCCGAAGCCGGTTGTGATGACACGACCTTCCAGCCTTGCTCTGCCCGAGCCCTGGCAAACCACAAAGTTGTGACTGACTCCTTCCGCTCGGTGTACACGATCAATTCGGGTATTGCTGCAGGCAAGGCCGTGTCCGTCGGGCGGTACTCGGAAGACTCTTACTACAACGGCAATCCCTGGTACTTGTGTACCCTGGCTGCTGCCGAGCAACTGTATGATGCAATTTACACATGGAACAAGATTGGCTCTCTCACCATCACATCTGTGTCGTTGAACTTTTTCAAGGATCTATACAGCTCTGCTGCAACTGGCACATATTCGTCGTCCAGCAGCACCTACGCCTCGATTGTTAGTGCTGTGAAGACTTATGCCGATGGCTATGTTAGCATTGTGGTATGTCGTCCTTCAATACTGATCAGCGAAAGCCACTAACCACATCACCAGGAAACCTACGCCATGAACAATGGCTCTCTGTCTGAACAATTCTCCAAATCAGACGGCTCCCAACTCTCAGCCCGCGACCTGACCTGGTCGTATGCAGCCCTCCTCACAGCCAATGAGCGCCGTAACGCAATTGTCCCAGCACCTTGGGGCGAGACATCTGCCAGCAGCGTCCCTGCTCAGTGCAGTGCCACTTCCGCCATCGGCACATTCAGCAGTGCCACTAACACTGCTTGGCCATCAACTCTCACCAGTGGAAGTGGTAGCGGAACAACCACAACTGGTACTGCAACCACCACCAAAGCGACCACCACAACCTCTACCAAGACTACCTCCACGACTACTTCATGTGTGACACCTACTTCCGTCGCAGTGACATTCGATGTGATTGCAACGACTGTCTATGGCGAGAACATCAAGCTGGTCGGCTCCGTCTCACAGCTTGGTTCATGGGATACTGGCAGTTCTGTTGCTCTCAGCGCATCCTCGTACACCTCTAGTAATCATCTTTGGTTTGTGACGGTGACGCTCCCTGCTGGAACTACTTTCACTTATAAGTATATCCGTGTCGCGAGTGATGGCACGATCACATGGGAAAGTGATCCCAATCTCTCGTACACTGTTCCGAAGACCTGCGGTACATCTGCCGTTACTATCAGCGATACCTGGAGGTGATCAGTTCCTGAATTCTCGGGTCTCAGACCGTCTTGATGGGGTCGCGTTTGAATAGTATATATCTACAGCTCTAGGTTCATCAATATATATTTTTAGTGAAACCCGCTCATTGCAGCTCAGGGATGACATGAATAGTTTGAAATAAGAGACTGAATAGTAAGCAGTAAGATATTCGAGCATGTATAGCTCTAGAGATTCTCAACCTGACGGCCAGCATCAAACAAGACACCAATGTTGATCGCGGAGGACGAAATGGTGGGGAGTGTTGATCCTTTCCCACTTAGGGCACAGGGTCCAAGCGGGCAATCACGTGGAGCTCGACTTCCAAGGAATTTGGCGTCTTGTGCTTACTCTCCTGTTAGTATTCATCTGGTCTGTTTGTATCCCAGGAAACATTAATCAAAAAATCTGTCTCTAGAACCAAAATGTGGAATACAGAACCGAGACATCTGGCGGTCCGTGCCCACAAGAACGGGGTCGTAACTTCCCTGCTGTTTGATGGGGAGAGGATCATAACAGCAAGTGACAGTGGAAAGATTAATGTGCACGATGTCCAGTCAGGGGCCCCGCTAAGAAATCTGGAGGGACACGAAGGTGGAGTATGGGCAATACAACAGTACCAAAACACCCTGGTGTCAGCGTCAACAGACCGCTCGATTCGAGTGTGGGACCTTGAAAAGGGGGAATGCACCCATATATTTCGAGGACACAAATCTACAGTGAGGACGTTGAAAATACTGCCGCCGACACAGGTTGATCAGGATACAACCCATGAAGCGGACACAGTGCATGATTGGCCGTTGATCATTTCGGGCTCACGCGACAGTACGCTGCGGATCTGGAAGCTTCCTCAGGCTGAAGACCCAACGTATTTGCCGAGCGCTGATACGCAAGGTGAAGACTGTCCATACCTACTTCGGGTGTTGGAAGGTCATCAACATTCTGTGCGAGCAATGGCTGCCCACGGGGACACTCTGGTGAGTGGTAGCTACGATTGTACCGTGCGAGTTTGGAAGATCTCCACCGGAGCCCTACTGCACACGCTCGACGGCCACGGTTACAAAGTCTATGCCGTGGCCATAGATCAGAAGAGGAATCGCGTTATAAGTGGATCGATGGACCACACTGTCAGGATCTGGTCGCTCGAGACTGGCGCACCGCTGTTCACACTGGAAGGCCACACATCACTAGTGGGCATACTAGAATTGAAAGAGGACATCATTGTGTCGGCAAGTGCTGATTCAGTTCTCAGGGTTTGGGACCCTGAGAACGGAGAGTGCAGAAGTGTGCTGAGTGGCCACAGTGGAGCGGTAACGTGCTTCCAGCACGATAATGAGAAAGTTGTGTCGGGATCAGATAGAGGTGTGAAAATGTGGAATATCCAGACCGGTGTGTTGGAGAAAGATCTTCTTACCGAACTCAGCGGGGTTTGGCAGGTCTGCTTTAGAGGCCAACACTGCGTGGCAGCAGTTCAACGTGATAGTGTGACGTTCATTGAGGTAAGTTTGATGACAACGTCCTGTGCTGGTAATTGGCTGATTCGTGAAGATTCTCGATTTCGACCCGTCGCTCGAAGCTGTCCCATCCGAGCAGCGCGGAAAGCGTATGCTGGTGGATGAATCTGGCCTGTAGCCGTTTGGGGAACCTTCAGCAACATTTGCAAATGCTGGCGAGGATATTAGCTTGTTTGCACAGCTTCCCGCAGGAAGCATCGTCATCGCTTGAACGAATATAAGAATAAGGTACGAGCGATTAAAAGAAAAGGAGAGAAATTAAACCTGGGGTATCAATCCAAACCCTGGCTTCTGTTGACCGGAGTCAAATCGAAGTACCAAGTAGCAGCTGGAACTATGCCAAGCGATTTGAATATTGGCTGTTGATCTTCAACCAGCCTAGAACTTTCTCGAAGGATAATCGTCATGTCGAGATGGCTAGTGCGCCTGTCCACAAGACAATAATGGTCTAAAATAATCCCAACAAAAGAATGCAAACTGATACAAACCATATCGGAGACCACAGGCTTGATCCCGAACTAGACCGTTCAGCTGGGTGACATTCGATTCACCGGTCAGCCGAAGCTTTGAGCCGAAACTGGGGAATTCTCCACCCCAAGGCCGGTGCGCTGGATGGACGAATCGCCCGGTGGATCCACGGCCGGGGAAAACGCCGCAAGTCCCGTCGCCAGCCGGGGAACTCCAACGCGAGTGCGAGCATCACTTGCACCCCGAAATAGAAAGGCCATGTAGTAGTACATTATTTAAAGATAGTGTCTTAAAGCCCATCAGTTTCCTTTTTGTCTTTCTTTCTTTGAAACTAACCGAGTCACAAACGTTTCAATCTTGCGCAGAAAACAACACGACAATACATCAACTATGAAAAGAACAGAGGTGTGCTATTTTTCGTTTCCAGCCTGTGGGATTGGCGTCTAATCGAAATTTTAGAACCTATCATTTGTCCTGGAGGGTGTCCAGAAACTGAAATTCGAAGACCGTCCGGTCCCTCAACTACAAGATCCTCATGACGTTTTGGTCAGAGTGAAATTCACAGGAATTTGCGGAAGCGATGTTTGTTTCCCAGCACCGCAGTACGGCGAGTCAGCCTGATTTAACTAACACATCTTCTGAAATCAGGTACACTACTGGAATTGCGGCCAGATCGGACCCTTCAAGGTCGAGAAGCCGATGGTCCTTGGACACGAGTCCTCCGGCATTGTGGAGCGAATTGGAAGCAAGGTCACAACATTGAAGGTTGGTGATCGGGTCACAATGGAGCCAGGCGAGCCCTGTCGGCGATGCGACGCATGCAAGATTGGAACGTACAACCTTTGCCCCGCGATGGCATTTGCTGCTACTCCGCCTTATGACGGTACCCTGGCACAGTACTACCGTCTGCCGGAGGATCTCTGCTACCAGCTTCCGAATAGTATGAGTCTGGAGCAGGGAGCACTGGTGGAGCCACTCAGTGTTGCTGTTCATCTTGTGCGCCAGGCGAATGTGTCGCCTGGTTCATCGATTGTCGTGTTTGGTGCCGGGCCAGTTGGGCTACTATGCCGCGCTGTTGCGAAAGCATTCGGAGCAACAAAAGTCATTGCTGTTGACATTCAACCAGGAAGACTGGAGTTTGCGAAGCGATTTGAGGCGACGTCTACCTTCCTTCCTGGAAGTGGGTCTGCATTGGAAAATGCGACGCGCTTGAGGACTGAGAACGATCTTGGAAATGGTGCTGACTTTGTGATTGACGCGTCTGGGGCTGAAGCATCTATCAATACTGGTATCCATGTGCTTCAACCCGGTGGCACCTACGTTCAAGGCGGAATGGGGCGCGATGAAGTTAACTTCCCTATCACCGCCGCATGCACGAAAGAACTGGTGATCAAGGGCAGCTTCCGGTATGCCAGTGGTGATTATAAGCTCGCCATCCAGCTTCTTGCTTCACAACAAGTCAAGGCACAGGAGCTGATAACGGAAATTGTGAAATTCGAGGACGCTGAGCGGGCTTTCCAGAATGTTAAGGCTGGGAGAGGGATTAAAATTCTCATCGCTGGACCTGAAGAGTGAAGTCATTCAAATAGATCAATATGAATTTTGTTATAATTTCGAACATGCAAGTCATTGCAAACTCTTACCCTCAAACCGAGTCGTTTGATTGAATGCACAAACATAGAGCGTGTCCCAATTAGGAAACAATTAGGCCAAAATCAGGCACCAATGACAAGTCACCAAGATTTCTTGTTCTCAATCAATGGAGCCGGAGTGAAATGTTCTGAATGCTTTGATTCTTAGCTTGGAAATGGAAAAATGGAGACAACATTGCCAATTGCTGAGGTTACCCCACAAGTGATTTAGTCGATCGTGTTGTGGGGATTTTTTCTGCGCGTCAGACGGGCAAAACGGCGAAATTGCCGAGCTTGCGACGCGTGCAATCACATTGAAATCTGGCCTGGACAGGTCAGGAGGATAATACGTCCACAAAAAGACCACAGAGCATCAATATGTGGGGTATTCCGATGCGAAACCGAATGCATCGAGCAGGCGAGGAATATATAGGCTGAGTGCCTCGCTGGCCGACTGGAATTCTTGCTCCAATTTTTCAGGTCAACATCACAAAACGTCGTCCAAAATGATCCAACCCAAGGAAGGTTACTACATCGGCATTGATGTCGGAACAGGTAGTGCACGCGCCTGCCTCATTGACCACCACGGCGAGATTGTCGATGTGGCGTCGGAAAACATTGGTCTTTGGCAACCACAACAAGAATACTACGTTCGTCACATGTTCCGTCGCTTACAACGCGAGGCTCCTGGTTTGCGAACTCTGAATATTGTGGGCTGATATTTTGTGTCCATTCAGGAACAATCAACCTCAGATATTTGGCGATGCATCTGTCTCGTTGTCCGCCGGACTCTCGACAATAAGAACATCCCACCCTCTCTGGTTCACGGAATCGGGTTCGACGCAACTTGCTCATTGTCTCTTTTCTCAGCTAAGACCGATCAACCTGTCTCCGTCACTGGTCCCGATTTCAACACCGACCGCAACGTCATTCTTTGGTTGGATCATCGGGCCACCAAGGAGACGGAAGTCATCAATGCCACTGGTCATAATGTTCTACGATACGTGGGTGGAAAGATGTCACTTGAGATGGAGATTCCGAAGATTCTTTGGTTGAAGAATAATATGCCAGAGGAAATGTTTTCCGACTGCAAATTCTTCGATCTTGTTGATGCTTTGACGCATATCGCTACGGGTGGAGACACGAGAAGTTTTTCGAGTATGGTTTGCAAACAGGCATATCTGCCGAAGGGTGTGGATGGTAGTGAGAAAGGGTGGCAAGAGGATTTCTTGCAAGACATTGGGTTAGGTGAGCTTGGCGATCGTGGGTTTGGTCGTATTGGAGGTGTGAATGGAGAGGTAAGTAGATTCCTTTCGAGTCATACCGCTCCCAGGCAACCTGCGTGAAAATGAGACTGACAGTGCTTATCTAGACCGGTCGCCACTTGCATGCTGGTGAATTCGCTGGAGGGCTTTGTGAGGAGTCTGCCAGACAGTTAGGGCTCAACCCAGGAACTGCGGTTGGAAGCGGCGTGATTGATGCGTACGCAGGGTGGATAGGCACCGTCGGCGCCAAGGTCGAAATGGACATGACGAGACACTTGATCAACGGAGATCTTATCCGCAGTGGCTCTAACGAAAGAAAAGAAGTGTTCTCACGATTGGCCGTTGTCGCAGGAACGTCGTCGTGTCACATTGCAATGTCGCCCGACCCCGTGTTTGTCCCTGGAGTTTGGGGTCCATATCGAGATACCACCTTCCCCGGCTGTTGGATGGCCGAAGGAGGGCAGTCTGCTACTGGGCAGCTACTCAAGCACGTGCTTGAAACCCACCCTGCGTTCGAGGAAGCACAAACTAAAGCCCAAGGTCTTGGTGTGAATATTTTCGAATTCCTGAACTCCAAGCTCCAGGATCTAGCGATCGAGCGGAAACTGCCCAGTATTGCAGATTTGGCCCGACATTTCTTCTTTTATGGAGACTTGTTTGGGAACCGGTCACCACTCGCAGACTCGTCCATGAGAGGCTCGATTGTTGGTCTTTCAAGCGATGTCTCTATCGACGCTCTGGCAATTCACTACTATGGCACATTGGAGTTCATTGCATTGCAAACCAAACAAATTGTGGACACAATGAATGGATCAGGACACCAGATCCGATCAATTTTCATGTCCGGGTCGCAATGTCAGAATCAAATCTTGGTCAACCTGATTGCCTCCGCTTGCAACATGCCTGTCGTGATCCCGCGATACATTCATGCCGCGGTTTGCCACGGGGCTGCGATGTTGGGAGTCAAAGCGGCTAGCGTGGACGCCAAAGGTAAGACCGCCGATCTGTGGGATGTGATCGATCACATGAGCCAGCCGGGAGAGGCATTCTACCCTTCCACCGATGAGCATGAGAATGCGATACTCAAGGCCAAGTACCAGATCTTTTTGGATCAAAGCTCAAGGCAACGTGAATACCGGGCAATCATGGACCGAGCAACATGTTGAGAAAAACAATACATCATTGGTGCTTTTTCTTTGCTTCGAACTGTTTTTGTAGTCGATGGTATATCAAGCTCGATGTGCTGCACAGAGTACAGAGTACAGCCGCAGAAGTCACGAGAAAATGGAGCGGTGGATACAAGTGGGAATAGCGGCCAAGGGGGCAATAAGTAGTTTGCTGCCTGGAGATGCCTGGAGATGCCTGGAGATACCTGAGGATGCCTGATTCCAGGTCGCGTCGGACACCCGTGGACCGCTATACTCTGTAATCGCGGTCCAGGTGTGACTATGAACATCCCAAAACTGCCGGAAGCAATTCAGACGCACGTTGAGCAATGTCAAAGCCAATAAGACATGTGTGTTGTCTGTCTCTCCTTCTGGTAGCTTTTTTCTGACTCGAGTGCCAAGACTCATTGAAATCTGTTTGCTCACAGAAACTCACATCTTCATATCTTAGATCAGTCTTCAGATCCAGCTCAGTTTTCACATCCAGCTCAGTCTTCACTTCCAGATCGGTCGTGTCTCTAATAATTGCGGAGCGTAGCGGAGCAATCATTTCATCGTAACCCTTAATCACATGATCTGGGTATATATTGGGTCCCAACTTACAGGGAAAATTGCTTTGGAAAAGTACTACTACTAGTAGCTCTGTAACCAGTGGCAGAATGATTTTGTGGCCTCAATAGTCCCGATTCGGCCACAATCCACATTCTGGCCAATCATATGCCCCAAAACATTTAAGGAAAGAAAAAGAAGGTGCACTAAGCGCTACGCTCACCTGCTATCTGGGGATCTGTGATCCCCTTGATCCCTAGTACCGATGGATTTTCATCCGTGGAGTACTAACCTTTGTTGAGACTGGCTGGCAAGAGAAAGCAGAGGGGAACCGACTGAATTCACTGCGGGGAGAGAAAGAGAGAGAAGGGAGAAGCTAGAAGCCTGCGAGCTATCTACATACGGGGATGGGGCGAATACCCTACACAACAACCTTGGAATGAGAAAAACGCAGGCTCCCAAGCAGTTCGCAAAGTGTGCTGCAATTATTTGATCTGAGCCTGAAAAAGGATGGTTCGTTCTGGGGGCTGGAATCGACCCGCGCTAACCCTGCAGCTCAGCCGCACCAAATGCTGCCTGACACGTTACGGGCACCAGACCAGTTTTCTTTTCACTGAGACCTACCGTCTCTTGACACCCAAGGGAGAATCATGCGTCTCATTCGCACCACACCTCCCATTGAGCTCGAGGAGTTTCCGGAAAATGAAGTCACAAAACTGGAATATGCCATTCTCTCCCACCGCTGGGAAGAGAATGAAGTTTCATTCCAAGAAATGCTCGAGCCGACCAATGCGACTAGGAAGAAGAAAGGGTACAAGAAGATAGAGAAATTTTGCAAACGAGCACTCAATGAAGATTTCAAATATGCGTGGGTTGACACTTGTTGCATCAACAAAGAAAGCAGTGCCGAGCTGTCTGAGGCCATCAATTCGATGTTTCGGTGGTACCGCGACGCAGCAAAATGCTATGCTTTCTTGGCTGACGTGGATCCTCGTAGTCGGGAGGATTTTGTCCTCAGCGTGTGGTTTACCAGAGGTTGGACATTGCAAGAGCTTATTGCGCCACGGAAGCTGGTTTTTTTGGCCAACGACTGGTCGGAAATCGGACCCCGACATGTTCTCGCCCCGGAAATTTCGCAAACTACAACAATTGACAAGTCGCTGCTTCTCGGTCAGAAGTCATTATATGAATTCTCGATTGCAAAGCGCATGTCTTGGGCTGCAGAACGTGAAACCACGAGAGCAGAAGATCGGGCGTATTCTCTAATGGGTATCTTCCGGGTCTACATGCCACTGCTATACGGCGAGGGTGATAATGCTTTCACTCGTCTACAAGAAGAAATAATGAAGGACTCAAATGACGAGACACTATTCGCATGGGAACGAGATGGTGTATCGGAGGACAATCCGTGCGGGCTACTGGCCCCTTCGCCTGATTGCTTTTTCAAATCAGCGGAAATAGTGCCCTACAGGCTCTCTCAAGGAGGCCTCCCCTTCACTTTGACAAATCGTGGAATTCGAATGGATTCACCACTAATTCCCCCATCTTCCACCACCACGACGTTGATACTCCAATGCATTGCAAATTCAGCACTAGTCGGTATCGGCATCCAGCTCAACCGAAATTCAGCAGCCGACGAATTCGTCCGAATTACGGGAACCCTCATCCGTGACATTCCCCCCTGCCTCCTGGAAAGCTCGGTGCTTGAGACAACTTACATCCCTAAATCAGTCATGGCCACGTCGACACAAATACCAAACTCTCAAGGCCGAGACAATTTTGCCACGAGCGAGATCGGAAATGATCCCCGATACTCTAATTTGTTCCATCGGAAGATCAAACCACGAGGAAATTTCAAGAGGATGATTTTGCTTTTCGACGATGATCCAAACTTGTCCTATCCCAATACCAATTTAGGTGCCCTTCAACAGATGGTTGTGCGGGCGGATGGAAGCCAGATAACATATTACGATTCGTGGAAATACAAATGCGATCCCCTAAAGATTGCAAACGATGGATTTGAGTTTCTTCGAGACAACTATGAACCCGGGGATGAGATAACTCTCTTTGGCTTCGGCAGGGCTTGTTATCCGCTGTTGGAATTGTTTGACATGAACGAAGTTCACTTAAGGGCTTCTATCCGATTTATGGGTTTTTTCGATGCTGTCCAACCTTGGTCTGAATCTGTTCCATGGCTAACAGCAAGGGTAGGTTTGGCGAGCTGTGTTGTTCGTCATGCCATTGGTGTTGATGAGAAGCAAATACTCCTAAAACCAATTTTAGCGGATGACCATTTCACTAAATCCCCCGGTTTCCAAGCAATTTGGTTCTCAGGTGGCCATCAGGTACTTCGATGAGTACCCTCATTCCCGTCAGATATGGATACTGACATTCACAGGATATCGGGGGATCAGCCAAAGGGACCTGCTACCATGCTGCCAGCAACATTCCGCTTTTTTGGATGGTAAACGAAGCAGAAAAAATAGGACTCCACTTTGACTCAAACCTGAAACGAAGCTTCGGCGATAGCCGCCTGGATTTTGACATTCCTCTCTTCAACCTAGATTACAAAGAGTGCTCCACAAGTTTGAAAGACCTTCTCAATCGTCGTGAGAGGGGTGCCTCGGGCTTTGGGTTTGGGTTTAAGATAATGGCCCTGCACAGCGAACTGGAATTTGGGCAGGGCTGGCGTCCCGGGCATGTTCTCAAACAAAGACTAAGGAATTTATTCTTCTCGAAGACGCTTAGTCAGTCGACCGCTCAGAGGCGTGGCCAGAGGCAGATACCCCCAGATGCAATCATCCACTATTCTGTCATGCGGCAAATGAGAGCATACTCCACTTACCGGCCTTCCAATCTATGCATCCAGGAACCCAGTTCCTTGTATGTATTGGATGAACGTGACGAAATAATCGAATATGCGCTTTGGAAGCAACTCAACGATGAGCGGCGGTGAGGGCGCTTCGAAACTTGATCTGGGCTACCAATCTGATTCTGTTATTTATCTCCTTTGAACATTGATGCATCGCTTTCAGAAAATAACCTGTCCGGTATCCAGAAAACGGGACACGAAGCTGGTGAACATTAGTAGGATTGCTTTCCTTTCTTTATTTCTTTCACTGTCTACTGGGCCGTTCAATCCATCTATAGATGGATGCTGCACAGCAACCATTAACTTTTCTGTGTTATGCAAGATCATGCTGTACAATTCTTCCGGGTAAAAATGGCGAGTCGAATTTTTTCTAGCAAACGCAAGTGTTGATTTGACTTCCATAAATTTCAATGGCTACTCGTACGCGTATGCTTCTTCCAATTTGGATATAAGAATTTTACTCCCCAGCCATGAAAGAGATGGCTTATATTTGTTTCTTTGTCTTTGGTTTGATGGAAGCAATCTGTAGCAGTGACATGGATTTCAAAGAACGGGGTTTCTAAATTTACAGAACTTTGGAAGCAGAAGAGGGAGAGAAAAGGAACCATGTTGTATAAGCTGAGACCAACAGCTTGGACAATTGCTCAATATTTTTGCAATTCTTTAATCTTAGCTTTGGTGTCTTGAAAAGCGACCCTCCATGTTGAATCTCAAGCTCAAGTTAACAGAAAGCATCTGAGCGACTCAACATGTGTGTTCGATTTACCCGACAAGGACCGTCTTTGTACTTCATTGGTTACAATCGTAGCCCTTAATTCGGAACAGATCAAAGAGCAAGAGCGGCAAACAAACTATGCTCGACTTGGAAGCCTTCTTATTCTGCTCTTTGTGCTCAAACACCCTTATAGCTTGGCAGACTCAACCCGAGAAGGTACGGGCACTGCTCACTTCTCCAATTCACGTAAAGCACAATGAAACCTTAGTCACTGCTCTTGCTTCGAGAATTATTTAACCTCTAGTATATATCCACTGTTGACTTACTTTTCACTCGCCGATTTCCATTCTCTTATTCAAGTTCCAAATTACGTGAACGCGTTGTACTTTACATTCCCTGTCCAACTATTCATCATCATAGATCAAGATGCCACCTACCCGCAAGGGAAAGCGAAAGGCGGAATCGGAGCCTTTGCCTGATCTACCCAACCCAAAGCGTCTTCAAAAGTCGCCAGGTGCTGAAGCCAGTGCTGGGACCGGATCGGTGAAATCCAAAGGTTCAACCAAGGTATGTTGATCCATGCTCTCGTTCCAAGGCTGTCCACAAAGCCATTTTCATCTGATGTTCAAAAATACTCATACCTTGGATTTTTCCCAGGGGAATGCAAAGGATTCGAAACCCGACCCGAAGCTTCCGCATATAGTCTTAGCCAATAATCTCCTGACACGAGGGGAAGGCTTTACTCCCCCAGATCTGCCCGAGCAAAGCCTATCCAGAAAGAAGTCATGGGGGAAGCGTAAAAACTCAATTACAGACCCAAGGCAACTGCCTAAAGGATGGAGTGCACATGATCTTGATGTGGAAGAAGAGTAAGACCAGGAACCACCTTATTTTTGATAAGTTGATTTAGTACTAAAACTTCTCTTAGTGACATTGATGGACAAATCAAACGATGCGAGGAGCGAATTGCGGAAGGAATTATGCCTGAAATCTTTGAAGGAAGATTGAAGAATTTCAAAGCCATCAAGGAAGAGCAGATGTGAGGAGATCCCGAATGCCACACTAATTTTCTTTTCATAACACACACTAACATTGGTGCCAATTTTGTTTGAATATAGGGAAATGATCAAATCCGAACCTAAAGGACTTGACTGGGAGGTTATCCAGCGACTGCATGAGTTGAAACAGCTGAAAGCAAATCTTGGCAAAGAAGACAAGGATAAAAATCTTCCAAACGTCGAAGCAATCATAAAGGCCTATCAGACCAAGAAGATAAGCAACAAGGGAGATTTGGTCACATTTTGGTGTGACGGTAAACTGGTCGCCGGTCCTAAGAAGTTTGATCCCAAGGAGCTATATGCCTTGAGTTCAAAGCAAGGCTCAGCAGGCCTTTGGGTAGAAGGAGTAAGTCATAAGCTGTGTACATACAATCCAACGACCTAGACGAGAAATGGGCATCAACTCTTCCTCTCTGTATCCCTGATTCCATCCCTTTTTCTGTCTCTTTCTTTTTCTCTTCACAAGCCTTTTTCTCTCACCTTTCGGTCAATTCTAACGCTAGGGTATAGATCAATGGTTCCAAACCCCAGCGGTTGAACATATTCTTTTCTCTGAATCCACCCATACCAGGATTCGCACAACACAAAGTATGTCCCCGAAGAGATCAGTCTCAATTATTCAAGTAATCCAGGGCTGGTGCTAATAACAGAAATTTGTCAGATTTATATCTCTCTTCGCAATCCAAACACCCAGGCAACAAACACAGACATGCAGACTCTCACTCTACTATGCCTGGAGGATACTGGCGCGACTCTCATGAAGCTTCATGCTCAGGATGTGGCTGAGCTTGAAAGACTCTCTGGTACTAATTTGCCCATCACGGGTTCAAGCATAATGACAACCGCAGACGCCGCAGTTACGGCCCGACGAATGGTTGTGCAAGTCAACATATGGCACAACGGTCAATACATTATCCCCAAATGGGTTGACATCGAAGCTTGTGTATCACATACTCCACAGGGGAATGCTCCTTTGTCCACCAGCCGACTCAGTGGTGTCTGGATTTATCATATGTTGGCTGTGCTCTCGTTGCCGGACAATACCTTCCGCAAGCATATCGGCACTAATATTTACGAGATCTTGAATACTCTGGTTATTCCAGACCCACTCTTAGCCCGACCACCACCAATTTTGACGGGGGATAACCCAGGCCCGCCAGGCCCACAGGGCCCCTGAAGCATATGGGCACCTGGGCATATATGCCGTCTACAACTTTAGAAGTGTTTTCAGCAGCCTCGAGGGTAAGTGGGTCCTAACATCAACCTTGGAAGCCCTGAAGGCGGCCGCAATTAGACAGCCCTGGACTTCAGGACTTCAGGAGCTATCGGCATTGAAAGATTGTTCATTTTGGTTCCAATGTTTTTTTCAAATCGTTTTTTCAATTTCTGTGCTTTGACGATTCCTTCTCAGGCTTTTTCTTCTCGAGTTGTCTGCTTCTGAGGTTCATTGCATCAAGCTCTAGAGCCGATGAAGGTTGTCAATATCGCTATGTGATATATCGCGTTCAAATATATATCGGGTTTTTTTAGTTCCACTTGAGCACCTCCATCTCAGCTTCAGCTTTAAAAAGTTCAAGCCAACGTAGATATATTGCTAAATTGAGAGGTGCGAATAGGCTCGAGATACGGCAGGGAGTAGTTAAGTATGAGCCGTCGTCCACGTCGGGGTGGACGTGATGTTTCTCAAACGATTTATCCGGGCGTGGTAGGAAAAAGCAACGCTCGAACTATAGAATTGAAGGGCTGTTTCATCATGGGGGCAGAAAGCAACCTGTCTGAAACGAACTTGAAGACTGTCAAGGTCCTCAACAGAACGAATTCGAGACTTCAAGGGGAGGCTTCGAGGAAGTAAATGAGGTTCACACTTTGTGTATCCCATTTTCATAAAATATGAGCAGTCACTGTTGGAATAAATTTGCGGACCGCTAGAAGAATCCAAAAGAGGAAAGCTGGTCATGTTTATAGTTCTTTGTCATGAAATTTTTTCGGTCACATTCGTGTCAAATGAACGACAGCTTGCCCTCACTTTAAACAATGACTTCAGGAAGTGTAGATTCGAAGAGTAAATCAATCACGGTCGTTCTGGAAGTCACGATGGAGCCCCTTCCAACATTGCCGCATGGGGTATAAATACCCCCTACCTCCTACTTCTCTTCTTCTCTTCGTCTCCTCCTTCACTCGCCATCAACCTCCACGCCGAGGCGGCGTTGATGTACGGAACGGGAGAGGAGTGGAAGCAGTCTCCCTACCCACAGTTCTCAGAAGGATGTGGAATATTTCCACTTTGTGTGGTCCACGGTCGCCTGTTGAGGTTACCTTCGAGCAATCTGGGCCGAACGAGGCGTACTGGACGCTCCATATCTGGATGAACGCCGAGCCCAAGCCAGGACCCCCTGACGGCATTCGGTCGAGATATGAAGTGGATTTGACCGATCTGGGTATTCCAAAATACATTAGGGCACACAAGGACGATGGAATGTGCATTCTCTCAACCCATGCAGATTTTGCCATTCCCATTTGTCTGCCTTTCGAAGCCGAGTTGGATGGGCAGACTCGAAAGCTGGTGGCGAGGCTGAAGTTTAACCTGAAATCTACCCAACTGCCGATGGAAGCCCTCGACATAGCCTCAAGGGTGGTGGCCTTCGATGACGATCTCAAGCACCAGGACGAAAAAGGCTACTCACTGTGACGGACCATCTTGGCACATTCAACCGAGTTGGCCACAAACAACCGTTAGGTCTTCTGGCTAAATGCCCAGAAACTTTCAACCGTGCCAGATAAGGAGGAACAAAAGCGAGTCGACTATATCTGGAAAACATTTCCATTGGATACCTCGTAACCCACAGCCGTGCAAAGGTCGGTGTTAGCGATAGAGCCCTTTCCTAAATAGTGTCAATACCCTCCACCCTCCGTGGAGTATAAATGTACCATCTTCTTTTCTTCCAGTTTTACATTTCCTTCTTCTGCTGAGCTCCCACCGTGATAACTAAATCTTACTCACAAAGCACCCTGGGAGTATCCTTGGACAAAAAGAGTAAACGCCATCTCCATTCTTCCTCTTTGATATTGACCGAAACTAACAGGGCAGACCCTCAAGCACTACCAAGACCTGAACTGAAAACCCCGAAAGCCCTCGAAATGGAAGGGTAAGCGTATATCCCCTCTCAGTCAACACTTTACTAATTCCTCTGGAAGGATTCAAAGGCCATCCCCTCGCCTCCTCAAAAGCGACAAGGAAATATTTCAAAAAAATGGGTCACGTTTTTCCTCGACCTGCCCTTCGAAGCAGCGAAGAAAGGGGAAATTATCCAAAGCGACATGCTCCTTATCCTCTACGATGCTCGCCCCCACAGGGAAATAACGGTCCGAACCGGAGTCGATATGAGTGCGGCCGATCTCGACCTTGCATGCAATACCTCCACTCGACGAGTGGAGGCAACACCCATGTTTTGCACGGCATGGGTGAACGATGAGACGTGCCACTTTTGCTCCGATGGCAATGGAATCTTTCCGCTCTGCGTGACGAGTGCTATCCACGGTGGCCCACCAGAGTGTGCAAATTGCCACTGGTCGGGGGAGGAGTGCACCGCTGCCAAAGAATTGAAGTGGAACCAAAAGAACCTGTTCCGCCCGCGCCTCACCCACACCGACCAATTCATCATTCTCAAACAGGCTACTCTCCAATATGAGTCGGTGTCCGCGAGTCATGAGGTTAATCCGAAACGTCCCAAACATGTGCATAAGAACGTTGTTGCTGCGTCCAAGGCCCTCGTTGAGTTTGCCGAGGTTAACGACTGCTAGAGTTGGGTATTGACCAACAGCGCCTGATGGGAGATCTTTCACTCTTTTTTCTTAACTTCGTGGTTTCCGAAGTCTCGTCGTGAGTGCCTCGCCGTCAGTGCCTCATTATCGTAACATGGAAATGACATTGATCAGCCAAAGTCACCTCTCCGCATTGTAGCATTCCTGTTATCTATTTTATTATATCTCTGGTGAAGCAGCTATAAGCTAGTGTTGCAAAGCTTGAATATATATCATCACTGAGTGGGATGTATTTATAATGGCATTTTGTGGCCCCGGGGTTAGATCTGGTTCGTTCTTCGGGATGACTGACGGCGGGGATCACACGCTGAAGAGGCTTCCCTATTCTAGGATGGACAGCTGGGATGAATATAGTGGTGGTTGGGAAAAGTGTAGCCAGGAGGCTACAGTTGATAGCAAGGGGATCGCACATTGGATTATCATGGGGCAATGTGGTCTAAATCTCAGCTGTGAGACGAAACGCAAACGCAATCCTGGAAAGGACCCTTTGAACTTCATGTCAATATCGGATGAGAAGTTGATTTTGGTCCTTGCTCACCTCATTTGGCTGTTGCTTTATTCTCATCGTTGCCATTTCTTATCCTTTTTCTCTTCTCACTTCCCACTTCCCACTTCCCACTTCCCACTTCTTTCTGCTCCCTTCCTCTAGTTCCCTGCTTCATTCTTCCGCCCAGCTTTAATACTACGTCGGAACTTCCAAGCGACTTACCTTGATCTCAAGGACCTAGAGGCACTCTTGGGTCAAAAACTGCAAGTTCTATCTCCATTCTTCCACTCTGATTCTGACCAGAGCTAACAGTTTCAGATCCTGGAGAATTGCCCTTACTTGAGAAAAGATTTACCTATGCCCGACAAAGTGACAGGGTAGTGTATATTGCATCCCTTCAATGCTTTTCTCATTCTTCTCAAAGGCTGGAAAGACTGTTATCTGGAATATTCGAGGGTCCATCCTATTGGTGGGATGGGCAGTGAACCGTTAAGGACATAAAGCGGAACTTGAAGAATGTTCTCCCCCCGCGGCTCACACAAACCCAATCATCAATCGTTTGGAAAGAGGCTATCCTTGACAGCGACAAAATCGTGGACAGGATGATGACGGGGCAATATAGTTCAAATATCTGGAGTGAACTGAGACTCAACCAAGATCCTTGGAAAGGCCCTTTGACCTCACTTGGTTCTTTCCTCACTCTCACCCTTCCCTTTTCTTCTCATTGCCCTCTTCACTCTTCCCTCTTTCCCCTTCTTATTTCTCTCCTCCTCTCTTTTCATTGCTCCTTCCCTCTTCCCATCTCCTACTTCTCACTTCTTGTCCCAGTACTGTCATCTTCTACTTCTGCGGAGTTGGCTGGTGCTTTTTCTCTCTTCCTTTCTTCTTTCTAATACTTTTCTCAGGATCTCCCAAAGGAGGAAGCTCGGATGGGAGCGATTGGCTCGCAGATAGGCCATCTATCAGCGAGATCTCGTATCGGCCGGAGGAAGAAAGGGAGTCAGCATTCAAAGTCGAACCTTTTCACTGCTACCAGAGAACATCCCCGTGAGGGAGAACTCCCTCTAAACAAGTGGGTAGTAAAATGGCCACGAGCTTACTCAATATGCAACGTTGGAAGCGCGTGAGTCTACGACGCAAAGGAAGAAAAGGATTGCCACCAAGGGCTAACCTATGGATGATGAACAGGGTGTCTTCGCATTTAGGATCCAGCATTGGCTGGACGTGGAGGAGGATCTTCTCACGGACGACTCCCCTGTTTGGCTGGCTACAGTGAGCATACGGAAACCTGCTGGCCATGGCAGCATCGGGGTTAGCCTCAGGAGCACCAGCGTGATTGCCATTGCCAACCTTCTTATAACAGAGCAGCTTGTTGAATGTCTTTCCCCTCGCCGCTGAGGAACTGTCCTGTCACAGGGCCGAATCTGGTGCGTATTTCCAGAAACTCAATTGTGGTACGCAGGTCATGTATTTCGCAACCTTCAACCACCTTGCCACTGCGATCCGCCGGTGCGCGCCCCGGCTTCAATCGTGGGAAGTTGCGGACAGTGAAGATGATCCGCCACAGGCATTTGACGTGGTCATCACCTACGGTGAGGGGGCTGCTTTCAAGTTCACCACCGGCACCATGACACTCGGTCTGGATGATCCAATGCGCTTCAAAACTGCCGACCTCCGCTCTCTCCAAACCTTGGTAGCCGCTGATAGCAAGGTGCAACCGAAACAGGTGTCCGTCGCGGCCGAGCCCGAGAGCTCCACGTACCTGGAGTCCGCCGACGCGGCCGGCGATGCCGGCAAGCGGGCGGTCTCTGAGGTCCCGGAAACCCCAGTGCTTGAACCGCTCGCCAATAAGTGAGTTCCAGGCCCCA